GGATTCTAAAGCGTCTCCTACTAAATACATTGTAAATAAATAAAATATAACAGTTGAAGGGAGCGATGTCCCTGACTTTACCCTGACAAATGTAAAATTTCCCTAACCAACTGAATTAACCGCAATTTCACAACCCTCCCCTCACAGCTGTCTACTCCACCCATTTATTTTTGCTTTCATTAAGTCATGCGCAGTGTACATGAATTGATAATTCCTTGACAATACGTGCAAAAAGGACTGATTTTCTTGAAAACCCCACACAGCTTGTAGTTCAGTTTCATGAAGAATATTCTACCAATACAACATGATCCATGTCCGTAAAATGTACAAACGAATTTCAATTGTCAGAAAACAACAAAAGTAGAGGAAAAAGAATAATTATGTACTCTTAAAATTTCACTTCTCCAAGACTTAAATTTTCCCTGACTCGAAGTGAAATTCCCTGACTTTTCTCTGACCTTGAAGAATTTTTTTTTCCCTGACAATCTCCTCACCTGTGACCACCATAAATGCATAGTACAGTTATTAAAAACTGGCGATGATCGATTTGAATTACGCACTCTCACCTTCTGGACATCCATAAAACTCCATCCTCATTGATATGTGCTTATACCATCCCCAAGGATGTACGCGTATAAAACGAGCTCTTACTGGCGGGAAAAGGCGATACTGCACCACACTGTTCTGATCTCGATTCCCACTGAAATACTGTATGAGAAGATAACACACTTAACAACTCGTCCGAGGAGATAAAGTTAATTTTTTCAAGAAACACTTTTTTAAAAAAATTTGAAATTCGAGGAAATCAAATTAGCTGCTTTCTAGTGGGACGCCTATCACTGATCTGCTAAATACCACAACAAAGGCATTATTAGATTTAAATCGAAAACAAAATGGCAGTAAACATTCACAGGTAACAGTGCACTGTAACCTTTTAAAGTCATAGATTTTGCGATATTGTCCGCTCAGGAACGTTTGGCGGGAAATAGTTTCATTGTTAGATATTATGTGACTATGGTGTAGCCAATAAGGGGAGAGCGTGGAGTTACAGGAACGCTCCAGCTATGCAACAGAGACTACGCCTGTATATAAAAGAGCGATAGCAAATAGGAAAAAACCCAAGAAAACAGATCAAATAACAACAGTGCCTCGTTAGCGCAGTAGGCAGCGCGTCAGTCTCATAATCCAAAGTAGAAATCTGAAGGTCGTGAGTTCGATCCTCACACGGGGCACTTCCTCCTTTTATTTTTTATTACAGAAAGTGGAAAATTAACAGGCGATATATCTTTTAGCTCTGACGATGGCTAGCGCTCAATCTTTTTGCGGCAGTAAAATCTTTTACCAATTGGTTAAGGTTTGCTAAAGGCCGAATAATAAAACGTTCTTACCTTTCTGTTACTGTTTTCCTTATACTCAGCAAAGCTTGCGCCATCTTGACTGTACGTGACAAAATATTGCGTTACCCACTGAGCATAATCTTGTCGTCCCATGGTGGCAATCTTGACAACACGCATGGCCCGACGGAAGTCCACCTGATACCACTGGTATCGATTATTGTGTCGAGCGCACCATGCCCCCATCCTGGACCCTGTGCGGCGGAAATGCAATCGTCCGTTACGCGGACCGTGGTTGACGTCCCAGCTTGAAGAAGCAGATAGCTGCGTCTGTCGAATGCGGCCACTTTGCATTCCCAGAGGCTTGTTGCACCTTGGACCTGGTTAATGAAAAACAGAACTGAGACAAAAGGCTTTGGGACGAAAAACAACATAAAAGTGGTAAGTTAATTTATCTTATTGAGCTAATGCACCTTGGCAAATTGTAACTGGAGAGACAACCCTAAGGAAAATACGTGTAGGCAGGAGTCCATAATATGCCCTGAGACAGAGGCCTTTCAGTGACCTCAACTCGAGTATTTGAGGCTTTTCTTCTACGTTTGCTTTGAAATAATAGTATAGAAACCAGTATTAATGAAAGAGTACTAAACTAGATGGTGAGTTGAAAAAGGTCTTGGCACTTTCCGGTAACCCTTTAAGTCCCAAAAATGAACAAAATCAATTTTCTTTCTTTCTTTTTCACCCCTACCCTCAGAGAATGTACGGACGATGGGCGTTCGATCATACGCTGACGTCATAACCAAATTGTCTCGGACCATAGGTTTCCAATTTTCTTTAGCTATGGGACTCCGCTGCGCACGCGGACGCTTCGCTATTATTAAGATTAAAGGTAATGAGAATTGATAAATTGCATCAAAGGGAAACGCTTTTGATCTTTAAATAATTCTTTAAGGAACGTAAAGAGAACAGTCTGGAAACTGGATCTTGGGGTTGGTGATTACAGGGTTAATGTGATGCTTAATCTGTCTGGTGCTTCTACAAGACACCAGCTGTAAGACTCATACACTTACCAGTAACACACCCATAGAACTCAACTCTCATAGAAATCCAGCTACGCCAAGTGGTCGGGTAAATCCTGAAGTATCGCCCCGATATTGGTCTGACGAATCGATTGCACACTACGATATATCGGTCGTAATTACCAGCAAATATCTAAACAAAAAGCCAACAAGAAAATAGATTAAGCTCGGAAAATGACCAAATGTTTCATCAGTTAAAAAGTACTTAAAGTATAACTGACACTGAAAGTAACCTTTGTAATACGGTAATAGTAGTAAATGGTGTACAATAGATTGGTAAAAAGGTTGACAATCTCGGGCCATCAAATCGAGTAAGGAGCGAAACCGACTGCACTCTACCTTTGTGCGACGTCCCTCCCTGTATGGGATAAACCGCTGACCACCTTTGCTGTACTTCACATAATAGCTAGTGACCCATTGATCAGCATTTTGACGGCCTTGCGTGCAAACGCGTGTAACGCGAGTCCGCCCTCCAAAGTCAAACTGGAGCCACGTGTTTCTGGCACTACGCCGCGCGCACCATGCTCCACCGTACCGTCCCACGCGCCTCTGACGCAACCTAGCGTTTCGTGGTGCACAGTAGTAGTTGTAGAATGAGGAAGCGGTGATTAGTTGATCTGGAAAACGGCCGTCTTCGATGCCAAGTGGAACGTCACAACGACCTAATGAAAAAGGTTGATGTTAAAGCGGGTTTGAGCTGCTGTGAGTAAAATAGAGCAAATTTTTATTCATTAATTAATGTTATACTTCATTCTAACTGGGCTACTAACTGCACTGTTTTGGGCACTGGTTGTGTATAACTCACTTGGGCTTATTGAGTAGGAGGGACTGAGTGAAATCTATATAACAAAATTGCAATTGAAAATCAGTTAAAAAGGTGGTAGCCATTTCCTCACTTTTTTATTGTTTAGCACGTTTTTAGTATGTTCGTTACATCAGTATAGAGCGTTTTCACTCACGTGGCCATCATCTATGCAAGTTTATTGGAACAAAAGAAAGTTTTTGCATAAGAAAAGAGTTCAACTCCTACAGGTTTAGTTTGGGACATCAACATGGCCGCGGTTTCATTGTTTTGGGACACCAATATGGCCGCCGTGACGTCATGTGAAAACACTCTATTATATTGATTGACTCCTTGCCAATCTCCTCAACCCTATTCCTGACATTAACACTTGCAACTACATGTTTTCTCACGACAGCGATACCACACCTTCTACTGAAACGAGTTATAAAACTTACTCCAAGGACATCCGTAAAGTTCCAGCCTCATTGAAATATGCGATCTCCAGCCACGCACTTGCAAACGAACAAACCGTCCGTATATTGGATACGGTAAAGGATTATTACGCACAGAATACCTATCCACGTTAGCTGGGAAAGTCTAAAACAAAATGGCTTGATTAGAACGTCAGAAAATGAAAAAAAAAACATCCAAGAGGGTTTCTATGTACCTATATGGATGGTAAGACTAAACCAAGATCGTATAAGTGCCGTACGTCAAACCTTATTCTTCGTGTTATGTAAAAATGGCTAATGCTGAGCACTATAAGGCGGTGGACATACTTACCTATTGCGTATCTTTATTTTCACTACGTTGTGGTACCGTAAATATGTTGTCGTTAAGATTATAAAAACTGAATTTAGAACAAATTTGCCGAGATCACTTTGAAGCAAATTTGGAAAAAAAACGTTCACAAGAGAACACACGTGTAACAGTAATGTTTACCAAGCAGAACTAGGGAGCCGATAAGCAAACCAATTTACTGCGTACCTCTTTTTCGGTTTGGTCACTCGAGCTATCTCTTAAAAAACACCCGCATTCCTTTTACTATGCTCACCTTTACAACATCCCACCAATCTTTAACCTTGGCGAACTTGACTCCATCCGAGCTGTACAGCACATAGAATGCTGTAACCCACTGGCTTGTTTCCTCTCTACCCTGAGTGGCCACACCAGTTACTTTCATTGACTTTCCAAGGTCAACCTGGATCCACTGGTTATAGTTGTTATGGCGGGCAGACCACGCCCCCATAAGCTTTCCACGACGCAGACGCTTTAATCTGCCCAGGTAGGCGGCATGGTTGTTGTCCCATTGTGACGAAGCTTTGATGGCACTGTTTCGGATTCTGCCACTTTGCATACCGAGGGCTCGGGCACACAGTCGTTCTGTAACATTTTGCAAAAGTCACATTTTAGCGCTTTCTTAAGGCGCAGTTTTAAAACATCACAGTTATTGCAAACAATAACGTCCATGGAAACAAGCAGAAAAGTAGACTTTGCATCCTTTCAAACTTCTGTTTCGCGATTATCCAAAGTCGTCTTTTTACTTAAAATAAGGAAATTTACGTTGGAGCTGAAGAGAGAGGACCGCGCCCGAGTTCAGACAGAGATGGTAGATTAAAAGAATTTATCGCTTTGCCGTTCCCGCTCTCAACAAAATTTAATATTTGGTCATTTTACGTCGTAGTTGTGCAGGGACACCAAAGCAATTTGCCAAAAGGCGTGATGCTCATTAAACCTATTGCTTTTTTGACGTTCCCGTTGCCGTCGCCGTCGTAGTTTCGTAAGGTCCCTGATGTGGGCGCATTACGGCGGAAAAAAGCGGGTAGCCATGTCCTTCTTACCTTTACATCGGCACCCATACAGCTCGACTCTCATAGCGATACGTGACCTCCAGGTCTTTGGGTGGATTCTTACATACCGTGCCCTTAGGTTTGGTGATATCCTCTGAGCAACAGTGTGATAAACATCGTAATTCCCGCGGAATCTCTACAAAGTCAAAAAAAGATATCACCTTGTTTGATGAGGTGTTATATCCGCAACTGATTGCAAATGAAGGACTGGTGTTTGTGCCTTGACTAAATTATGTGTTTTCTTCCAACAAACAACTCTAATAAAGTATGATTATTTTTGTTTTGCTCCTCGAAGACCACACATATTTCTTCCCTTTCCTAAACAATAGGAAAAAATGACCATCAAAGACTGGTTTTCCATAAACGTTCACCACAAGAACTCGGCAATGGAAATCTTTAACTCAGGGAAACGATACAAGTTGTATTTGATGAATACCAAACAAAGTAAACCACGGCTACTACTTTGAAACAGTGGCAGAATCCAATACAAACTTTTAGAAAAACAAGAGGCCTGTACCAAAGTAGAAAAAGGAAGCTACAAGCAGACCAAGTTGTAAAGGCCGTGTTTTACTTTTCTTCTCTCTGGTCAGAAGTGTAACACAAACGCTTTAAGTTAATTACAAATCAAATTACAATAAAACTAATACAGTCGAATCAACTGAAAAATGTTTAAAAACACACCTTGAGTCGTCCGCCCACCGAATAAGCCCTAAAGCGGAGTCCGTCTTTACTGTAGGAGAGCAAATAGCTTGTCACCCATTCCAAATGACCTTTCCGGCGTCCCTGTGTAGCAATACCTTTGACGATACACATCTGCCCCAAGTCAATTTGTAGCCACTGCTTCGTGTTGCGATATTTAGCTACCCAGGCTCCTGTTCGCCCGTGACTGGCGAAGATATTCAGACGCGCACGGTCGGGTCCGTGATTGTAGTTGTATGAAGACGACGCCCGAAGATTTCCCGATAGTATTCGTCGGTCTTCCATACCGAGGGGCAAGCTGCAACGGTCTGGGGTAAATCAAAGATGATCAAAGAGTCATATATTGAAGAACTATATACAATATGGTGGTCGTACATTTTGACAAAAAATACGGGTGGAAACTAAAAAGAAACTTTCTTACAAGCTATGAGTTAACTCAAGAAAACACATTATTCGCACTATTTTTGCAACTGCAGAGTCATTTGTGATAATATTGACCATAACAACTAAACTTCAAAAACATATAGTAGGTTGGACAGAATGAGCAAGCTATCACATATTTTACAATAACTGAGTGATTTCTCGCGCGCTGTTCAGTGGTCGAGAGCTAGAGAGAGAACCCTGGGAACGAGGTTGGAGAGTTATGGTCGATAAGAGTGCAGACCATGAAAATGACGTGACGGTGGAGCAATTTGTATTTCTTTCTCTCGCGCGTGCGTTTTTCCGAAAAACTACAACTTCAAAACCGTCAAGGTTATTGTAAAAAAACAAATCGACAACAACATTCCAATGGTCTGTACTCTTATCGAACATAGCAATGACGTCAAAATGTTCAAAACTTTTCAGTGAAACCACTCGTGGTTTCATTTGAGTTTTGAACATTTTGACGTCATTGGTATGATCATATCCAACCTACTTATGTCATTTCCATGGTCGATAAGAGTACAGACGATGACAAATTGTTGTCGATTTGTTAAATTTACGATCTGCAAAATGCTCACCCGTAAAGCACCCGTAGAACTCCACACGCATAGAGATGTGCCTATACCATCCCCAAGGACAGACTCGGATGTATCGACCGCGAATGGCAGGATTGAATGGATTTGTCGCCACGGTGTTACGATCTCGGTTTCCAGTGAAATACTTTCTACTATTACGTTCTTTGTACTCCACGAAATTGATGGCGTTAACGCTGTGTTTAATGTAATACTGCGTGACCCACTGACTGACATCTTGCCTTCCCTGGGTTGATAACTTGATTATCTTGACTGGTCTTTTAAAGTCGACCTGTAGGTACTGATACCGGTTGTTGCTTCGCGCGCACCAGGCACCAACGTACTTCCCGTGGCGTGCGCGATGGAGCCGCCCCAGGAAGGGCGCGTGGTATTTGTTCCATTGAGAAGACGCTGTCATTTGAGTGTTTCTGAGACGGCCATTCTGTAATCCCATTGGCTGGTTGCACTGTTTACCTGTATGTGAAACATCAATAGTTCATTGACAGTTCATGAAAAATGAATGATTGGATCACCTGACCGACGATCGTGATCGAGAAGGTTATATGAAAATACCTCTCATACGAACAGAATCGATCCGGACAATTGGGGCGATGTCAGTTGCCTAGGTAGGACTGAGGTCTGTCTGGACGTTCGAGGCGATAATATAGAAAACACAAAGTTGCCTATAGCTATAGGTCATCTCCATCGTTTAAAAAACGTGTAGGACAATTGGACCTACCGTGACAATCAAGACGATAATGAAGAAACCTTGCATAAATGAAAAACGCGATGACACAACCTAGAATAGCACTCCTACAAGTGTTTAAGCTAAAAGTAAAGTAAATTGCCTCTCACCCAGTCTGCAGCCGAACAGTTCGACCCTCATAGATATGTAGCTGTACCAACGCCTGACATTTATGCGCACGTAGCGAGCAATGAACGGTCGAAAGAAGCGATGGCAGACCACATAGTACCTCTCGATATTAGCCTGAAACAGCTAAATTTGAATTAAAGCATTAAAATAGTATGAGAGAGTCGGGAGAAATCTCAAAATTGTCGTTCACGGTATTAATCTCCAAGAAATAAACTTACACTGAAGAATCAAATTAAACTCAAACCTAGAAATTTTCAATTATTATAAAAACATAGTGCCCGTTACTGAACGGCTTCAACAGTTTTCCTGTAGATCTGGTGATTGTTTCAATCTTAAGATTTGGATTGTTTTGCCCAGGAATCTCAGCCACGATTTGCTTTATATCAAAGCTCTGATTAGAAGGGAAGTTGTTTTGTACACGATTCATCCACGTTTTGTTTTTTTGTCTTAACAGGAAAAAGACACTCGGGAGGGGTATGGTATTACTGCAGTACACTTTCACAATTTCTTATAACCTCTAAATGTACATACCCTCGTTTTCCTCCCCTCCTTATATGATACAAACTTGTCTCCCTTTACACTGAACGACACGGTATAGGACTTCACAAACTGATTAGCATCGTAGCGTCCTTGAGTACAGATTCTCTTCACGCGTGACTTGGTCCCAAAGTCGATCTGAAGCCATTGATTCCTATTCCGGTATTTAGCAATCCACCCTCCCCTTCTGGAACCGTAGTTTCGTGCATGAAGTCTGGCATTCCAGGGACCATAATACTGGTTGTACATGGAGGACGCAATAAGCATCGATGGGGTAATTCGGCCATCTTGCATTCCCAACGGAACATCGCAGGGATCTACGCAAGAAGATAATAACAACAATTATACAAGTGGTCACAGCTTTCACTCATTGTGCAAGGCTTGAAGATGTCGAAAGGAATGACCAAGTGACAAATAACTGGCACGCAACTTATTTCATGTGTAACATAAACGGATTAAGAATCCCAACTGGCCGGAGGCGAACCAATTGGCTATTTACAAGCGTGGTCGAGGATTGGAACTCAGGACTACCGAGAACAAATCCAACTAGCGGTCAGGCCGAGACTTGAACTCGGGGCCTTCGAATTACAAGTCCAGCGCTCTAACCACTTGGCCACGCTGCCTCCACTTTCGTTGGGGAGGATTGCGTAACGAGACAAATGACCGTCAACGTGGGAGGATATAGAGCCGCTAAAAAGCACAATGTTGATAATATATACGGCATTGAATATCATGCAAGGACCCCTTTCAAAAAATACGTCTTCCTACTGACCGGTTTTGCATCCGTAAAATTCCACTCTCATCGAAATGTGCCTGTACCAACTCCACGGGTGAATGCGGATGAACCGCCCGTACACTGGAGGAGTAAGGGCTTGTATTTTGATGCTGTTTTGATCGTTGTTACCACGGAAAATCTGCCAAGAAAAATGCCCCATGAAAAGGTAACAGATTCTATAAACTCAAATGAAACACAGGGTCTCACTGTAATAAAAAAAGTATATATAACTTCTTTTTTCAGTTTCCAAAAATTGCTCTGTAACCCTCAGTATAGAACTCGTTGAGTTTTATTAAGATTTCGAAGGTGTAGATACGCACGATCAAGAAACTCAACGATAAGAGACCAAAGTGGAAAATCAGATCTGGAGGAAACGCCTTCTCCTCCAGTCAATTTCCACTAGTCATAGTAGACCTTTCCACTTAATAAGGCGACACGCGCTCAGTTGAAGTTGACCTCATCCTGAAGAATAGCAGTACGAAGTAGAAATGTCGCGATTTATAACTCAACTGACGACATCAAAGAACGAACGATAATCTACTTTATTAATGTACTCAGCCAAGATGAACAATACCCAACTTTTCCAGGCAATTACCTTGTCGCTGTTTTTGAATCGATAGACTTGCCAGTGCACTCCATCTAAACTTGAAGACACCTTATAATAAGTCACCCACTGGGTAGCGTCTTGCCTACCCTGTGTCAAAATTTTGGTGATTTTCATTGGTCGACTAAAGTCCACCTTGAACCACTGGTTCCTGTTATTGACTCTAGTGCACCAGGCCCCAACATATCTCCCTTGCTTCTTTCGTCCCAGTCTCCCGAGTCTCGCCCCGTGGTAGACATTGTACTCGGATGAAGCAGTGATCTTGTTGTTTCGCAGGCGACCGCTTTGTAAGCCCAAGGCAGTGTTACAGAGGGGTCCTTAAAAAGAAAATAAGCACCATCATAAATGAAACTTTAGGACCCAATACCCTTGAAAGCACTTTAAGAAACCTTAAGATCTAAACTCCTACATCACTATGACTACAACTTGTACCACTTGTTAACGGCTTAAGAAAGTCACTTGTAAGGTAAATTCTTTAATCCTTCCCCATGAGAGTTTTGAGACATAACTGGTATGAGATGTGGAAGTTGAAGTCCTAGGGAACACCACCCTTATTCTTAAAACAGAATTTTAAAAAAGTTACGTTTAAGTCATATCTTATTTGTAATAGGGACTATTTCATTTGAAATGCAGACAGTGAGATAAAGATTCAAAAAAGAGACACAACCACTTTTCTAAACCGACCTTGAGGTTTCTAGGAATAACGCTGCTTTGAGTGTTTGATACAGCTTCTCTCCGAATCTCCGAAGATTAAATCTCTTGATTTGAGGTAAGAAGTCTCCTTAATTTACAGTTTTCCACCATTAACTGTCAGAGACAAAATGGATAACTTACTTGCACAGCCATAGAGCTCGACTCTCATTGAAATCCAGCCGTACCATGTCCGTGGATGAATCTTCACGTAAGCGGCACTGAACGATCTCAAAAAACGATGATATACTACAGAATTTCTGTCACTATTGCCTGAAAAAATCTACCAAAAAATAAAATAAATAATACGCATTAGCTATTTCTAGTGTAACCAAATTTAAGGGTAAAAGCACTCGTGAAAACGTAAGTGGATTCATGTTCTATGATCTTTCAGGGTTAGTTCGTTGAATTCTAACTAGAAAGCCTGTAAATAAAGGAGAAAACACAAACATTTTTCACAGGTTTCGATGGTTACATACATATAATACTATGAGTGGAGAAGAGAGGGTTTTGAAACTAGAAAAGAGCGTATCTCTCACCTTTACGCGTCTTCTTTCCTTATAAGGAACGTAAGTGACGCCATCTCCACTATACGTCATAACATAACTCATCACCCATTGATTGGCATTTGATCTTCCTTGGGTTGCAATTCCTTTAAAACGCATTACGTCACCAAAGTTAACCTTCATCCACTGCTTGCTGTTTCTAGTGCGCACGCTCCAAGAGTAGATGTGGTTTAAACGGCCATACCACGGTGCAAGGTAGGCATTGTAGTAACTTGAGGCTGATATATCGCCTGGTGTGAGTCGCTTGTCTTCTAAGCCAAGAGGCATGTTACAACGGTCTGTAATGAGAATGGTGAATAATTCATTCAGATAAGCTCTTTGAGTCCTATGCCTCAGGTGCTAAAAACACAAACGCACCCAAAACGTATCTCAAACGCGCTGAGCTAAAAGTACAATGAAAAAGCTGCACACGAGGACATGGCACGCGCTGTAAAAGCGTTCCAAACGAGGCCAACGTCGTTCTTGAACCACTCCACAGCCTGTGGAGCCGGGGTGTGCTCTTGCAACTTGAACGCGCTCAAGATGACTCGAAAATGACTCAGACATGCCCTAAAGGACTAAAAAATGCGGCAACTAGAAGCCCATTAAAAACGGCTCAAATGTGTGTCAAGAGGGTCATAAACGGACATCAAAATGCGTTTTAAACGCGTCCAAAACGCGTCCTGCCACAAAATGATCCTTACATAACAAAACCATTTCTACCTTCAGCGCATCCGTAGAATTCCACTCTCATGGAGATGTGTCGGTACCAACCCCATGGGCGAATCTGAATAAACCTAGCTTTGATTGGTGGAAAGAATCTGTATTGTACGACTGTGTTTTGATCCCTGTTCCCAGTGATATACTGAAAAGGCAACGAAAAAAGGGTGGGTTACGTTTAATGATTAGACTGCAATTGGGTAATCAATTCCAAAGGTGCAGGTCGTTTTACAATTTAACCCTTTCACTGCCAAATGCGGCCAAAGGCAAATTTCGACCAAATTTCCAAATTTTATTTTCTAAAATTTTGACAAACAAATAGCATGATGTGTAAGTACAGGCAGAGAGCTTTTATTTGAATGGTCACATCATAGGATTTCGTCCACAGACTCAAAAGTTACAGTCACCTTACAAAACTCTATCAAACACTCTGCAAGTGAAAGGGTTAAGCAAATCAGGGAAGACAGAAAATAGATTTAAGTTGATCGCACATTAACTTCTAGTGTAAAAAATAAGCATGCATTTCAGAATTAATTCAAATGGTTAGAGTCAGCGTCTTCAGTGCTCCCAATAATTGAAATTAAGTGCAAAATCATACAAGCCACCCAACGAACCTTTCGATTACTGTTTTCTTTATACTCGGCAAAATTCGCACCATCTTGACTGTAAACCACGAAGTACTTCGTGACCCACTGACGCGCATCTTGTCTTCCTTGCGTGGCAATCTTCACAACACGCGTGGGACGTTTAAAATATACTTGCAAAAACTGGTAATGGTTATTATGACGCGCGCACCAAGCGCCCACTCGAGCGCGACTCTTGCGCCAATGCAGCCTGGCGTTACTCGGTCCGTGATTACGATCCCAGCTGGATGAGGCGGTTATTTGATTGGAGCGAATACGGCCATTTTTCATTCCTAACGGTTTGTCGCACCTTGGACCTAGAAGGGGTAAGGTGAAACAAGACTTATTACCAAGGTTACAATATTTCAAGAGAGGCACAGTTTAAACAAAAGAAAAAAACACTATTAGGCAAGTAGTAAAACAGGAACTGCGTTGACCCCTTTTTTGGCTAAGAATCTCATAAACAAGGGTACAGAAATACATGACCGTCATAACCTAGAGTCTCTCAATCATAATCTCATTAGAGTCTAGGTGAATAACTATACTTAAATGCTGATGACGCATTAGCCTATTGTCTCAGTCGTTTCCTTGTCAATACTAATTCGGTCTGTTATGTAAGCTATATATTTTACTTCATGAATAACTGGTTATGCCAGTACATTCACCACTACAAAAGTTTTGTTTGATTTCCCACTAAAGGTACCTTATCTCCGATTATCCTTATGCATACAACTTATTTTTATCCGAAAGTTAAATAAAATTGAAATATTAAACTGAATTACTCACCAATGACGCAACCATAGAGCTCAACGCGCATGGAAATCCAACTACGCCACGTGACTGGATGCACCTTGAAGCAACGACCGGTTAACGGTCGGATAAACCGGTGCCGAACCACTACGTAGCGGTCAAAGTTTCCTTGGAAAATCTAAGAAAACATTTTAAAAAACATTGCCAGGTTAAATATTTGTTGCAAGACCATTTTGCTGAGAAAATCTTTATAGGATAACTTTCTTATTAACAATGTTCAAATATCGCTTACAAAATGAACGTTTTGAAGTAAAAAGCGTACATAGTCTGTCTTCAGTTAAAAGTTATTAAGAGCTAGATTACTTTACATCGCAAATATTGTGACTTCGGTTTTTAACACAGTGTTAAAATCTCAAAAGGTTATCACCACCTCATCGACACGACAGGATCACAAATTAATTCGCGTGCAGACTATTCCGCGTGAAATCGCGTCGACATCTTACAAAGCGTTTTGTTGGCTTCATATGACTGTTGAGACGTTATAGACATGGCTTGTGGAAAGTTAAGGAGATGATCTCTCACTCACCTTTGTCCTTCTGTTCTCTTTATAGGTAATAAAACGGTATCCCTTGGTGCTGTACGACACATAGTAACTAGTCACCCACTGGTCAGAATTTTGCCGACCTTGAGTAGCAATGCGTGACACTCGAGTAAGCCCTCCCAAATCAATCTTAAGCCACTGACGCCTGTCACTCCGTTTAGCACACCACGCCCCTCCAAGCCGCCCAACGCGCCTCTGACGGAGCCTGGCGTTCCGCGGCGCGCAGTAGTAGTTGTAGAATGAGGAAGCAGTTATCAGTTGGTCAGGTACACGACGGTCTTCCAAGCCAATAGGAACATCACATTTGCCTGCAAAGGGAAAAAGAAAGGGAATTCAGGAAACATAAAACTCCAGCCCAGGAAGAGGTCTTTCGCACACCAGTTAAGTTCTCTGAAGGAGCGTTTCGACGGGAACAACAATGATTCCTGATGAAAAGGCTGCATCAAAACAGTTGTCTAACAATGGAACTGAGAAATAAGGCGTTTGTTTGTTCAGATACCTATACATCTATTGTCAAGATTAGATAACGTTCTAGTGTCGCTATTACTGCCAATAAAGATAGAGATATCCGGACCATTTGCACTTACTATATGCGCCTCCATACAGCTCAAGTCTCATCGAGATATGTGAACGCCATCCACGGGGGTTGATTTTTATGAATCGCGCGTACAGTGGTGGATTAAAGGAATGCGTTCGAAGGCCATTCTGGTCGAAGTTTCCCCTAAAAGTCTGAGATATAACGATATCAAAGAAAAAAATCAGTAAACTAGCCGTTGGTTAAACAGCACGCCCTCAAAAAGGTTTTCTTCCTGTAGTTACAAAATAAACCATGAACATTCATCCTTAATCGGCATACCGCCGGAGTTAAGTCACCTTTTAGAGAGGAGTAACGCACTTCGATATGCAACGCTTGTGCGCCACCTAGATTCTTCTTGCACGAAAGACCTTAAAACTTCACCCTGACACATACGACCCCAGAAAGGTATACTTCATCTAAACTGCAATAGACCCAAGACACTGTACGAGCAGCTTGTCGTTATTGTGTGGCAAATAAAATGTCAGTGAAGTGCATTCCACCCAAACAGTAAAAAACCGAAAACGCTGACACGTGCATCTTGGTGTCACCAGGTACCACGTTCAATGTCAGTGTTTGAAAAGACCTAAAACACTCACCCTTATATAGTCCCACCAATACGTGACCCTTGAAAAGTGCATTCCATCCAAACTGTAATAAACCCAAAACGCTGTCACCCACTGGGCAGCATCCTGCCTTCCTTGTGTCGCTATGCCCGTGACTTCAGTGGGAATTCCCAGGTCGACCATCAGCCACTGGTTGTGGTTATTTGGGCGGGAAGCCCACGCGCCAATGTAACGACCCTGTTTCGGAATGTGCAGTCGAGCTCGGAAAGGAGCGTGGAATTTGTCCCATTGCGATGAAGCGGTAAAGGCAGCGTTCTTTATCTTTCCTGTTTGAATTCCCACGGCTTGATCAAAGAATCGCTCTGATGATCGGAGGAAACGAACACAAATAAATTAGCCTTGCAGAGTTCAATCACTGCTCTTGTGTTGGTATCCTTGGTCACGGAGTGTTACAAAACCAATATATGAACCTTTCCCTTGCAAGCAAGAAAAAAATTTCAGCAATAGTAACATAACCTCCCCCATTGAAAGAATAGTCTTTCAGGAGAGCTAGACCTGGTCTCTGGAAAGTAAAATAACAAATGGTGTCTTCTTTTGTCCTTGAATGAGATGCTATGCGATACAGATATTGCTGATTTACCCCAGTAATAGGTCGCCATTATAACAGTTTGCTAAACGTCGAGATGGAGGGCGCAAGTGAAGAAAGGTTACTTGTCTCGGGATACAACTTGGCATCAAATACAACCCTTTAGCTCACAAATGCAATGCAAAAAAATCGCACTACCACGCTTCGAGCAATATGTAGACTAATTGTAAGAGGCCTTCGAATTTACCTCGATATCGACATCCATACAGTTCAACCCGCATGGCGATGTAGCTGCGCCACGACTTGGGATGAATGCGCAAAAACCTTGCTCTTATTGGTGGAATAATCTTTAACGAAACCGTATGGTAGATATCATAATTTCCACGAAACACCTATGAAAGAAGCACAGAATTCAACGTTACACGAACCCTAAATAAGGTAGTCAAGACAACTTTAAGAACAAACTACGAGAATACTGGCCATGACAAAACGGAAAAAGAGACCTTAGAATCTCTCCTGGCCTCACAAAAGGACGACGTCTTTACTAAGACATTCCTGTTCAACGTTCTTGAAATTAAATTGACCGAAGGGTATAAATTATATTGACTCGAAACACTTATGTAATGTTCCAAATATACTAATTTCTGGAGAAATTTATTAGTAAAGAATCAAAAGAAAAGTCAGGAAAGGCTAACGCCTTCAATGCCGTATGTAAGGATATTCTGCTACAACATCTGTGACCGGTGATCACAGGTTTACCTTTATTCTGCCATAAGCTACGTAAGGCCTAAACCGTAGGCCCTTCACACTGTAAGACAAGGTATATCTTGATACATATTGATGGGCTTCTCTTCGTCCCTGTGTAGCAATGCCTTTGATGATACTCAGCTGTCGCAAATCAACCTGTAACCACTGTCCGGTGTTGCGATATTTTGCAACCCAGGCTCCCGTTCTCCCGTGACCGGCGTAGATGTTTAGACGCGCGCGGTCAGGTCCGTGATTGTAATTGTATGACGACGACGCTCGAAGATGACCCGATAGGATTCTTCGGTGTTCCATACCGAGGGGCATGGTGCATTTATCTGCGAGGGGAAGAATCACACCGGTAAGACTAAAAGATGAGACATTCTCAGAGGTCGCTGCCCATAATAGGCCGCTATGCAATGTAGAAAATGCTACGTCCGCTGTGATTGGTCATTACCTTTGATCTGTCAGAGTGCAGACACACGGATGACATGAAAGGCAAATTGTTTCGTATGTGTTGTTTAACTACTGGCCACAAAAAACGTTTAGGAAGAGTTTTTTCCACTTGAGAAAAAGAAGAAACCGAGGCAGCGAAAAAAGTTCTTGGGATCTTGAAAAATACTTAAACTCGACCAAATCTTCGAACAATCCAACGCTAAGACGCACCTTTCTGTTTTTATTTTTGTGATTGCTGTTGTTCTGGTCAATGTATAAAACAAATAGACCCCACTTTACTGTGTGTAAGTGGTGTCTGATTATATCTAAACCAGCCAACCCCGTCCCAGTCTTCGATCGCACAGCACAGCAGCACTAAATATACGGGTGGACAGCACAAGCCGTGTTTTGTTCTCGACAAGTATATTTATCAACAAAAAAGTAACACTGGAGATCAGTTTTGTTCTCTTAAAGGTGGTAACTGAGTACTCCTTACCAGTTCGGCATCCGTAAAACTCGGCTCTCATAGATATGTGTCGGTACCATCCCCATGGATGGATACGCACAAAGCGGCATCTAAGAGCGGGGATGAAAGGGTGGCATACAACGGTATTCTGGTCGCGGTTACCTGAGAAATACTGAAAAATAGAAGCGAAAACAGTTGACAAAATATAATTATTATAATTGTAAAAGCACTAAGTTAACTAAGCATCGGATGAGAAGTAGCAACGCTACCCTGAGTACTAGGGGGTTTTTCCCCGAACGAGACGGGGTATTTCGGGCTCGGCACGAGCGGGTTACTAGGGACCTTAAGCAAGGACGACGACGACGGCAGTGAAAACGTCGGTAAAAAAATGAATCTACGTTCTTTCAAACTTAGTCGCGTCTATTTGGACCCGCTCAATATGTCAAATGCAGGCGACTTTCCCTGGAGTTGAATTCTTAAGGATTTTATTCAGGTTCAAAAATAAGACGGAAAATTCGTCGTCGTTTGTCCACGTCCTAAATAAAAGGTGAAATTAGGAGGTTTCACGTCGTAGTCGTGCATTGGACGTCAAAGAAATGTACTAACAAGCATGATGCACGTGCAGAGCTGTTGTTTTGATCATTAAACCTATTGGTTTTTTTGAAGTCGTCGTTGTGGTCTTCATCGTAGTTGCCAAAGCTCCCTACTGTAAATGCTTGACCAAATTAAAGTAACGCTTAATCACACGAAATACGAAAACATACAAACAATCTGAAACTTTACAATTTATCAGACCAATTAGCTTTTCCGACAAAAAATACCTTGATATTATTTCGCTCCTTGTACGGCCGGTAATTGATAGCATCTAAGCTGCGAGTCACGTAATACTGCGTGACCCACTGGTTTAAGTCCTGCCTTCCCTGCGTGCAAATTCGGATAATTTTTGCTGGTCCAGCGAAATCAACTTGAAGCCATTGATATCGATTATTGTACTGAGACGACCACGCCCCTATGTAGCGTCCATGGCGACGGATGTTAAGACGAGCTCGGTAAGGACCATGGTATTTGTCCCAGCGGGAGGATGACGTCAATAAGTGATTTTTCAGTCGATTGTTCTGAAGTCCCATTGGACGATTACACAGTTTTCCTATTGTAGAAATTTGAATCGTTATTAAAAACGCTAAGTAAATGGGTAGGTGTATAGGGCTACCATAGCATAACTAATTCACAGCCTGAGTTTGACCTGGTTTTTGAGTGTGTATGAATGAAACAACTAGGAGTATAGACCTCTTTCAACATTTCCCGATATGGTGGTCAAAACGATAGTTCTTCTCTACCCTGAAGAAGTAAACTGTTCAACTACAAAATAACGGATTCGCTGGAAGGAAATTATTGCTATCCCCTGTTGAGGGGATGCGAGTTTTTCGCATGGCCAACTCTACTTGTACCTTCGTTACCAATTTAAACAACAAAAAGGAAGGAATACAGTGTTTACTAAAGATAAAGAGTCTTTTGTCCAAGGGAATACGATGATTGCACGTCCAGGGCCCAAGTCAAGGAGTTAACATGTGCTAGGCACTAGATCGGGTGCCTCCACAGAAAGTAACAACGAGGTCAACACCTACGCCTCCCCTAATGAAGCGTTAACGCTTAAAAGTTTGGGGTTGGGGGCGGGGTGGGTGGGTGGAAATCTTATAAGGAGTGAAAAGAGATACGCGATGTAGAAAAGGGACAAAGAATTGTTAAGAATTTTTTAATTACAAAAGACAGCAGCTTCCTCTCAATGACTCGTATTTTGTCACCTGTCTTAGACGATAAGGGAACGAAAAAAAAAAGAATAACGTAACTCTGTTTGTGAGCTATCTTCATGATTTCAAGGTTCATGGTACATACCTAGTCTACAGCCGAACAACTCCAGTCTCATTGCAATCCAGCCGTACCAGGACTTTGGGTTAATACGAATGTAACGCGCTCTTACGGCCGGGCGTAGCCTGTGTACCACCACAAAGTAACGTTCTGTGTTCCTTTGAAAGAGCTTTAAAATGCCAGTAAAAACGTCAGTAAAAGTGTGGTACTTTGACAGTTATGGCCCCAGTTTTTCAATAGCTTAAGAGTGAGTGCTTTCCACTGGATAAATCACTATCCAGTGCATAACCATTATGCAAACCAATTGCACTATCAACTGCATGGAGATTTATCCGCTGGATAGCGCTATCCACCTTTTGAACGACTGGGGCCAGAAGTTACTATATACTGTATACCGTGCCTTACTGACCAAGCGCCAGCAAAGATGACCAGATGTTGGGCAAGCTCTTGACCGAACAAGCTCGGTCATTAAAAAACATTTATAATATGGCTTGCGGGACCTAGCGGGAAAACTCGAGCAGGCAGTATAGGCTTATCTTGCCCCCTCGGGTATACAATCAGAACGCAGTATTCGCTTTATCTTGCCTGCTCGGGAAACCAGCCACACGATAAATAAAGTTAATGGACACATGTGCACATTGCGCACCAACCATGTTGAGGCAAAAAAAGAAACATCCTTACCCTGGTTCTTCTCGCTTGCTTGTAAGGGAAAAATCTGACACCATTATTGCTGTAGGAAACAGTGTATGACGTCACCCATTGATTAGCATCATATCGAGCCTGGGTAGCGATTCGCTTGACAATTGAAACAGTTCCCAGATCAACCTGCAACCATTGTTTCGTGTTCCTATACTTAGCGATCCAGCCTCCTCTGGTTTGGCCTCGATTCTGTGCCTGAAGTCTGGCACACCAGGGACCGTAGTAGTGGTTGTACATTGAGGAGGCGGTGAACATAGAACGAGTGATGCGGCCATCTTGGATTCCGAGTGGGACGTCACATCGATCTGTGCAAAGCACGAAATGGCATGATGATGAGGAGGATAAACAACGAAATTGTTCGGACACTATCAACATCTTTAGTCTGTGCGAATTATAAATAATTGCAAACACAAAAAATACTGCTTAAGACTGCTTATAAATATAACTTTGTGGATAATTATTATGTAGCTATATAAATTCACCGAAATTTAGTCTTGATCTTTTGGGGTTTTAATTTTCAATTTGTTTTAATTTAAGTCTAAGTATGAACAAGATAACATCCCATCGGGACAAGATATTTGCAATTTCAAGTATCCAAGTTTTCAAAGACAAGATGCAGCCGACCAAAACAAGACTATTTTTAAAGAGGGCCATCAAAAATATTAAGATTGAAATCATTGTTGTTTCTTTTTCCCTTTCCTCTTTTTCTTTCACTTTCTCTTCTCTTCCTTATCTGCTAGACCGATCAACTTGCGTTAGAGCCCTTCGCATGACATGACATGATACCCTCAAAATGGAGTAATAACCATGATACGGGCTAACGCCCTTAGGAAGACTAACGTCCGCAGGTAGACCAATTAAAAAAGCAACTTACCAACTGGACATCCGTAGAATTCTGCCCTCAGACACGGATAGCCATGCCAGCCTCGAGGATGAAGACGGATGAAGCGAGCTCTAATGGCAGGGTTAATGGCGTTCATTTTAATGCTGTTCTGGTCGCGATTTGCTTGGAAAAGCTGTTGACGATTAAACAAAATGAGGAATTTAGCGACGCGTTCTCAAACATATCGTAACTGTACAAAGAACGAGGAATAATGATCTTAAAATCTTGTTCATTCATAGCTTATGATCGGGAGTATCATCGTCATCATCATCTTCATTATCATCTTCGTCTTTGTTTTCATTTTCACTTTCATCTTCATCTTCACTTTCATATTCATATTCATTTTCATCCTCACCCTCATGTTTATTTTCATTTTCATCCTCCTCATTCTCATTTCCATTCTCATTTTCATTCTCATCATCATCCTTATCCTCATTTTCATTCTCATTCTCTTGACGTCGCGGTTGCGGTGAGGTTAAGAGCAACAAAAAACGTACAACCTTTTTTGCAACGTTGCTGTTTTTGCAACATTTTTTTTACGTCGCAGTCGCGACGCGGTTATCATCGCAAAAGGTCCCTTTTATAGCCCTTGTAACGCAATACAAGTTCACCAGTTTGTCTGGTTGCTCAGCAAAATCCAGTTGTTATGTTTTCTGATCCCTCTTACCTTGTTAACACTTCTAAACCGATACATTGCCCAATGAATGTTGTCAGCACTAAACGACACATAGTACGACGTTATCCAATGCCCCACATCCTGCCTTCCTTGAGTAGCAATTTTAGTAATCTTCATCGGTCTACCAAAGTCGACTTTGATCCACTGATTGTAATTCTTGTATTTTGCGCACCACGCCCCAATGTATCTCCCGGTCTTAATTCTTCCCAGTCTCCCAAGCCACGCGGCATGAAAACGGTTGTACGATGATGAGGCGGTGATCTTGTGATTGCGTATACGACCATTTCGCATACCCAACGGGCGGTTACAAAGGGACGCTGGGAATGGGAGAAAGGATAGTTACGGAGGGTTTACAAGGAAGCATAACAAAGGACATAACTTAAAACTTTGCCGAAAAGCTACAAGGTTAAAACCTAAGATTCCAACCAACCTTCACAGTTTGTTGTTTCTTAAACGTCTAGGAAACGAAATTTGCTTTTTAAGCGGGTAAGCGACAAATAGCCCTTATGCACGCTTACGTCAGACAAACAGATTTCACAAACAAGCCTTGTTTTGAAATTGCAAAAGAACTCAGGAGATGCTGTTCGCCGATTGGGCACAATAATACAAAGCATTTTTTGCCCAATCAGGAGCCACCATTCGCCTGACCGTTTGGATATGGTGTTGCGAGTGTCGATACCCAGGGGTTCTTCCGCTTGTGCTTGGAAACGTTTGTCGCGCCTTTCCTCCCGACCCTGGCAACTGACTGTCCTTTGGTCTCTAAGGTTGATTGATGCTTTGTGTCCAATACAATGAATCGGTGACCCAATCGCATTCTTACCCGAGCAGCCGTAAAGCTCCGCTCTCATGGAAATCCAGCCGTACCAACTCCTAGGGTAGATGCGGACGTAAATGGCTTTAAACGGTCTGACAAACTGATGATAAACTACGGAATGACGATCTGTGTTTCCGTTGAATATCTGAAAAAATAACAAACAAAAGAAACAATCGACGTTTTTTAAAATAGGACACTAACTACTTTGGGCAAGCACACTCATGTATCCGACGGAGCAAAACTATGCAACGCGCACCACATCGGCGGAAACGCGTGTCCGCAAGTTATGATCGGTTTCAGTTTTTCGTCCTCTAAGCAAACCAAACTCGGATAGGCGGGTCATCCTTCTAGCCGAGGCAACTTTTTGTTCTCATGTAAACGGTTTGCCAAGTTTTGTAAGGAAATGAAGGAAAAGTTGGCTTGCCCAAGGTACTGAGCTCGAGTAGGCGAGTGATCCTTCAACCCAAAACAAGTTTTCTCCATATAAACAACGACTTTGAGGGCGTATGACTATGTAATTTTTGACATGAGACAGAACTTTATATACTTGTGACTTAAGGCATATATGCCCGCTGCAATACATTACCTTGAATCGCCTATTTTCTCTGTATGGTGTGAAGCTCATTCCATCAACGCTGTATCTAACTGTATAGCTTCTAACCCACTGATTGGCGTTCTGTCGGCCCTGAGTAGCCACTCCTTTTATACGCATTAACTCCACAAAGTTCACTTGGAACCACTGACCCACACGATTTCTGCGCACGCTCCATGAGTAGATACTATTGAGTCGACCATACCAGGGTGAAAGGCGATAGTTGTAATAACTTGAGGCGGTCAAATGTCCGTTTGGAACCCGTTTGTCTTCTAAACCAAGTGGCATGACACAACGATCTGAAAATTGGAAGGAATTTTTTATACACGTATTAACAATTTTCAAAGTGAAAATAATGAAAACTACTACCTTGAAGAAGAGATTTGGAAATGTGATGGCAGTTACTAACCCTAAGCTTTGCGAGGTTTGTTGCTGTTGTTCCTTTTTTCATGAATCACTGATCATTCGAGAAGGTATAGCAAACACTCTACAGTTTCAAAGAGTATTTCACTGTATGTGGACAACCACTTTGAATTCAGTCTACTTCTCAGTTCTGGCTCTAAGCTGAAGCAATCCATTTTCATTTTGACAGTATATTACTTCTCGGTTTCTAGATATCGGCTGAAACACTCCTTCTCGTAATCGAAACATTACAAGACGAATTTCCGGGAGGTTTGGAGGGACCTCGGAGGGACGACGGAGCTGAGGGGGGCTGGGGAGGGCTTCCCCCACTTCAAGTCACCAGTCAGCTCCCCACTTGGAAATTTGATCCGCCGTCCAAACCCCGGTAGTACCCTTCATAACGTTTACACGCTTTTTTTGCCGCCCTAGTTTTTGGATCAGCAAATGAAAGAATTAGGACTCTATGCAAGGTTTCTTGAGAGATAAATATCTGTTTAGTAATTACTTTGTAGCTGCCGTCAGGAGAAGAACTTGTCATTTATCTCACCTTCTCTACATCCGTAAAACTCCATCCGCATGGATATGTGTCGGTACCATCCCCACGGATGAACCCGGATGATGTATGCCTTGATCCTGGGATAAAGCCCGTGCTGGACTACACTGTTCTGATCTCTGTTTCCTGTGAAATACTTAAGGATGTGTTCTACAAGTAAGCAAACTTTTTTAGACGTTGTCGTTGTTCCTTTTAAAGTGGTTGGTTCTATAGCAAAATCTGTAAGTGCCTCGTTAGCGCAGTAGGCAGCGCGTCAGTCTCATAATCTGTAGCAGATATCTGAAGGTCGTGAGTTCGATCCTCACACGGGGCACGGGATCTTTTTCTTTTTTTAAGGCAATGAAATTGGCAAAATGAACGAAAAAGTCAAATAAAACTTTGTGCGTAAACATTGGAACAAACACAATGAAAGCGGGACGAGGTCCAGAGCATTTCAATTATTGTGTCTCCATAGTTTTTTCATTTTTATTCTGCTGTAGACGGAAATTAACAAACATTTCCCTTTTGCTGCTCCGTGAAGAGCAAGACTATACTGATTCTTTTGATAAAAAAAAACGCAATTCGCTGTCAACGTGAAACATTAACCTCGACTCTCTTACCTTTCGGTTACTGTTTTGTTTGTATTCCGCAAAATGTATCCCATCCTGACTGAACGACAAATAATACTGAGTAACCCACTGACGGTAATCCTTTCGTCCCTGCGTAGCAACCTTCACCACCCGTGTGGCGCGACCAAAGTTTACCTGATACCACTGGAGACGGTTGTTGTGGCGCGCGCACCAGGCTCCACTCTTTCCGCGCTGGTGGAAATAAAGTCTGCCGTTGTTAGGGCCGTGATTTCGGTCCCAGCTGGATGAAGCGCTCAGTTGTGATGAACGGATACGGCCATTTTGTAAGCCCAGGGGCTTGTTGCACCTTGGTCCTAAAATATAAACAATCCCGCGAAAATATCGTTTTAACACTTCAACTTCGACGGTTAGATATGGAGATATTAAGTTGAAATTTAACAATCGTGACTTTGGATGAAATCCTAAGAAGTTACCTTTGAAATAAAAGCTACTACGGAGTATTTTCCTCTGGTGATGTTTATTATGCTAAATATTAACTTTTTGAGTCTGTGGATGAAAAGTGTAAAGATTTAAGGACACGGCGAGAAAGGAGCCTTCCCGTGTCGCGTGTCTAGCACTCCACTTTCTAGTGAAAAATAGTAAAATGAAGCTTTCCGGGAAGTCTATATTTTGTGAATACGCGAAAAAACTTTAAGTCAAATCTCGCACTCGTAGTCGTCCTCGTCCTTGAATCTAAAAGTCTCTATTTACTTACCGATTACACAGCCATAAAATTCCACACGCATAGAGATCCAGCTATACCACGTGAGTGGGTGTATCCTGAAAAAGCGAGCTGTAATGCGTTTTTTCAGCCGGTGCCGCACGATTATGAATCGATCGTAATTAGCTTGGAATATCTAAACGTAAAAGAACGGTTGAGTTAAACATTTAAACTTAAACTACGTTATCACAAAGAGCCTGCCCAAAGACATCTTCTATGAAGCAAAGGAAAAAGAAACGTCAGCGAGCAGACTGAACTGAGCATGTCAAAAAGAACACGATGTTAGTATACACAATACAAAACTTTTCCAGAGCGAAAGAAGGGATTATCGGTTGCGTGTTAAACATTACATAGACACATTCTGTTAGGTCTCCGCGCCATTTTTTTTTCTACTTAATTTCTATTATTTTGTGGCAAATAAATAGAACAAATAAAACAAACAAGCAAGAGCCCTCACCCTTGTACGCCTGCCTTCCCTGTAAGGAGCGAACTTGTAGCCATTTCTACTGTAGGATATATAATAACTCGTAACCCACTGAGCTGAGTTCTGTCTTCCCTGAGTAGCGACACCTGACACTGTCGAAAGCGCGCCAAAATCGACCTGCAGCCACTGACGTCTGTCTCGCCTCTTTGCGCACCAGGCCCCTCCCTGACGCCCGTACCGCCGTCTGTTGAGCCTTGCGTTAAACGGTCCACAGTAGTAGTTATAGAAAGAAGAGGCGCGTATGAGTGGATCCGGAACACGACCATCTTCAAGACCCAAGGGCATGTCACAACGATCTGATAAAAAGAAATTATCATTAACAATCTTCAAATGTGAAGAATCATCCGTATGCGAAAACAAGTGAAGAATTACTTTGTCATAGTTTACCATAGCCGTATGAGGATTGACAAAGTCCTTACTTATCTTTAAAGCGAAAAACCCTGGAGATAGTAATAAGGAATGCCAGGAATGTTGGAAAGGAAAAATCTTCGTGCGGGCCTCCATTGATTTAACAAGTTTCTTTTAAGTTGTGTGAGCAATGACTGGTGACGAGACTCGGTGGCGGATCCAGACATTCCCTACAGGTGGGTGGAGGGCGGTCTTCCAGATCCTGAAATAAGGGGGGGCGGTCTCAAACAAATTTTTTTTCGCCCTTTCGGGCCTTTTGGTCTAAAAATAAGGGCCGGGCCCCTTCACTGGATCCGCCACTGTTAAAATTATGTTAGTACGGAAGTTTTGCCAAGTAACCTAATATGTAATAACAATGTAAGTAAGTGAAGTGTAGAATGCAAATAGTAAAAGTGAAAGGAAAAAAATGAAGAGAGTGTTTGGGCCTTGTGACTCTGCATAACTTGATTCAAATTTCTTTGCGTGGTGAATGATTCCAGGATAGGTCGTGCTCAAAACGTAAACATATGTTGCAAGTATAGTCAGTTTTTAGGACGAGGACAGAGGATGACACAGCAATTAACTGCATACAAAAATTAATCCGCCAATACGTACAGTTGAACGTCTCTTCAACGGCCACCTTGGGGACAGAAGAAAGTGGCCATTGTAGAGAGGTTGAAAGAAGAGTGAATACATGGACTGCCCCCCCCCCCCACTCCCCCCCAAAATCATTTCAGTATCATTTCTAACTTTGAGGGCGTACTTTTTTTTCCACTTTACAAAACTACTACAATATGACTTACTCCAGGGTCCCCCATACAGCTCCAGTCGCATTGAAATGTGCGATTTCCAGCCACGTGGTGTAATTCGAACATAACGGCCGTAAATTGGAGGATCGATGGAACGTGTTTGTACTGACATCCGGTCTCTGTTGCCTTGGAACGTCTAAACAGCAAAATAAACGATTAGAAATTCATCTTCTCAGCCTTGTTCTTAATAAGACCGCAAGTTCATGTAGGTAACTATAAATCCTCTGTAATTTATTGAACATAACTTTTCGGATGTCAGTGCCATGGAAAATGTTCTACCTTGACGTAATTCCACCAGTGTTTCACTTTGGCGAAGTTGACTCCATCCGAACTAATATACATATAGTACGCAGTGACCCACTGGTCAGCGTCCTGCCGTCCCTGAGTGGCAATTCCTGTGACCTTCATTGACCTTCCCATATCAACCTGCAGCCATTGTTTATAATCATTGCGGCGGGAAGACCAGGCGCCCATGAACCGTCCGCGACGCGACCGGTGAAGCCGCGCTAACCAGGGTGCGTGATTCTGATCCCACTGAGACGAAGCTGTGATGGCCGCATTTTTAATTCGGTAGTTTTGCAGGCCAATTGGTCTGTCGTAAAATCGCTCTGAAACAAATAAAGAGTTATACCTTATAGAAATCACATTAGCGCCTGTTATACGAGGAAAGATAAGACGCGTTAATCATGAGACGCGTCCTAAATAAGACGCAAACTATCCCGTATAAATGGCACATAAAGACGCGACTTAGCTAAGACGTGTCTTAACGAAGAACAGATGTTAAGGGCTGTTCTTAGATAAGACGCTTCTTATGAGATTAAAAACGATAACGTGCCGTCTACATGGGATAGTTCGCGTCTTATCTGGGACCCGTCTTTTGTAAGACGCGTCATATTTTTTCTCGCATAAATGGCCCTATTGAGTGTTTCCACTCACGTGGCCAGCATCTACACAAATTTATTGGAACAATAGAAAGCGTTTGCGTAAGAAAGGAGTTCAACTCCCACAGGACTGGTTGGGGACACCAACATGGCCGCCGTTTCATTGTTTTGGGACACCAATATGGCCGCCGTGACGTCATGTGAAAACACTCTATTAAATCGCCACCTGCGGAGTAAGGCAGTCAATGAGAACGCACTTCCCCAAAAGCGTGGGAAAACAAAGCATACAAGCTAAAAAGGTCCATTCAATTCAAACATCTGAATTTTCATAATTTCTCCAAGTACCACGTTAAAAATTCAAACAGACAACGGATTACAACTAGTTGCAACAAACGTTACTGAAAATCAACCTTACCTCGCGCACGACATCCATAGAGTTCCACACGTAAGGCAATGTAACTATACCAAGATCGGGGGTGAATACGAACGAACTGTGCTTTTATCGCTGGCAAAATCTTGTGACCCACCGTGTGATAAATGTCATAATTACCTCGAAAGACCTACAGAGAGAGAAAATACTTAATACGATTTTAAGTTAAGGAGATAATTATATATTAAATATTTGGAAATATACAAAGAGAACAAATTGTGATAATAATAAAAATAATACTAATAGTAGTAAATAGAATGCTTAATTGCTCATTTGTAAATTAAGAGAAGGTTTAAAATTCCTAATGTTGTTAGATCCAGTTACTAAATAAGTCAAAGAGAATCGCGTCATTAACAAGTTGATTCAAATTAAAGGCTGACCACTTTGTTTGTACGAAAGAGTAAAGACAGTGGAAAATTATTGTTTATTGATAACTCTCGTTTCAAAATAAGAATGCATTGAGGTACTTCGTTGGAGGGGGCAGGTACAATGGAGAAATTACCGTATTTCCTTGAAAAACCGCCCGGCGCTTATTCAAAATTTCGGCTGAAAGGATAGGCGCTTATGGGAATGAGGGCGCTTAGAAAGGGAGACGCTTATTAAGTTTTCCTGTTGGTAATCAAGCCTACCTTAGTTCCATTATACGGTTTACACGCAGAGTTATCAATAAAGAGGCAATAGAAACAGGTTTTCCTTGTATCCCTACTATTAAAAAAACTGATGGGGGAGGGAAGGGGGCGCATATTCGAGGGGGTGTATGTTTGATATTTTGGCCTAAGAGGTGGGCGCTTATTAGAGAGTGGACGCTTATTCAAGGATATACGGTATACGAAAAAAATACTTCAGTTCTTAGGACAAAATCCAAACCAACCTTCACTCTACCGTAAGCTACATAGGCCCTAAATCTGCTTCCAAATCGGCTGTAGGATAAATGGTAACTTCTGACCCACTGATGGGCTTCTCTACGTCCCTGTGTAGCAATGCCTTTGATAATACTCATCTGCCTCAAGTCAACTTGTAACCACTGCTTCGTGTTGCGATATCTCGCTACCCAGGCTCCTGTTCGCCCATGACCGGCGTAGATGTTCAGACGCGCTCGGTCAGGTCCGTGATTGTAATTGTACGACGACGATGCCCGAAGATGGCCCGACAGGATTCGCTGGTCTTCCATACCCAATGGCATAACACAACCATCTTAACAATAAAGCAAACGTTATTTCTTTAAAACTGTGTATGTTATGTGTAATAACGTAGCAGTGTGAGATCAAAGCCAAGTATGGTCGCCGGTTTCCTCTCAGCAACCACCATCGAAAAACAACCGATCTCAGCCTCCAGCGATAGGCCAAAGTTATAGCCATATTAGAATTAGATTAAAGACAATCGACCAGATATGTAGGGAAGAAGAAGACGAAAACGATGACCCTTTATTTTTAACGCTGGGTCAAGAAAGATAAGTGATCAGTCCACATTTTATACGTAAACGAAAAAGCGTCCTACAAAACTGATCAATTCAAAGCTAGATCCCTTAGGACTTAGGACAAGCGCGATAAATTCAATCAGCAGTAGTAATTAGGGTGTTTGTATTGTGTAACAGTGCGGGTTATAGTTCAGTGTCTTTTCAACCTTTTGTATTACGTCATTTCGCGATCCCACCAATCCGCAAAACCAAGAACCTGCGGATTATTATACGTTACTGGGAAACTGCCCACCTACCCCTTCCCTAATCCAACATTAACACTTACTTCAGTCACTTAGGGCAAAATGTTGGTTTAAGGGAGGGGTATCTTTTCCCAGTAACGAAGATTGTTGCCCGAAACTGTAATCAGTCATTCATAACGTTATTCATCGTATTCTGCTATGTTTTGCGATCTTGATTTAAATACTTAAACATATCTATGAGCAAAATCACATAACAAGGCGTTGTTTGATCAGCTCTACAGTACTTTTTCCAGTTTATTCAAGTGAAAACTACCCCTAAAAGATAATTGCCTTTACTTCTAAATTGTACAAAATACCTGTGAGACAACCGTAGAACTCTACTCTCATTGAAATATGTTTGTACCATCTTCTGGGATGAACGCGAATATAGCGGCAACGCAAAATCGGGACGAAAGAATTTGTGACCACAGTGTTTCGATCACGGTTGCCTGTGAAGTACTGCAAAATAAACGCAGGAAAACAAGGAAAGTGAGAAAACAAAACACTTTTCAAAACTAGCATGCGATAGTTATTAAAATCCGATAAATTAACTCTTTCTAAAAAACATGAATTTTCAGAGAGACAATTTCCTTTTCGATCTGTTCATCTGTAGAGTAATTTCAGCGAGTTTAGACGCAGAGATGCGTCCCAAAAGTCTGCGTTCCAGTTAAAGAATCAGCAACCATGTCTTTTTCTCTCTCGCCCTCCCGCCCCTACCATTTATGAGTCACTCTCCCACGAGCGTAACGAGGTTTTTCGATACAGGTTTTACTCATCATCATATGATCGGTGCGTATTAGATTCTTCCGGATTGTCATGAATCCAGAACATTTTGGTACTAGATTCCTTTTGTCGTTTATACGCAGATACGTAATTTTAAATCCAAATTCTAATTTGAACTTTTTGAATCCGATCACTGTTGAGACCGCAATGTTTTGTAGTGTAAACAATTCTCCCAAAGAAACCTGATACTTTTCGGCTTGTGATCAGACTTTGCGGTCAGACCAAAGTGGCGGAACAATGATTGGTAACCGTCAGTGTGTGAACGATGGGTATCCGAATACGTGTCTAATGTAAACGCATGGGGAGACGAATAACCTAAACATCAAAAAACCAGGAAAATTTATGAATACGAAAAAAATCTTCTCGAGTGTAAACCTAGCTCAAAAAAAGTGTAAAATGTGCCCCGTGTGAGGATCGAACTCACGACCTTCAGATTGCTACTTTGAATTATGAGACTGACGCGCTGCCTACTGCGCTAACGAGGCACAGATGACAATCATAATGTGCAGAAACATTTTTAAAGTAAAACACACAAGGCCAAAACAAGTATCACAGACATTTCCGACTAAACCACAGCTTTTGCTACTGAGCTGAACTTTTAACGAAACAGGTACATTTGCAAAATTCATTAATCATTCATTAACGTGAAGACGAATCAACAGGTTATATTTGAGTTAATGCACCCACAAATCAACTGAGTTGATGAATTATTAATTAGTAGCAGTGAAACCTATAATTAGCGGACAAGCACGAGACCGTCGCAGATGTCCGCTTAACGGCAGTGTCCCCTCCTTCCGGTTCGTTTTGCAGAAAATAGTTGGAAAAAGTTTAAAACAAACTGAGCCATTCCTCAGGTAAATACAGGGTGCCCATGTAATATGGGGTCCGTACAAGTTTCACTGTACGACAAAATATTCCCGGGAGATCTGTGTGGACACTCACAATGACCTTTCGCTCATGGTTTACCTACAACTTATCGATTAATAAATGCTTTCCATACTTTAATATTGTTCCGCTCCTTATAAGGAACAAAGTGCAGCGCGTCAAGACTCCGTGTCACGTAATACTGCGTGACCCACTGCTTAAGGTCCTGACGTCCTTGCGTAGATATCTTAATAATCTTCGCTGCTTTTCCGAAGTCAACTTGCAACCATTGGTAGTAATTGTTGTACTTGGCTGACCATGCCCCCATGTACCGTCCCCTTCGTCTTCGGTGGAGACGCGCCAGAAAAGGGGCATGGTACCGATCCCACTCAGATGATGACGTAATCCTGTTGTTTTTGATTCGGCCTGTCTGCATTCCCATTGGGCGATTACAAAGAGTTCCTGTTGACATCAAAAAGGAGTGTTTTCTAAAACTGTTCGATATGATTATTGTAGAAGTAGTATGTTCTACACATTCCTTGCTTTTTTTAAAATGGTGTTGCCGGCAATAAATGCCCGTAACAGTCTGAAATAGAGCATTTTGCACGAAAGCACTAATTGGGGACACTATTTTTACGTCTCCTATTGGAGACGGGACCGCCATTTTACGTTGCGATCCGAGCCACGCGAAGGCTAGCCGTTTGCAGGGCAAAGGGAGTAACTTCATTTCTCAGTTATTTTAAGACCCTGAGTATTGGTCGAGCCCCGGGAATCGAACCCGCGACCTGCCGCTCTGCAGTGAAGCACTCTACCGACTGAGCTAATCCTGCCGCGGCAAAGAAAATGAATAATTTGTTATTGACCAGTATTGCTTGTATGTATCATGCTCATTATAACTGGTGCCAATGCTCCCCCCTGCTTACGTTGTACGTATACCACTCACCCAGTCTGCAGCCATACAACTCCATTCTCATTGAAATCCACCCGTACCAGGAAATGGGATGAATACGAACGTATCGAGCTTTGATGGTGGGACGGAGCCTATGCTCTACTACAAAGTGACGTTCGATGTTTGCTTGGAATATCTAAACGATAAAGAAAACACAAATCATCTCACGGAGTTTTATTCCTTTAGTTGGAACTTTATTTTAGGAAATTCGTCCAAGCACAGACCACTAAATTACTGTAAATAAAAAGTTAATGAATGTCTCTGCACCCACTTTAAAGCACGTCTAGAGATATGACGTTTCAGCGTTTCCTCGGAAAATGATTCAACACCATTACACAGACGCATTTTGGGGAAGAAATCGGAGGAAGGCACAGACTAAATTAAATTAAACAAGTTTCCTAACAAACAAACTGATTTACCAAATAGTTGAAATGACTGACCGACGGACTGATAGACTGACTGACTGACTGACTGGCTGACTTCTTCCTCACTGACTCACTGACTCACTGGCTGACTGAGAGACTGAGAGTCTGACTGAAGCAAATAAGAATTTACTGATTTACTGCCTTCTGACTATAATCTTGGAACCTCACGGGCAGATACTGCAATACCAAGAACCAGAATCGATAATAACAGCAACCAAGATCTGAATCTCGCTCTTAAAATGATATCAAAGACGAAGGCTCTCTAGAGACCCTCAAAAGGAAACTGAAATTTTCAACTTTAAAGCTATCGTAGATAGAGAAAATGTTCTCTCTGGCCAGCAATCTAATCACGTCGTTTGACACTGGCTTTAGCTGTGACGACTACGACAGCAACGAGGACGTCAAAAAAGCAATACGTTTATTAAGCAATTTCCGTCACTATACGACTATGACGTGAAAAAGACTAATTTCACGTTTAATGCAGGACGTAAAAAAGCGACGAGGATTTTTTCTTTCTCTTTCTAAACTTGAGTGAGTTGGTTCACTAGGAAATCAGTTTTAGGGAAAATCACCTAAAATTGACATTTTTCATTTCAAACTGGAATAAACGCGACATAGTTTACAAAAACGCGAATTCATTTTTAAAGTGAAGTTTTCGCTGTCGTCGCCGTCCTCTATGCTGAAGCTTCCTATTACCTGAACTCTTCTCCCTCGTCTGTATGGTATAAACCTGATTCCATTGTTGCTGTATGACAGCGTGTACGACTTGACCCACTGGTTTGCATCATATCGACCCTGGGTAGCGATTCTCTTGACCCTTGTAACCACGCCCAAGTCAACCTGTAACCACTGCTTCCTGTTCCGATATTTAGCGATCCAGCCTCCTCTCGTTTGGCCTCTATTCCGCGCCTGAAGTCTGGCGTTCCATGGTCCGTAGTAGTGGTTGTACATGGAAGAGGCGGTCAACATGGCGCGTGAAACACGCCCATCTTGAAATCCGAGGGGTATGTCACATCGATCTGAGGTAAGGAATTTTAAGTATAGTCAACTCTCTCTACTAAGTGCCTGTTAACATGCAGGTGGGGACCCCAGACAGGTGAGGTAATATGCAGGGGGTCACGCCACCTATCATGTAAACGTGATCAAATCAAATGAGAGATTATATGGACAGCCAGGTTACCCCACCTACCTAGGGTCCCCCACCTCTACGTAAACAGGCCCTTGAGGGAGGGTCAATGAAAATGAGTAAAGAACGGTAGCGAGCAAAACTGGGTTCTGCTGCAAGGACATGTCCTGCCGTACTTTCGATCTACGTTTTCTAGGCCATCATTCTATCGAACAACATCCTTCGACAGGACACATACCGTGTCGAAGTTAGTCTGTATACTCATACTCGATGTAAAAACCTGTGAAACTCACCAGTGACGTAAAACAATTAATACAAAGCAAGCCAGTGAGAAGTCGGCACAATAGAGCCAAGGAAAATAATAGCTAGAAAACAAAGAAAAACTTCACAGGTTTTTACACCAAGGATGATCCGAACTTTGAGCCAATTTGATGAATCACAAATCCGATCCCAGCTAGGCGGGTTACCCCACCATCACGTGATCTTACAAACCTGAGTGAAAAGTTAGCGATCAATTGCGTTTGCAAAAAAAAGAACTTCTGATTTTCTTATGTTAGCTAAACTGAAAAGTTGTCGACTGATTCGACGCAATAGCAATAAAAACTACGAATACTAAAAATATGCCCCGTGTGAGGATCGAACTCACGACCTTCAGATGTCTGCTTTGGATTATGAGACTGACGCGCTGCCTACTGCGCTAACGAGGCATCTCTGCGGTTTGGGTGTTTTTTTCTGTCATGACTTTTGATTGAACCATTTTTATCAAAAAGGAATTTTAAAAAAATAAAACTAATAACAAGTCGAAAAAAAATTGTCACTTGAACTTCATGTGGTGCGCTGGTGGAAGCAGTTTGAAAGTCAAACACGCAAGATCAAAGCAAGCAGCGCAGACATTAGTGAAATAGTCATTGATTTGGTTGGGAACTACACCTGAACCTGCTTGTTGAGGCAAATACGCAGACATACGGACCGAGGCCTGCTCCGGGCAGATTGAAGCACTGCTAGATAGCATGACTATGAACACCACCTTTAATATACACATGTATCTTAGTTCGTAACTTACCGGCAACGCAACCATAATATTCAGCTCTCATGGAGATATGCCTGTACCACCCACGTGGATTAAGTTTCACAAATCTTGCGAAAATTGGAGGGTTGATGGCGTTTTGGACAATACTGTTCTGATCACGATTGGCTTGGAAAAGCTAAGAACAAAATGGAGTATAATAAGTAGGTTGAGTATGATTGTCCGGGTGAACGTAGTCCTGAATAGGACTGTTGTTGTTGACAGTGACTGACGTTTCAACAACCTGTGCAGTAGTCATCTTCAGAGTCAAAGTGAGTTCAGTGTATCACGTCAGTTGATGGTATTAAACTTTGGTTATTGACCCAATTGGCAATGAAGTCGCGATGTTATTGGTCGTCTGTCAGTGAAGCCGTGCTGATATTGGCTAAGTAGACAAGTGATGACAGATGTCATCGGTGCGTTTCGATCCGTCTATTGTCACAGTTAAACAGTCGTTTCTTCAATATTGTCAGTTGTCCAGTCGTTCTCTAGTAGTTAGTGTCACTTGATTCCTCCAATAAATCGTTTGTACTGTGCCGATAACTGATGAGGACGATTCAGTGGCGTTTGTTCTAAGTTAGTAAACCAGCTTTCTAAAGTGAGTCGTTGATAGTAGTCTGTAGAATACATAATACATGTCGAAGAGTCCCAGTCGATTCAATGTTTCGTCTGTAAATGGTGCTCAGCAATGCGATTGTTGACGTCACCATTTTTTCACCATTTTCTGTTTTGTAACAGTAATAAAGACTAGCAAAAAACCTCTCTTTGAAACTTGTATTTTGATATATATTTTTCTTCCTGATGATGAAATACCTGCACGGTATATTTCTTACCTTATTTCCGCTCCTAAACCTGTATATGGACCAATGCACATTATCAACACTCGAAGACAAATAGAACGACGTCACCCATTGGCCAGCATCCTGACGACCTTGAGTACATACTTTTGTGATTTTCATTGGTCGACCAAAGTCCACTTTTAGCCATTGATAATGATTGTTGTGTCGCGCGCACCAGGCCCCTACGAATTTGCCGCGTTTAACTTGACCCAGTCTCCCAAGCCGAGCGGCGTGAAACTGGTTATACTCTGACGATGCCGTGATTTTACTGTCCGGAAGACGACGGCTTTGTAATCCTAGAGGCTTGTTACATGGAGAAGCTGATAAAATGAGTAAAACAATGAAGATTTAATTATGACACGGAATAATACGGAATAATTGTTAAGAATCTTATGAAATGTAATTACTGTAACGTAAGGGCCCTTAAACCACTCGCCGTTTGGTTAGCTCAGTTGATGAAGTGATAGACTGTGAAGCGGTTCAAATGGATCTGATTCCTGGCCAAACCAACACTCAGAAAACAGTTCTGCCTTTCTTTCACATCTGACTAGACTAGATAGTTAGTCTACTCTGATGTTAAATACTTACTAATCTTTTTTTTCTTAACCTTTTCTAAAGTCCAAAATTTGTCATATGTGTGCGTTTCCACTGTACCCCACGTTAAAGGCAAATATCATTCAATACCTGAGCATCCATAAATCTCTGCTCTCATGGATATCCATCCATACCAGGTTCTAGGATAAATACGGACGTACACGGCCGTGAAAGGCCTGGTAAACTGGTGATAGACGATAGAATGGCGGTCGGTATTTCCGTCGAAAATCTGAAACAAAACCAACAAATCATAGTATAGCTGCAATGAGAGGAAAACCAAAAGAACACACTTTTTCTTCAAATTCTTTTACAGTAAAATTTACTTTGCTTTTCTATAGCGCAAAATCTGGCCCTTTCTAGCCAACTCGTTTCAAGAGTCTCTCTTCCCCTTGTCCCTCGGTGCGAAAGACCCTGGAAACGAGGTCCCTGATGCAGAAGAATGTTCTCCTTGGTTATTGTTTTTGGGTTGATCATTAGAGTTGTCTGTCAATTTGTAAAGGGGCAACTACATGTCATTAGCTTACAATGAGTTCTAGCATTAAATATCGATATTATACTGTGAGCCGCCCGATTAGCTCAGTCGGTAGAGCATCAGACTTTTAATCTGAGTGTCATAGGGTAAAAGACCCATATCGGGCGACAAGCATAGGTGTTAGATAACTTTACAGCTTACTCAAAAGGAGAAAAGCAAATAACAAGGTTTCGCTGTTCCCATATGAACAATGTGTTCATGTTGAAACCGTCGATTTTAGAATTTGATCTAATTTGGTTTTTCTCTGTTATATTTATAGCCAAGCCAACCGTGAAGCCGTAAGCAACGTGGCGAGAGTTGGCATTAGCATTTGAATCTGACACGAATGGCACGTTTTATTCTACCAAAACTAGTTTACAGTAAAGAGTAAGTACCATACCTTGACCCTACGACCTTGTGTATACGATCTGAAGTACATCCCGTCGACGCTGTACCTGATTGTGTAGCTTCTAACCCACTGATTGGCGTTCTGTCGGCCCTGAGTAGCCACACCTTTTATACGCATTAACTCCACAAAGTTCACTTGGAACCACTGTCCCCGGCGGTTACTGCGCACGCTCCATGAGTAGAGTCCATTGAGTCGGCCGTACCAGGGTGACAGATGATAATTGTAGTAAGTTGAGGCCGTCAACTGACCATCTGGCACTCGTCTGTCTTCTAAACCGAGCGGCATAACACAACGATCTGAACATGAAAAAGAAAGAAAAAAGTGAGAATTTTGGCTATATACACACTATACGGATAGCTTTTGTCCCGGGCACGAAAAATTATACCGGATAGGGCTTCTGGTCACACATAAGAACGGTGATTTCAGAGAGATTTGCGTAACAAAGCGCGGTTGTGCCGCGGCGATGTTTAGAGTGGAGAGTCACGTATAGGACAAGTGTTCATACTATACAGTGGCGGATCCAAAGGAGGGGCCAGGGCCCCCCAGGCCCCTCCCCTGAATGTTAGATCAAACTGAGGACCGAAGGGCAGAAAAAAAATTTGAGGGTTAACCCCCCCCCGCCATTATCTCAGGGTGTTGATGACCCCCAACGCCCGCCCCCATCTCCTTCCCCTATCGGAAGGTCTGGATCCGCTTCTGCTATACCGGATAGGTTTTAGTGTCGGCACCAAAAGCTAAGCAGTATAGTGTGAACATAACCTTAGAGAGGGGTACCTCATGAAACCCTGACGTAATCAGAATTAGCTCCGATTTTAGGCAAATTTTTATCTCTGTGTTTTCCTTAGAAAGACTGACCTGAAAAGTCCTAGCACGTGAACTGACTGTAAAATTAGACGGACAGATCTAGCCGACAAACCGTAGTGTGTACGGTGGCTTTTGTCTCCGAGAAAAGAGAGTGCAATTGTATCATGTTTAGGAAGTGAAGAGCGTCAAATAAATCTTACCTTCAGCGCATCCGTAAAACTCAGCCCTCATGGAAATATGTCCGTACCATCCCCAAGGATGGATTTGAATGTACTGGCACTTGATTCTAGGGAACAGTCGGTACCGTACGACGCTGTTTTGATCCCTGTTTCCTGAAAAATACTAAAACAAAAAAGGATACCATTTTATGTAAGTTTTAAGATATGTTAAAGTCAGCAAGGGGTAGAGGAGTACTGGCGTATAAAAGCACACTTGTGGAACAAAAATGGTTATAAATCTTTGTCTACATGAAGACGACAACTTCTTTGTTAAATGCTTTTACTTAAATAAGCAAGTTATGTGTGAGGAATACGAGCACTTCTAAGTTTCTTTCTGGGCTCGTCCGCTCTCTCTAGTGTTGAACCTTAGTTAAGCTTAATGAAGAGGGCCTGCTCGTAATCTACATAATCACTATTCTTTTCATTATTATTTTTTTTAAATTCTTTTTTTATAAGAATAGTTCAACCAAAGTCATGGCAAAAAAATCACCAAAACCGGTAGAGATGCCTCGTTAGCGCAGTAGGCAGCGCGTCAGTCTCATAATCTATAGCAGGTATCTGAAGGTCGTGAGTTCGATCCTCACACGGGGCACAACACTTTTATTTTTTAGTTTCTTTATTCATTTATTTATTTTGCTCGCGTTTTTCTTTAAAAAATTTATTTATTTATCATTAACATATACTTGTGCAAACGATTTAGACTTGAAAACTGTACATTAATTATTGAGTGGAAATCCACCGTTATTTACGCACGTAAAATTTAAGTCAGTGCGTACGTGAAAATAGCGCGAGAATGGAAACCCACGCTACCTGAAAAAAGAAGTTTATACCTTTCGATGGCTGTTGTATTTGTATTCCGCAAAATGTATCCCATCTTGACTGAAGGTCAAATAATACTGAGTAACCCACTGACGGTAATCCTTTCGTCCCTGCGTAGCGACCTTCACCACCCGTGTGGGGCGACCAAAGTTTACTTGATACCACTGGAGACGGTTATTATGGCGCGCGCACCAGGCTGCGCTGTAGCCCCGCCGATAGAAAAACAGTCTGCCGTTATTAGGGCCGTGATTTCGGGCCCAACTGGAGGAAGCGCTCAGTTGTGAGGGGCGGATACGGCCACTGCGCATTCCCAGCGGTTTGTTGCAGCGGGCACCTTAACAAGAGAAAGAACGAAGCGTTAGCCTTACTGTCCCAAAGAAGCTGAAACAAAAATCAGAAAACTCATAATCATTTTCTTAAATGCATACAACAAAAAAGAACCATAGCTTTTTGTAGGATTTTAAAGCCGGGCCAACTTTTCTCCACGTAAACACTTTGGCTCGCCCAGATGGGTTAAAGCGAGACAATCAGAGCATGAGCGAGCGCTCTTCGGCCAACTTTTTTTCTCATATTAACCATCGCTAAAATTGTTTCAACTGGAGGGTGACTCTCTTTCCCGGGAAAACTTTTCTCCATGCAAGCTGCTCTTAAAAGAGTTCTACGATATTCCTCACAGTGGCATATACTCACCTACGACACAGCCATACAACTCTACCCTCATTGATATCCAGGAATACCACGTGACCGGGTGAAATCTGAAGAAGCGCCCAGTGATTGGACGACGGAGCCGGTGGCGTACAATTACGAACCGATCGTAGTTTCCGATGAATAGCTAAAAAAATATATCAATAAATAGTTGATATCACGTCATATTGAGTTGTTACGTTTTAAGTGCGTCTAACACAAAATGAAAAAAGCACTTTCTTTAATATGTTGTTAAGTAACTCTCCTAAAAAAAATTAACTGGATTAGCTGAATGACTGTATAAAGTTCTTGCGTTGTTGCAGACACAACGTTTAAGTAACGAAGGAAAATGGATACTATTGTTATTCTATTTTTGCTTGTGAATTTCCCTGACGCCGTCAGCTTGACTCTGTTTCAGTGACGTTTTTGCTTTCCAGCTTGTTTCATGGAAATGATCTCTGCTTTTAACATACCCAATTTTTGTTAACGGCTAAATATTTTTACCAGTGATTAAGAAAACAAATTGGAATTGAGAAAAAATCGCGTTAGTGGATATTTTTCTATAATTACTTAAAATAAAACCTTGAAACTATAAGTAACTTCACGTTAGGAGGTGGAGAAGGAGTTTCCACACTCCTTATCTCTATGTCCTTTCTCTTTTCATTTTCGTTTATGTTTTGGTTTTTTTGTCTGCTTGTATCTCTCCGTTAAGCAATATGTCTTCGCTAACGACACGTCACGTCAAAAACAACGCAGGACGAGAAGGAAATTTCCCTGCAATATCTAGTTTCTTGGCTCTACAACTAAGTTAGGAAACGCTCTCTTTTCTACTTTCACAACAATAAGCCATTGTTCTTTACTAACCTTAGCTCGACCATTCTCCTTGTAAGTTGTAAACCTGTAGCCATTTCTGCTGTATGAAAGGTAATAACTTTTCACCCACTGAGCGCTGTTCTGTCTCCCCTGGGTAGCAACACGTGACACTTTTGCCATGGCACCAAAATCCACCTGTAGCCACTGGCGCCTGTCACTTCTCTTTGCGCACCAGGCTCCCCCGTATCGGCCTGCGCGGCGTCCATTGAGCCTGCCGCTGGCTGGTCTGCAGTAGTAGTTGTAGTATGACGAAGCGCGTATCATTTTGTCGTGCACACGCTTGTCCTCAAGACCAAGTGGCATATCACAGCGACCTAAGGTAGCGCAGATTTATTATTTTATTGTGACGCTGTTACTGTTTAAGCTGGGTTAACGAACAAACAAAATCTGTGAAGCAATCCACTAAAGCGTACTTATGATGAGGATTACGACAACTTGTCCATGATAAAATAAGCATTCTAATTTCTAGCTAGGCGAACGTTTCGTTTCCGGGACGTTCAAGAAATAAACACTGAAGAAATTTGACGGGCCACTAAACAATTAATTTCTTTACTGAATTGAAATTTTAGAAAAAAATCAAACGAAAACAATTTTGCGATTTTACCGGCAAAAAACTAACAACTTACTCCTAGGGCATCCATACAGCTCAAGCCGCATGGAAATGTGTGATCTCCAGCCACGTGGTACGATTCGAACATACCGCCCAAAGACAGGTGGGTTAATAGGATGCGTTTTGACGGACAGACGGTCTCTGTTTCCCTGGAATGTCTGTAAAAGTGAAAGCAACAACATTTATAAGCCTGTTTAAAGAATTTCAACATCTGTTCACCCTTCCTATTAAACCCACTCATGAGAACACCTTCAAAACTAATTGAATCCGTGAGTGGCATCTGCAGCTACTTTTTTTCTCATGTTGTATAAAAATAATAGCCTTTACCCTTGCCCTCGACCTATAGAGCCCAGCATATTCGTAAAACACTTTAGACTGTTCACAGTCCGCTATTTTCCCGTAAGATTGTCGAGATCGAGTGCTATGCGTTACGGGTTGCCATCTTGGGTGAGTGTCAAGACTACTTAGGGGGTGGGGGGCGGTTTGGGAGGAAACATTTCTCGCCCCCTCCCCCTAGAGCTACATGCATAATCCCCGACGCCCGCCCCCTCGGTGCATTTGAAAATCAAGATGGCAGCCATTAACAGTAAGACGCGATAAATCACCAAGATCTCACGGAAAAATATTTAGGGGAGTGTGAACAGTCTGGACCACTTGGGCTCGTGAAGTTTGTTTGGGAATTCAAATAAGAGAAGAACTGTTATGAATCTCGCTCATCAAAACATTTTCGGGGGCTACTTGAAATGACTTTCCACCTATTACATACTAACTACAGCTTGCCCAAATGCCAAGCTGTAAAACTGAATCTCTTTGCACCCTGGTACAAAGGACCTTCTTTCTTACCTTCACGTAAGAGTTCCACCAGTATTTTACTGAGGAAAAGTACACACCATCAGAGCTGTAGTATATGCGGTAAGCTGTCACCCATTGGTCGGCATCCTGTCGTCCTTGTGTTGCTATGCCCGTCACCTTCATATACTTTCTGAAGTCAACCTGCAACCACTGGTTGTGGTTGTTATGGCGTGAGGACCACGAACCGATGTACTTGCCTCTACGCGCGCGGTGGAGACGCGCTAGCCACGCGGCATGGTATCTATTCCACACTGATGAGGCTGTGATCTGGTTGTTTTTAATTCGGCCTGACTGAAAGCCCACTGGCGCATCGCAGAAGTTTTCTGAATAAGGTAAAGTATTTATTCACAATACTGCTACAATTAAGCCAAATTTCAGATTCCACTCTGCACAACATTGAACTAAAAAAACTCAGAGAGAACCAGGCAAAAATACATCTAGACAAGTCTCTTTTAAAGGGTTACACCTTCTGTGGTATTTAGTGGAGGCACCAAACATAGGAATACTGTGGGCTGTGGGGGGTGTCCGGGCAACTAAGCGCTAAGTTAAGCGAGAGGGTACCATAAGTCTCCTTTTACAACTTTCAAACTACTTGACAACATACACTAATGTCACGAGTGTATCGATAAGTGTTTGGACTTCTTATCCATATCTCCATTTATTCATACATTTACCACAGTACACGTTGACCTAAAAACCCTATCCTCCATATTTTTTATCTGTTCTTTAACCATCTCTTTCCTGTTTTCCCCTTTATTCGTTAATGCATTTATTTATTTATTCATTTATGTCAGTGTTTCCTCTTTTTCTTTCTTTCTTTTTCTCTTTCTTTCTTTCGTCCTTCTTTCCACCACATCTTAAAACTGCCTCATGCAGCGGCTATTTTTACACCTTAATTACTTACCTCTCAAACGACCTCCATAAAGCTCCACCCTCATAGCGATGTAGGAATTCCACGATTTGGGATGAATCCTGACGTATCGAGCTTTTATAGCCGGGTTTATCCTACGCGCGACTGTATGATAAATGTCGTAGTTACCACGAAACACCTAAAAACACAAAAACGTGGAAACAGTCGTAATACGGATGACGTGACCTTTAGTGTTATAATAAGGAGAAAACATATGTCGGTACTATGAGGGTTTAAAGGGTAAAACCGCTGAGGATAAGGATCGATTTAGGTTTTTGGGAAACTTCCCACCTACCCTTCCCCTAACTCAACGTTAATATTTGCGTCTCATTTAGGGCAGAATGTTGGGTGAAGGGAGGGGTAGGTGGGCAGTTTCCCAGAACCCTAAATTGATCCAATGAGGATTAAGTACCCAACGCGTAGTTAATGGAAGAACAAACACAGTTTAACCCTTTAACCCCAAATAGAGACCAGCATGAAATTTCTTCTTGTAACATTAATAAGTAATAAAACAAAGAGGTCACGAGAATTAAGGACTTGATCACAGAAGATGAATCTTATTGACACTTCAACAACTTCTCCCCACCGCTTTTATAGAAAACGTATAGGGACAACAAATGAGAATTTGACTTTTGATATCAAGGTGTAAAAAGTTAAAAGAATCACCTTAACACGCCCATAGGACACATAACTCCTAAATCGTGCTCCGTAACGGCTGTACGACAGCTGAAACGTTTTTACCCACTGATGGGCCTCTCGCCGTCCTTGTGTAGCAATACCTTTGATGATACACATCTGCCTTAAATCAATCTGTAACCACTGGTTGGAACTGCGGTATTTTGCCACCCAGGCTCCCGTTCGTCCGTGACTGGCGTAGATGTTCAGACGCGCTCGGTTAGGTCCGTGATTGTAGTTGTATGACGAGGAGGCCCGAAGATGGCCCGATAGGATTCTTCCGTCTTCCATACCAAGAGGCATCGTGTAACGATCTGAAAAGAGGTAGGTAAAGATCGTGTTGGGTGCTTAAACATACTTTGCGGAAACGCGCGTTATTTGCTTTAGCGCCATAACATTAATGTACAATTTTCACACGCTCACATATCTTGCTTGCGAGTAGTCTATTCTAATAACGTTGATTACGTCTTATGTCACACTGATCTTAACGCTTTGATTCCACTCTAGCTGACTCTTAGCGCGCTTCCATTTTTCGGAACTGACCGGCCAGAGCCGGACCATTCCCGTCGTAATGTGAAATTCCCTCTAAATCAAACCTATCCAGCCAGATCAGTCAAATCCTAAATAGTATGCACGAAGGAAAAAAACATCCTATTTCATAGTCAAAATAACTGGTCCGGCCATGGTTCGGCAGGGCACTTCTGACTTTGGAAAAGCGCCCCGTTAGTGCAACACGTTACTAAACAACAAACTGAATGGATGATAATTATTTAAGACCCATTTGCATGTTAAGCGACCATGAGCAACGACATTGGACGCCGATGACCTAAATTTGACAAACAGTAAAGAGTCACTATGCTGCTCGAGTGTTGATACTATGACGATGACATCGATGCTGGCAATGATGGTGGCGATAACGGTGATGGTGTTGGTCGTGGTGGTCATATCCACTAAATCAGCACAAAACAAGAACTCGAATAACACTAAAAATATTTACCGATGCGGCATCCATAGAACTCCACTCTCATGGATATATGACCGTGCCATCCCCAAGGATGAATACGGATGTAGTGGCCTCGGATGGCGGGAACAAACAGGTAGGACTTTACCGTGTTGCGGTCGCGGTTACCACTGAAATACTGGAAGACAATTATAAGGCAAAACGTTTTAGCAGTGGCGTGACAAAGGAAAATTTTTGTCCTTTCAGGCTGAGTTTACATCGGAGAATGAAAAGTTCCTGTTTAGAACGCTAGCGTGCTTCTAAGCTCGGTTTTAACCGTTACTTCACATGTGACGAGCCTAATGCTGGTGAGATGAAAATAGACTTGCTTATGAACGTGACTTTCGTTCATGCGAAGGTTCACGTTTGAGCTGAAACTTGTTGTTTTTGTTTTTGTTTTTCGTTTACTCCTTGATAACAAATTGCCATACTTCGCACTGAAATTTCAAACAACACGTTTTTTTATTATTATGTTAAAAACCGAGGATTGAGAAATCCTAGCGAAAGACAGTTTATCTTGTTTAATACATTACTTCAACAAGTTGAATACTATAAGGGGATGTCTCCATTCAAAGGTTTTTGAAAGGAGACCTCGATCTCAGAGTCCTCTCCTACTTGTACGAGAGGACCCTGGGATTGAGATTATAGTTAGTCCAGCTATTATATGGCTCAACTGAAAGATAAATCCAATAATTACCTTCCTGTTGTTACGTTCTTTATACTCTGAAAAGTGCACTCTGTCCATGCTATGCGACACATAGTACTGTGTCACCCACTGGTTAGCGTCTTGTCTCCCCTGGGTCGAGATCCTGATGATCTTTGACGCTCCGCCAAAGTAAATCTGCAGCCACTGGTACCGATTGTTGTACTTCGCGGCCCAGGCTCCAATATACGGTCCACGGCGACGACCGTGAAGACGAGCGAGGTGGGCAGCATGGTTAACATTCCAAATCGACGATGCTGTGATCATATGATTTTTTATGCGGCCAGATTGCATTCCCATTGGTCGGTTACAGAGTGTGCCTATGAGTGAGGAGAAATGACGACAACATGTTAGCCGGTTGATTAGCAACAGTTTACTTTCAGGGTTAGACATCTGCCCAAGCCTGGCGCGTGAGCAAGCTCTCTAGTTTAGGGGGGTCGCGAGAAGTCGCGCGTGTAATACGCGCGAGGAGACGCGAGGGCGAGAGGAGGGGAAAGACAGGGGGAGATCGCCGTTTCCTCTGCGGCTCCCTTCGATCGCCAAAAATGGAAGGCTTGCTCGCACGTTAGCATGTGTCATCAGTGTTTACCCAATGAATTAGGTAAAGTAGATGGAAAGTAAAACGTGTTTCTTTATGTTTTGTTTTGATGTTTTCCTTTCTACCAGCTTATCACTCCCATAAGATAGAATAAGCCAAAGACAGAATAGATGACTATTAACACAACTGCCGCTTTAGTTGCAAACACAGCTATAGCTACACACAAAATTAACTGTGTGTGACAAAACATTGTGTTCCTACATCTCGTACGCCGCAAAAGCCTCAAAATGTGTGCGATAATTCCGAATGATAAACAGTCTATTGAGCACAAAGGCCTGAGCCAGGTCATATCACGCTACGTTGATCAGTCTTTATAGGCCGATGTTGACTAATAACCTACCCAATCTGCAGCCATACAACTCGAATCTCATGGCGATCCAGCTATACCAGGTCCTGGGATGAACACGAACGTAACGGGTTTTGAGCGAAGGTCTGAACTTGTGAAAAACAACAAGCTGTCTTTCCATGTTTCCTTGAAAGATCTTCGAGAAAGCAAAGGAGATAACGTCACATAAATGACCAAATAATTGTTTGTCAGAACAAGGTCGGACGTACGGGTCTATTCGTTTCGCCTCGGACTAGTAAATTTTAAAGCAATATGAACCATGTTCATGGACTTGAGGTCATAATTGTTCAAAAAGGCGCTATTTTTACAAACCGAATGACCCGCCCAGCCAAATATAACTATTGGAAAGCATTCTTAGTGTTCTCAGTTTTCGTCAATATCCATGGTGTACATTAAGAAAAAAGAGGTCAACGAGACTAATAAAACAGTTGGATACGCTAGCGACCGAAAGAGCTCCTTGCTGACACTCAAATGAAAACTATTTATATGTACTTTCAAATCGTACTGCATGTATTTCAGTATTTTACAAGGCGAAGTTTGGAGTTTTTCTTCTTTGTTGGCTTGTTTTTTTTTTTTGTGCGCTTATGTCGCTTTACCCTGCGGTTTCTCTCTTGCATGGCTTTTAGTGTTTAAGTAGTCGTTCTCGTTGATTGTCTGTCGCTTAGTTGGTTTGCTTACGCCCAACTACGCGACAAGCAAGCCACGAGAATGACTTCGTATACGCTAAAAGCCATGCAAAAGAACCTCTGCTCATAGTGTAACGTAGCCTCTCACGACGCAGACATTCTGACGTTTCAGACGTTTCGTGACGCATTTCAAGAGCAATCTGTGACAAGCCAAAATAACGTCTGTGTAGGAAGCTAGCGCTTATGGGAATTTGAGAGTAAATGCTTCATAGGGTTACCTTGATTCTCCTTCCATGCTTAACAGGATAGAACCTAGAACCATCGCTACTATAAGAGACCGTGTAAGACTTGACCCACTGGTTAGCATCATATCGTCCCTGGGTAGCGATTCTCTTCACCCTTGTAACCACGCCCAGGTCAATCTGTATCCACTGATTCCTATTGCGGTACTTAGCAACCCAGCCTCCTCGAATGGAGCCGTAGTTTCGCGCGTGAAGTCTCGCATTCCAGGGACCATAGTAATGGTTGTACATGGAGGAAGCGGTAAGCATTCCCTTAGAGACACGGCCATCTTGCATTCCCAAAGGAACATCACATGGGTCTGAAATATGCATATAAGAATCAAAGAGGACAATGAGAAAACAGAGAGAGAAAAGTAAGAGTTCTCAAGACGTGTTTTTTGTGGCTGGTCACCAGTTCCTAAGAGCGACTGTCAGAGCTTAACTTGTGTGCAACACCGAGCCGTCCAAGGGTCTGCAAGATACATATTTCTAGGGGGGGAGGCAAGAATTTGTAAACAACCCTTACCTATGTAGACTTTAATACATAAATAAAAATAAAATGAATTATCCCACGTTTAAAGATTATAGTATCCCACAACCAACTTAAACTCTCTACGTCATCACCCGTCTGTATTTTCAAGCACTCTTAGCCCTTTAAAACCGTTTGTTTACTAGGGGGGAGGGCAACCTGAAACGTCGTTGGTTCCTGGCTCCTTGTTCTCTCCAGTTTGTTGTTACCGGATTAGTCAGGAAGCAACTTTAAAAATATGGTATGATTTTCACTGATTACTTATACGTTTCTAACCTGCCCGACATCCATACAGCTCAACTCGCATCGAGATGTGACTTCGCCATCCCCTTGGGTGAATACGAACGTAACGCGCCAAAATTGGAGGACTGATGGCGTGCGTGACAATGCTGTTACGGTCACGGTTTCCTTGGAAGTACTGCAAACACAAGAAAGCGTTTAGCGTTTTGTCGTTGAAGCCATGCATATTAAAAGTGTGAGCGTTCATACAGGAAAATAAACAAAATCTAATTTATGAGGCGACAAACAAGGGTACAAAGAAACGATAAAAGGTATTAAAATAGAAAAGAACTCCAATGGCCTGCCGTGTTGAAGTGCAGAAGAGAAGAGATTGAATGACAGCAAAGTCTGGATTGTTTTAACTACGTATTACAACAGAAAATCAGCTTTCGTACTTTGCAAGAATGTAAATTATTTGCCTTTCTCTATTTTCAAATTGAAAGCGGACGTACACGATTTCAAATTATCGGCTCATCCCGATAAATCACAAATCATAATAACAAACCTCATGGCGATTGATAGAGTACTCGGCGTCGAAACACATGAGAGACATACATACGATTTCCAATATCGAGATTGACTCACCGATTGATCTTTGCCTTCTCACTCATTGCTTACCCATAATTGAGAAAATAAATCACAATTCACCTAGAAAATTATTCGCACACGTGCGATCGTAGCCAAAGTTATCAGGTGGTTATGTTGTTGCAAACACACAACGATAGTTTTCCCGCGTACTTGGATGTCACGTGTTATTCGTCACAACACCTCGTGACGTTTTGTCACGCAGTCCTTAGTAAAGATGGAAGGAAAGAATACCCCTGTTATCTTTCCCTCGTCTTTTGTGCGCAATTCAAATGAGTGGCAAACATTATTGTTATAAAAGAGATTATCTGTGGCGACATATTGCTTGGCTCCTTGATTTTTAGCTGCTAATAATACAACTGTTTTCTGACCGCTGCCTGAGCAAAATCTGATTAAAACTTGCTGTCTTGCACATGACCAACACTGTTAATTTGACCAAAAAGCCTTAAAGCATATGAGACTTTAAGAAAGCTTGAAGTTGAACTTGCGCAACTGGTGAGAATGCTTTAATTCACGCCCGATGGATGTATTGTTTTCTTTGTTTACGCTATAAAGTCGCGAGAAGCTCAAAGCTCAGTCAACCACACAAACATGGTTGTTGTAAGATTCCGGACTAATTTGATTTGATACATCTGTCATAATACAGGATAAACATTTATCTTCAACTCAGATCTTAAGGGCGTGGCACTACCAACTGAGCAATACGGGAAATCAATAATTGTCAAGTTACCTTATCTTGGCTTTTATCCCTATACATTGCCCAATGCGTACCATCCACACTAGAAGAAATTGTATATCGTGTAACCCATTGGTCATAGTCCTGTCGTCCTTGAGTAGCCACTTGAGTGATTCTCATTGGACGAGAAAAGTCAAATTTAATCCATTGGTAATGATTATTGTGTTTCGTGCACCAGGCCCCTGCGTAGCCGCTCCGCGCGGGTCGGCCAAGTCTTCCTAGCCAAGCAGCGTGTTTGTGGTTCCACTCTGACGAAGCTGTTATCTTGGAATTTCTAAGCCTTCCATTCTGCAATCCCAGAGGCTTGTTACATGCCGTCACTACAACAATATAGAACACTGATAATTAATCTTGAAAAATCTGGTGGAATTTCGAACAAAACAAAAAAACACAAACATAATGTGCACCAAGAGGCCTTCAGTAAGATCTATAAAGAGCTAAGAGTTGAGACTAATTATCTAATAATTATGATATCGAAGGTTAGTTTCTGAGTGGTACGAAATTTTCAAGTGAGCTTATAAAGCAAAAGACCCGAATCATTCACCTTAAAACTGCGCAAATATGCTAAGTTATTTACATACCAAAACAGCCGTAAAATTCAGCTCTCATGGATATCCAGCCGTACCATCTTCTTGGGTAAATACGGATGTGTACGGCGCTGAAAGGTTTGACGAAATCATGGTGGATAATGGAGTGTCTGTTACTGTTTGCGCTGAAAAGCTATTAGAAGGTGACAAAAGTTAGCTGTGATTTTCAGATGATAAAACATTTATTCTATCGCTAATAAATGCTAGTTTGGTGATTAGAGATAGTAGGGTCGCGGGAGACTGGGTTAGTGTTGTGCCAAATTGCATCATGGGACTGTCTTAGACACGCGATCGCTTCTTTTATCGGCTATAACAGGGTTGCATAGGAAACTGGGTCAAAATTCGTGCCTTGAGTACCAGAGGTCTTTTTCTGGCGTTCGGCAGACTTGACGGCAACCGAAAACCTCGCATGAAAAGTCTCTGTCACCCACCCTTATAATACAGTTTAACAAAACATTGATCCATTTTATATGTTCAACGCAGAGAGATCAAAGTGAAGAGGTGGAAACCACCCTTTAAAGACACAGACGCAGTTCTTCTGCAAAAAAGTGCTTCCTTAGTTGTTTTTTCTGTCGCGACATCGTGTAATTCTTTTTCCTTTCGTCAGAATGTCTGTTTTAAGTTGTAATTGTTGTTGCTATTTTTTGATAAGATTGAACTGACCCGGAATAGATTAAAAATGCTTAAAATCACTCTTACCTTAGTGCTTCTTCCCTCTCGATAAAATCGGAAGTTGGTGGAGTCCGGGCTGTATGAGACGATGTACTGTGTAACCCATTGATTATAATCCTGTCTCCCCTGAGTTGCGATACCCGTTACCTTGACAATGACCACAAAACTAACTTGAAGCCACTGGTTGAGATTGTTTGTCCGTGCACTCCATGACCAGCGGTGGTTCAGTCGGCCGTGCCACGGCGCCAGGTGAGCCTTGTAGTAGGTAGACGCTGATAAAAGGCCGTTTGTGATGCGCTTGTCTTCAAGACCGAGCGGAAGAGAACAACGTCCTAAGAAAGCGTTTTTGATTTAAAACAGGTGAGCCATAGTTATTTTTAGCGCAGACGATCTTAAGGTTTTATCCGCACGAGTTCCAACCTCGTCCCCGGGGTGCTCTCTCTCCCCACGGGGGCCGAGTAGGAGAGGACCCTGGGAACGTGGTTGCACGAGTTCTTTACACTTGCAAACACATACAAACTTGAACGTTTACTGTTGTTCACACGAAATGGACTGATACTTTTTCGTTCATGAACTTGTCCACTCCGGAGATTTGACTTTTACGAGGACGCGATTTGACTTTTATAGTTTTATTGAGGGACGTTAATCACTCTTTCAATCACAAAATGATAAAGCTTCTACAAATTAAAAACCTGTTTTTACCGCCTCTGCGCTCTTCCTAAAACCCGTAGTAGAATGAGAACGGCTATCGCGATTTTCCCGCCAAAAGAAAAATCACTCTAATGCATGACACTGTTTCACGCGCGAGCACTACTTAGCATTGGGAAAATCTCGTCTTCGTAGTAGTCCTCATCTTAGATTCTAAACGTTTCTATCCTACCTGTGGAACACCCATACAACTCCACTCTCATAGAAACGTGTTTGTACCATCCCCAAGGATGAACCCGGATGTAACGGGCTTTGATTTGTGGGAATAGACGATGTTGTACCACTGTATTCTGGTCCCGGTTTCCTCTGAAATACTACAAAAATAAAAGAATAGAGAAACTGAAAGGTCAAGCAAGTTTACGGCCAATGATTCATGGCTTGGTTGATCATGTTCGAAGATCGCAGCTAGTAAGAGCAGTTAAAAAGAAAACTTATGCTCCAAGATTTTCTTTTTCAGCTTCCAATCGTTTATTTCCGCGCGTTCTTCACGTTTTAGTTGCTTTCTCCAATCGATTATTTGATTGTTTGTATAGGACCGTAGTAAAATAATGCGGTGTTCGAAGTAACTAGAGCCAGTTTATAATAAGCAAAGACATTTTTGAGCGACGTGCGTCAATCGGAAGTGGACATTTTCAATATTCGCCAGAGGATCGTCGGCTTCATTTTTGGTTAAGTCGTCTCTGTAACAGCAAGACAATTACGCATCACGAATTTGGCGGTGTCAAGATATGCTATTAAAAGGGAAAACTCCTCCCTTCCGATTGACATGCGTCACTCAAAAACGCCTTTGCTTAAGCTCTCTATGGCATGACTTAACCAACGCCCCCCACCCCATTCCCTCATCCCCCCTTACTGCCTACTGCTATTCTTTAGTTCGTAAGAGATTTTTGAGATTGGTTTTACCCAAGCAAGATTTAGGAAGAACATTTACTTAACATTATATGTTAGTTAACTTGGTGCGGGCGCTAGCTCGCACAACATGGATTCTCCCTCGCCAGTCACTTTGGTCCAGAATTGCACTTCGGTGTTCTCCGGTAGTGGCGAACCTAGTGTCTTCAAGGAAAGTGTGTACGTATATTCAAGTCAAAATTCAAAGTTTTGTAGCTAACGCATCGCCAGACTAAAAACTTCGTTTTAAGGATTTTGACGTTGGAAAGGGATGAACCGGTCGTTGCCTCGTTAGCGCAGTAGGCAGCGCGTCAGTCTCATAATCTGTAAAGAAGAAATCTGAAGGTCGTGAGTTCGATCCTCACACGAGGCAACTTCTATTTTTCCTTTTTCCTTAAGACTTCGAATTTCCTTTTTTCCTGGCTGAACCAAAAAGAAGGACAAGGACTTGGCGAAAGGAAAGATTTTGTATCCCTAATACAACTATATCACTCACTTTTCTATTGCTATTTATTTTAAATTCAGCGAAATGTGCTCCGTCTTGACTGTAGGACAAATAATACTGAGTCACCCACTGACGGTAGTCCTGTCGTCCCTGAGTAGCAATTTTAACCACTCGCATTGCTCGGCCAAAATAAACCTGCAGCCACTGGTACCGAGTGTTGTGACGCGTACACCAGGCTCCCGCTAGGCTTCCCCTCCGGCGGAACTGAAGTCTGCCGTTCGATGGACCATGATTTTTGTCCCAGCTCGAGGAAGCTGACAATTGGTGTGGTTTAATGCGGCCGTTCTGCATCCCTAGCGGCTGGTTACAGCGTTTACCTGTGTTAACATGCAAGAGAATTTGAAATCTTTGAAATCGAAGAAGATTAATAATTGTCTCATTGATAAATGGAAGTGGCGGATCCGCCATATTTATATGCAAAAGAGAAGCACTCAGCATCGAGAAAAATAATTTTCGGAGCCGGGCTCCCCTATTATCTAAGGGGCCATATAAGCGCCCTCCTGCCCCTTCCTCAGTGAAGATCTGACCCCCCCTCCCCCTCCCCCCTTCCCCTTCTTGTCTGGTACATTAATTAGAGCGGTGACAATACAGTAATATTACGAAAAGAGTTGGCACTTCTTATATAACCTAACTTGCAATTGATATCTCTTACCGTACACGCATCCATAGAATTCGACTCTCATGCCGATATAAGAATACCAGAACACAGGGTAAACCCTGAAATATCGACCATAGAGCGGACGGGCAAACTTGTGCTGAACCACAATATATCTGTCATAGTTTCCTTTGAACATCTGAAATACAATTTCATGGGTATAAATGAAGCTGAGGCAGCCTTCGTAACAGGCGCTTGGAAATAATGGGCGCAAGAAAGAACAAGCGCGTGAGAGGGAGACACGCGTGTCTCCCTCTTGCGCGCCCGTTCTTTCTTACGCTTGCTACGCAGGCTAAAGCTGAGGATAGAACATTGTTTTATATTTGAGGACATCTCCTTTTCCTTAGACTAGTTAAATATTCAATGTTCTAACACATTATTATTAATATGACAGTTCTCTCCCAGTACATTCCAGTACTGAGTTGTGCTAAGGACTGAGTAGCGCTAAGTTCGGGTTAAATCTAATCCTGGGTTCTGCTGCAAACGAAGCATATTTGTTGTCATGGTAATCATTCCTGGATGTGTGTAAATCGTCCTCCGAACAATTCGACTTATTATCATCAAAATGACTTTTTCGATTTGATTTGGATTGGGAAATGCGGGTTCCCATTTATTTTTCACTGTGGCAATACCTTTTCGCGTCTTTAGCATGTCCGCACAGGACTGTTCTGGAATAACAAACTTAAACCGTAAATGATAAAAATCCTACCTTAATTTTTCTACCCGCACGGTAAGGAATAAATCGGCTTTTAGTTTTTCCATACTTGATGTAATACTTCGTCACCCAAGAATTTGCGTAACGCTTTCCCTGAGTGGCAACGCGGGTTACTTTAGTCATGGCTTGGAAATCTATTTGAAGAAACCGAGTTCTGTCGTTCCTTCTTGGTGACCATCCCCTTCCACTGTTGAGTCTGGCGTTCCATGGTCCATCATTTACATTGTTGTAAGAGGATGAGGTCATTTGCGCTTTATCGACGCGGCCATCTTCGAGACCAAGGGGCATATCACAACGATCTGTTTAACAAAAAAAAATGGGTCAAAAATATCCTCTCTTTTCTTAACCTCATCGCATGTCATCGACAAGGAACTTACCACTCCATGCGGAAATGGCCTCCCTTGCGTTTTTTCGCAGCTGCCGCGCGAGAGCGCCATTTACCGCGTATTACGGTGTTCGTGTGTTTTTAAACTTCTTCTCCGAAAGAGAGACTGAGATACTGGTCGAATCCGGCGTAAAAACATGTTGGCCAAGCTTGTGGCCAGAAAGGTGGAGCAACGAGAATCGATTGAAAGAAGGGAGAGTTTATATGAAATTATAGCATGATTTTCCCATTAGCAAAATCTAATTAGATCAAATTTAAATTAGATTCAATTTTAGTGAAAGGAGGAAGGATTACATTGACTTAACTGCCTTCGATTTTTCATTTGTTTCTAAATGGTTTCAAATACTCTACCGGAGTTGCCTCGTTAGCGCAGTAGGCAGCGCATCAGTCTCATAATCTATAGCTGCAATCTGAAGGTCGTGAGTTCGATCCTCACACGGGGCAAACTTTTTTTGTCAGCAATTTGTTTTGCTTCGTAAAATAAACGCAGGGTAATATCACATTTAACAGGAACAGTGATGCGCCTTAACGTTATGGGCCTTGACTTCCCTGAAAGCTATACCAGTTAGGTCCTTGGTGAGTTCAACCGTGCTGTGCAGGTTTTGGGAGAAAGGCGAGACAAATCGCAACGACAGGCCCTCCAGGTTGGGGGTTGGAAGATAGGTTAATGTCCCATCCCCGTAAAAAAAAATATTACTGAAACCAGACACACTTTGCGTGGCGGGGTGCGAAGAGGCAAGGTGGGCAGGTAGGATGTTTGCTTGCAAGAATTTGAGAAGAGAGCAGTTTTAACGGATATCGACATGGATCAGCTTTCCTCTAATGTGCCATGAGTAGCAGAGAACTAAGAAGAAAAATCGATTATCTTACAAATCTTTATAAAAGAAATTGAATTGCTTACCCCACCGGCCACCGTATAATTCCAGTCTCATAGACATCCAGCCGTGCCATCTTCGTGGATTGATGCGAACGTATCTGGCGAGCAAAGCCGGCCTGAAAGCGTGAGTACGGACTGAATATCTGTCATAGTTTCCTTGGAATTGCTGCCAAAAAAAAACAAACAAATTTAAATTGTAAATCATGGTCGTGAGAAATTCTTTTACAGTTACCGCGTTTACCAATGATCATCGCCCGTCTCATCACCCTGATTAACAAAACCCCCGGCCCAAACATCAGAAAAATAATTAGCAAACGTCACACACCCTGACAACAATCTTTGCTCGTGTTTGATAGAGTACCTCTAAATTTACCCCAGTTACCTTAACAGCGTTCCACCAATATTTCACCAAAGCAAAGTAGACTCCGTCTGTGCTGTAGTAAACTCGATAAACAGTCACCCATTGATTTGCGTCCTGTCTTCCTTGAGTAGCAATACCAGTGATTTTCATGGCATACCCAAGGTCAACTTGCAGCCACTGGTTGTAGTTCCTGTATTTGGTTGCCCACGCACCGATGTACCGGCCGCGTTTGACTCGATGAAGCCTGGAAAGCCACGCGCTGTGGAAATGGTTGAAAGACGAGGAGGCGGTTATTGCGCGGTTCTTGATTTTGCCGCTTTGCATGCCGAGGGCTCTTGAGATAAAAAGACCTGTTGAACGTGAAAAAGTGAATAAAGATAAGTTGAGGTCAGGTTCTACGAAAACAAAGAGGGACTACTCAAAAGGAAGCGCATAATAGAAATGGCTTGGACACACTGTTAAAGTATTTCCATGGCGAAAACAAGTGCATTCAGTAACGAATCGCAGGCTTTCCACTCTCACTCGAAGAAACGCAGTCTCTTATAGAAATTTCTTAACGCTTGGTCATTTCACGTAGACTTCGATCGTATTCGTACATGTCTTAATAATCTTTTACCCCTTTTTAAAGGTGAAAAGCTAAACGTAATGAACAAATTCAAACAACAAAAATTAAGGTTTCCTGCTATTGTTTTGTTTCAAAAAAACATATATATACGTCTATGAATCAACACAAGATCGCTGAACACAGATGCACGCACGCATAAACGTAAGCGTTTTTGTTGCCGTCCTCAGACAATCTGACGCGTTCTGCTGGAAACTGGGTCAATGTTGTGTGGCATTGCGCTATGGAATTGTTTAAACTGAGCAAATCTTGAAACAGTTTCCCTAGCAACCTTATGATAGCCAATAAAAAGACGTCCCGAAAGCACATGCCATGATGCAATTTGACACAACAAAGACCCAGTCCCACGTAGAACCTCAAAATGGCCGATTTCTTTTGGAGTTCCATTATTTTTATCATGTTATGTTTCTACTTACCCCCTCCATAGTAACAGCCGTAAATTTCCACTCTTAGGGCTGGAAAACTGCGATACTTCTTCACGTGAAACCGAACAAACCTGGCTCTGATTGGAGGAGCAAGGTCGTGCGCAACAATGGAAAAGCGGTCGAGATTTCCCTGAAACAGCTGCGGAGAAAAAGGAAGGTTGAGCATTTAACAAAAATTATAGCAGAGCTCCACGCGCGCGCGAAGCCCCATAGCTAAGTAAATCTACCCATCCCAGAAAATTTGGTTATCACGTGACCGTACACCGAACGAACGAACGAACGAACGACCGTCCGTCCGCACCACAGGCATACCAATGTTTACTGTCACACTTTCTAGCTAGTTTGGGAGCCCGGGAGAAAAGTGATTGCACATCAATGTTGTGATCAATTGACAGCTGTCAAAACAGGGTATCCGCTGACCAGTATCACCTGACCGTATCGCGGGCTCAGGTGTCGACCCATCGAGGTCAAGTATTTTTTGAAGTTTTCCCCTGACAAGTTACTAGTTTTCAAATGATCGCAAGCTCAAGTTTGTTTTTTTAAAAATTTATATGAAATATGTCGTGTTTATGTCACTATGGCCCAGCACTATTAAGATTTTGATTTCAAACTTACCTCGGACACGAAAATTCAGCCAGTTATTTAAAAACACAGGCGGAGAAGACCTTTTGTTATCATGGACACGCGTTGGTCACGCTCTACGTCCAATTTTTATGCTCTGATTGGTCAAAATTTGACAGGTGAGTTCATGCGGAAAATTTATGCAGCATCTTGAAACTTGTTTACTTTTGACAGCTGAAGCTGACAGAGTTTTGTCTCACCTTGTGATGTTTTTTTTAATGTCATTCTCCACTGGATGTACAAAATGAAATACAGCTGCTATCAAGAGTCTTCTGTTATTCATGGCTGGTTTGTTTATTGGGTTTTTGGTTGAGAAATGCAGCATCTTGAAACTTGTTTACTTTGACAGCTGAAGCTGACAGAGTTTTTTGTCAACTTGTGATGTTTTTTACTGTCTTTTCCCACTGGATGCACAAAATGAAATACAGCTGCTATCAAGAGTCTTCTGTTATTCATGGCTGGTTTGTTTATTGGGTTTTTGGTTGAGAAATGCAGCATCTTGAAACTTGTTTACTTTGACAGCTGAAGCTGACAGAGTTTTTTGTCAACTTGTGATGTTTTTTACTGTCTTTTCCCACTGGATGCACAAAATGAAATACAGCTGCTATCAACAGTCTTCTGTTATTCATGGCTGGTTTGTTTACTGAATTTTTGGTTGAGAAATGCGCCGCTTGTCCAAATCCGATTTCGGATGACATCGTTTTCATTTTTCACCTTGCTGGATGCGGGTTGAAAAGTCCCTCAAGCGGCTTTCAGGAGCTGCATCTCGAATGGTAAGTCTGGAGTAATTATTGTGTTTGTTTTTTGTATATCTAATTTCATGAAGTCGAGCGCAGTTTATGAGGCTAGTTTATGCACGTTTGTATTAAGATCTGAGACAATGATCTGACCTAGTATGAGAACCTAAGCTTACAGAACTTTAAAAAACCTTTAGTCGATATTTTCTCTCCGCAAGTAGAAAGAAAAATGTTCTGAAGAGTATTTAGTTATAATTTTGGCTGTAGAAAGAAAGCTTTGAGCGATTTTCTTGCCTCGAGTTCATCTTTGAAAACAGTAAACACGGGGAAGCCGGCTAAAAGCTTTAAGCTTCAGCTTAAGGACTTAGGATTTTTAGAGACGCTTTAATACTTGTCTTCGTGAATGAAAATTTTTGTCTCTGTAAATGTTTCACCGAATTATATTTCTTTTATTGATCGTTAGTAGTCTCTTGCAATTTTAAACACTTTGCCGTTTGTTTTCAGTCGTTCATAAACATCGCTTGCAGGAGTACTCAAAATGCCGCGCGTATCAAATGCTTTTTAAGATTACACATCGTTTTAAAATCATTAAATGAAAAATAAACACAATAAATTCTTTATTATATTGAAGCGTAACTCTTTCAATGCTTACTGAAAATTTGGCGCTTGTCAAAAGTGAGAACCGGCTGGCCGTATAGGAGTTTTTTGAAATTTTTTGAACGGTTTTGCTAAAAGCCAAAGTGTGCTTCGATGGTTCTGAATATTTGTCTTGAAAAATTGTGAAATACTGCATTTTGTCTGAGGTCTGTATGATAAAAACAGCGCCTCATATTACTGTTTCACCTCAGATGTGATGTATAAAAAGTATGAAATGTTGGTTTACACGCACCCAGTTTTGTTTGCAAGATTTTGTTAAGTAAACTTGTCGAACGTCAAAAATTCGGCCTGATTTGTTTTCCAAGAATTCGTTTTCCAGGCCTAATCTACTGTGATCAAGAGCCATCATGGCTCTTAAATGTGATCGAAGATGATTGCTATTTTTTGGGTGTACATATAAGGCTATCAACTCGATGTAAGATTTTTTTTCACTCTAAAATCACTTAGCCTTAGCTTTCCCTAAAAAGTCACATATGTGCCCTTAAGTAAACCGATTTGTAGATTACAGGTTTATTGTTTGATCTAAATTATAAATTTATAAATGGGAGCTTCGCTTTTAGCCCTGGCTAAATCTATATATTAAATATGTTCATTAAGCTACAAACAGGGTTCACTCTCGACGACGAGAAAAGTCTCAAATACTGAGTCACGAGCGCGATTGGAGTCTGACGCCCTTGCTTTTCGCGTCTCGCAGTTTTGCCTCTCGCCGATTAACTGTTACGCACCACTAACTATACACGTTATTTTGAAATAAATAACTTAATGATTTTAGCCTCAAAATGTTTAAATTGTATTACCCACCTTGTATCTTCCATACTCAAGATACGACTTGAACACTTTCCCATTTAAGCTGTATGATACCGTATAACGTGTCACCCACTGACTGTAATCATGACGACCCTGTGTAGCCACGCCTGTAACCTTGGCCGGTCGGCGCAAGTCCACCTGCAGCCACTGTCGCGTGTTTCTATGTTTTGCTACCCACGCTCCTGCTCGACCGTGCCCTGAAGGTTGATTTATCCGCGCACGATCTGGACCGTGGTTGTAGTTCCAGATTGACGAGGCCTGGAGTGCACCACTAGGGATATGCGAGTCTTCCATTCCGAGGGGCAGCTTGCAACGATCTTTATCAAAATCAACATTTATTAGGTTTTTAGAAACAGAAAATGAAAATAGTTAGGACATGAGTATTTTCTTCAGACAGTTCAGTGCCTGTTTCGATCCGACTAGAGGACGGGTCCATGAGGCCCACCGCCTTATTTCAAGTTCCAGATCCAACCTTTCCACCTCCCTCACTCAACGTCTGATTGAGAGGGACCTCCCCTCACAGTCTGGATCGGCACTGCCCACGGGACATTTTTATATCAGGAAGAACCACTTAACAGATAGATGATAATTTTCCTCCGTCTACCCTCTTAAAGATGGTGGACATGAGGTCAACATTGTCCAAAACTGTCCTCAAAAACCTGACACTCGTACTATTTTGGTAACAAGAAAAATGACTTCACATGGGTGACACAATTTCTGTGAGTCCAGTTGTTATAATTGTGACCCACAAGCAACGATACAAACAAATATTGCAAAATCAAACACCGAATAAGAAACCCAACAAGTTGTAAACAATTCAGTTTGCTATAAAATGACCGAGGAGTTGAATTTGAAACTACCAGGAAGAACTCCAGACAGTAAACAGAACGAAGAATTGAATCTGGGACGACCGCGTAGAAATCCGGCCTCCACCGCTCCTCTCGGAGGTTATGGCATCCTCCGGCATCTGCATAATTCTTCATATCATACTCAGTTTCATCCAATAATTTTTAATCGTGTTCACGAACCTGTTAGGCATCCGTAGAACTCTGCTCTCATGGAGATGTGTCCATACCAACCCCAAGGCCTTATACGAATAAACCGCGCTCTGATGTTCGGGACCAATGCGTAAGATTTCACAGTGTTTTGATCTCTGTTGCCAGTGAAATACTGTTTTAAGATAAATGAAGTAAAGGGCTGTAAGACTGATTGTTAAACGTTCCACAAACGCTTGAAAATCAAGCTTGTATATCTCCATGGTTTATCACTATTCCTGACTTTAACGTTGTGATACTTCGAATCATTGGACCGTTTTTTACGAAACGCGAATTTATCACAAGACTTGCAAAACTTAACTGTAGATCTCTTCATTCTCAAACTAATTCTTCGATTTTCGACTATTTTGGCCTAGTGGGTAAGAGGTGAATTACCAATATTTAAGACAACAATTTATATCCTTCGTGCTTGTACCCATAATTTTCGAGAGTCTTCTTAGACTACCTTTCTCGAGTTTCTCTGTTTGTAGTCAACAAAGTAGACGCCGTCTACCGAGTGCCTCAGATAGTATTGAGTAACCCACTGTCTGTAATCCTGTCTTCCTTGTGTGGCTATCCTGATGATTATGGCAGCCTTTAAAAAGTCCACCTGCATGCAAGAAAAGAGTGGCAGAATCACAGTCAAGATTCCTAGAGCGCCAATCTAGTGCCTAGGATTCCCTTTCTTTCCGAGTCTTCTCTCCTGAACAAGGCTTCTAGGAGAGTCTATCATAATTCACCTTGGTCAGGGTTAAATGTTTCTAATTTTTCAGTTTATTCATCTATCTCTTCAATGCGCGCAGGCTAAAGAATAACTCAATCAATCAGGACAGAGTATAATTTCCACCAGCGGCTGATGAAATCAGCGACTTTGCGTGCCTCTATCTTGAAGATCTACTACCATGATGGTGAAGACAAAGAATTTTGCGGATTAAAAAAATCTAGGAATTTAGAAAACCTAGAAATTCTTAAGCTTTGTGACACTTTTATGAACAACTAAAGAACTCCAGAGAGAATTAGACGTTCTTAAACGCCCTTTTTTATCAATGCAGTCCACCTTTGAGATAATTGTAAAATTTTACTGAACCTGAAGCCATTGATAGCGGTTGTTAGTTTTGGCACACCAAGCCCCAACGTAGCGCCCAGTTCGAGAATGGTGCAGCCTGGCGCGGAAACTGGCATGGTATCTGTCCCAATTAGATGAAGCGGTGATTCTGCTGTTAGGGATACGCCCATTTTGCATACCCATCGGACGATTACACAAAGCACCTGAAATAGTTACATATATAGTGTGAAAAAGGGTAATAAATGGCGCACCAAATCTAACAAGTGAATACTGTTTTGATCACATCTTTGTGGTAAGTGACTCGTCAGAGGTAACCATAGCTTACCGAAACAGAGGTGATCATGAATGATTGTCCTCGTGTAGAAAACACAAGTACTATAAGCTCCCAGAAAGTCTATTTTACATATATTAGAGGAAGGATTTCAAGCGATGCTTCTTTGCGCGCAAAAGCAAATAAGGCTGTTTAAGCAGTTTTTGGCTAAGAACTTGTCTTTCCTCCATTTGGTCCCTCTCCAGCCGTTAATAATTTCAAGGGAGCTATCAAAAAAATTTCCTGTCTAGTGCTGGAACTTCATTACGCTCCATGATGTCACAGTTACAGCTGTAAAGGAGCCATACTCGAATTCATCATGCGAAGAGTTCTGAAATCATGTCGGGAGATTTTGATTTGCAAAACGTTCAAAACAAGAAGTTCTTTCAGGGCTATGCTAGGAGTCGATCGCAAAACTAACTTGCAAATGTTATCTGTCCAGCTCTTATGACAGAATGCGTTTTTAAGTCAGAAAGTAGTTTAGCCAGGTAGAGTTTTTACTAAAAGACTTACCATGTCGACAACCATACAATTCCATTCTCAACGATATATAACTGAACCAGGTTCTTGGGTGAAGCCGCACATAGCGGGCCTTGAATGGAATTCTAAACTGATGTGTAACAACATGGTTTCTTTCACTGTTGCCATTAAAGAGCTGGAAAAAATCGAGACCAAGTGATTATTTACTCAGTCTGGGAATAAGTGGACCACACTCTCTTAGTTTTCAAGTGTGAATGCCTTTACAGTTTTCGTTGAAGAGTCAAATCATTTTTACACAGACAAAAAAGTTTCGAAGGTAAATTTCTATTTAATAATAACGTTAACTAAAGCAGTGATAACGAATGATGTAGGTGACGACAAAAACAAAATAAATATATGGCAAATACGAGACCAGGACGGGACAAACTACAAACTAACCAAATAACTCTATATGTACCCTGAATTTGTTATTGTTAGGCAAGCTTTATCCGAAGGTTTTTTTTCTTTTTACTGTCTTTTTAATTTTGAAATGACATTTTGTGGGCAAAGAATCAAATTTATTGAATTCGTTCAAGAACTTGATGTCCTATTTCCCATTTTATTTCCTCATAGCTTACCAAGAGAGATTCAAGTATTAAGGAAAAAATCACGACTGTTTTCAGCCCTACGATACTACCATTGTCACCTTGCCGTGCCCACGGGCTCGCTCATCAAACCTAAGGTCTATCCAGTTCTCATGTGCAAAGGGCGATGGGGCTGTGAAAGGAGGCCTTTCTTCCTTCCCCATGATGCCAAGCGCTTTGCTTTTGTTTTCAGTCAATCGTCACGTATCGAGCGAGCTTCGAAGGGCTATTTCGGGCTCTCGAGACCTCATACCTAATATAGTCTTGTTTAAAGAGAACCTACCTTTATTTTCCTCCCTTCTTTGTAAGGAAAAAAGCGCCTTCCATTTTTGCTGAACGTAATTATGTAGGACTTCACCCATTGGTTTGCATCAATGCGACCTTGTGTCGCCACGGCTTTTACAGTGGAGACTCTCTCTAAATCAACCTGGATCCACTGCTGACTGTTTCTATAGCGAGCTATCCATCCGCCTCGTACGGAACCATAGTTCCGCGCTTGAAGTCTTGCGCTATTGGGTCCATAAAACTTATTGTACATGGAAGAAGCGCGAAGTCGCTTCCTCGTAATGCGGCCATCTTCCATTCCAAGGGGTACGAGACAACGGTCTATAAATAAGAAATTCACAGTTACAAAGTGGTGCTAATGATAATTTAGTTCGGAAAAAATAAGTCTTTTCAGAAAGCTTTTGATATATACTATTGAAATAGACCATATTTGCATTTTGAGAAAGCGTTGCCTCATTATATAAAAAGCGAGAATGGTCCAGATAAGAAGGAAAGAACCAAACGCAGTTAACTCGTCGGAATGCAAAAGTTGCTTACTTTACTATTGTCTCTACTTCACTTCTGATTAGTTTAAACATTAAATTTTACGAAATCTTCGCAAAGCGTAAAATAAATTAAATTAATGATATACTTTGGTATATTAGTCCTTTGTTTTCTAACTACTGTAACTTCTTTAAAACAAAATCTCGTCTGAGTCTAAGTAACAAAGACTATGTGAGGAACATGTAAATTGAAATCTTTTCTGGCTAATTTTCGCAACTCTTATGATTGGTCGAAATCTTTGACACAAAAAAATCACCCTTACAATGGAGTTTACTGAAAGACATTTTATTTCGTAAACTGCCCTTTTGTAGTTTTATGCATTCTCTGTGAAAAATGCAAATATTCATTTTACTTGCGTTCTCTTCTATCGCAATATTTTCTGTATAAAAGTTTACTCATTTGAGTAAAATTAGTACCTGCAGGACAGCCATAGAATTCCACTCTCATACAGATATGACTGCGCCAACCACGGGGTCGAAGCCTGATGAATTTCGCTATGATTGGTGGATTTATTGGCTGTGTTCGCACGGAGTCTTTGTCGCGAGATCCTGGAAAATACTGCGAAAGAAACAACACAGAGAAGGACAAGACAGTACATTCATTAACTCAAGCGTCCTTGCCTGGACGTTTTTCCCAGTAGCTGAGCCCGTTTTATAGTTACCACCAAAAAGTACTAGGAAATACCTTGTTTGTATTTCAGAGCTTTTTAATTCTGGCTCACAAAGCGAATATTTTTATCGAATCCATTCATTCCTTTCCCTTCGGACTGCATTTCTTTTTTACTGGGATCTAAGTAGGATAAAATCTTGCAGAAAACGTTTAGTTGGCGATAACGTTCAGTTAGAAACGTGACCTAAGCACCAGTGGGTAATACCAAAACGTTTCATGTTCTGGAATGACAAAAATGACAAAATGCCAGCTTTGTCTAGCAAAGAAATCTCTAGTAAATGACAAAATGTGCACTTTGTGATACTTAAATATATTTCTTGAGCGCTTGATCTTAAGTTTCAATCACGAAAAATATGGCCTGATAATAAATTTGTCTTTGGACAAGTTTGCTATCAATATTTAAATTTGTGTTTGAAGTAACCTTTGTTATGGTTTCTAATGAACTGCTCATTGACTCAAAAGGCTACTGTCTCGGAATGTATTGTTATTTTCCTTTAATGCGGTTGGTCAAATTTGTGTAGGTGGCTCTGGCTAAAGTATAGACACATTGCAAGGCAACTCAAGTGTAAAACAGTTTCCTTTTAAAAAAAATTAGTGATTGGCATTAGTCTTACCTTGTCGTTACTCTTGTACCTGTACACGGCCCAATGAACGTTGTCTTGACTGAAATACAGCAAATACCTGGTGACCCATTGGTGCGCATTAGACCTCCCCTGCACAGCCACTCCTGTTACCTTGGTAACACTCACAAAATCAAACTTTATCCACTGGTTGTGGTTGTTATACCTAGAGCACCAGGCCTGCGCATGGTGCAGTCTTGCGCGCCAAGTAGGGAGGCCTGGATACGAAGACGAAGCTGTGATCTGGTTGTTCTTAAGCCGTCGGTTTTGGAGACCAAGAGGGCGATTACAGTATCCAGCTATGAAGATTATAAATGTAAAAAGCATTAAGAGTATAAAACGCGGTTTTCAGTGTATTTTTAGAGCTAATGTCGCTTTTGCCTATGGCTATGTTTACACTGGATACACCTCATACCGGATAGGGCCTCGGTTCACACACAAGAACGGTGATTTCGGCGCGATTTCTGTGATGGAGCGAAGCTGCGCGGCGCCGCGCCGATCTCATAAATGGAGCGTCACATATTGGATAGGTTCTGTTTCACACTTTGGTGCAGTGTGAACGGAGCACTGGAACCACTGAGGTGGTCGGTCAACCACTCCGGAACGATGTTTGAAGTGTGTGAAATATCTGATCCAGTTCTGTACTGCTGTTCATGCTATACAGGCACGAAAGATATACAGGTATACAGGTATCCGGTATGGTGTGAGCATAGCCCTACTTTATAATAGCTTCGTTTTCTTAAATGTTCAAAAATAACGCAGCTGGGAAGTGTTACCTTTACAGTTATAAAACCAAGGAGATCGTACCTGTTGGACATCCATAGAGTTCAACTCTCATCGAGATCCAGCTGTACCATGAGCGAGGGTAAAAACGGACATGGCTGGCTACAAATGGTCTTTTTATGCGGTGAAATACGATTCCAAACCGATTGATATTACCTGGAAATAACTTAAAAGAGAAGCCACGAAATCTAATTTAAGTTTTAATGATCGTATCACAGAATATTAGCACACAGACTAAATTTGATACAGTCCCTTCATCAGGCTTTTTATCAGGATTTCGGAGGAACAGGGCAAATTAAATGTGCACTAGGGTTTCCTTGCGTAAAATTTATAACTAGTAATAACCAAAGGTGACGGAGTGCGGGCGACAATGATCGAAGGTCAAAACACTTTTGCTCCAGCGCTGCGCTTTGCGTACGTTTCACGTGACAGATGCTCAAAACACGCGTGATCAGATTACCAGTGATAGAAGGTCCAAACGCGCGTTATCAAGGTACGTTCTGTGCATTCCATACGTTCGAAGTGGAAGTCCAAACGAATGCTGGCTACATACATGCGAGGCATGCGTAATAATAACCTGGAGATTAGGATTGCGGGCTCCTCTTGTCGCCCGCAATTAAAGACACGACTCACGCTCCGTGGGCGTATCGCGGACTCATCTATTACATATTCTACCCCTCATCATCTCTTACCTGCAAAATTTCCGATGAAATCAGATTAAGGATGATTGAGAAGGAAAATGATAGCTTACAGCAGAATTACACAATTTTGGTGACACTTCCTCCTTACCTTTCGTTTTCGTCCTTCGGTATAATGAACAAATCTCATGCCGTCAACACTGCGACCAACAGTGTACTTCGTCACCCACTGATGAGCGTCTTGCCTTCCTTGTGTAGCAATAGCTTTGATAGTAGAGCTTCCGCCCAGTGAAATTTGCAGCCACTGACCGTGCCTGCGGTAGCGCGCGCTCCATGACCAGCGGTGATTTACTCTCCCGTGCCATGGGGCCAGGTAGTGATTGTAATATGTAGAGGCTGAGAAATAGCCTGGGACTAAACGACCGTCTTCGGCACCGAGGGGCATGGAACATCGATCTGCGGAAAAACTTAGTGTTACAAAATTGTCTCCTGTCTGTTAGTTTGTCTGGTAGACAAACGTCTTTATCATACTTTCAAAAAACTTCTCCACTTCTGATTAACTTCTAAGCCTCAGGCTAATTTTTCGAGACCTACAACGTTCCCCAAAATTGGAAGATTTACGTTAATCATCTAGTGATTACAGATTATTGAGAACCATTGATATAACGTAAAGATAGCGGCGTGTCTGCTCAACTATTTTGGCTGTGCAGAGTGACAAAAAGACTGGAAGATTTTAAAACCTTACTTTAGCGAAGAAGAAATAGCCTAAATGATGGCTCAATAAGACAGCCACACCGGCACTGAAAGAATGTTGTGAACTTTTTTTAATCCACGACATTCAAAATCCGTGTACATCTGAAAAAAAAGTACTCGTTTTTATTTTAGTGTACGTTTCTGACATAACGCAAAAGAAGGAGGTGTGATCAACTATAATCAGTCCCTGCAGTTGCTTTTAGAGTGGTTTTACCCACGTGAACCATGGCTTTCTTCATTTCTTAAGTGTAGAACAAAAGAAAGAGTTTGGCTGCATAAGAAACGTTTTCTTCAAGTTCGGGCCACATGGTTGTCTTGGTACACCAACATGACCGACGTGACATGTGAAAAAGCTCTATAGAAGGAACTAGGGCGCAGTCTGAGTTCAATCTTACCAATGTAGCATCCGTAGAGTTCCACTCGCATAGAAATATGCCCGTACCAACTCCAAGGTCTAATTCTGACGTAACGTGCTCTGATTGGTGTGCTGAGAGTGTTACTTTTCACCGTGTTTCTATCTTTGTTTCCTGGGAAGTACTAAATATCACGAATAAAAAGTGTTTAAAGCTATCGTAGTCAAACTGAGATAGGATACTTTCTTGTAATTTTTGTGCTATTTTATCTCCTAATTATTTATTGCAACATGTAAAGGATGGATTCTACTCAGGTATTCCACTCAATTGATTCCGGACTCCAGCTACTGGATTCCGGATTATTTGAAAGTGGAACTTGGATTCTGGATTCCAATCGTTAATGGGATTCGGCATTCCTTGACCTGTATTCCGCATTCCACAACCAAAAATTTCCCTGATTCCGGAATCTGGATTCCCTTACACTGTACATGGGGCGAGATTTACAAAGCAAAATTTCAGCGAAATATATTCTGCTCTTTATCTTCCTCTTCTCCCTTTCCTTTCTCTATAGCTGGTTTGCACGTGACTTCACGGCGGCCATGTTGGTGGTCAAGAACAAAAGCATTTCTCTCCTCCGGGAACTGAACTCCATTTTCATGTAAATTCTTCGAGAAAAAATTATGTTGTATTGACCACCAACATAGCCGCGTTGTCACTTGCTTGCAAACCAAGAATCCCTTCCCTTTTTCCTAATGGCGAGTTTACCCTTTAAACTTAAACAAAATTTTAACAAAATTCTCCAATATCGGCTATTGGCAGCCTTGATACCAGCATTTAGCGGACATTGTGATAAGTAGGCGCCATAAAACCTATAAAACGAAACGCTATCAAAGCTGGAACGAAGAACATGTCAAAAAGTATCCGAACTGACCTCGAGAAAACCAGGAAACCCTAATAATAATGATGAAAAACAACAAGGAAAAAAAACCCTAGCACAAATAAGCTAAGTTTTTTTTCCAAATGCTCTTTCTGTTCTTGGTGTTTGGGCGTTCCACGTTGTTCGGTGTTTTAGCACATGCTTTAGAATATCTTTAATCTTACCTTTATATGGTCTTTCAGCTTGTAATAAGCCCATGTCAAACCATCCCAGCTGTAAGAGAGTCGGTACTGTGTCACCCACTGATTCGCGTTCTGCCGCCCTTGCGTATCGACGGCAGTGATCTTGGTCGGCCTTCGGAAGTCAACTTGAAAGTACTGATAACGATTATTGTGGCGCGCGCTCCATCCGCCCTGAAGGGATCCGCGAGCGGTAAAGTGCAGGCGCCCTAAGTATGGAGCGTGATTACGATCCCACATGGAAGAGGCTGTGATCGCGTGGTTGGGGATCTTACGATTTCGCATGCCGAGTGCATGCTTACAAGGCCCTAACAGTGAAAATACAAGCGCAAAGTTTAAATTTACGTGACATGGACGTCCGCGCAAGGCAGACACTCCGGTTGCTTTTCCCTCGTTACCGATTTTCTTAGTAGCCATTCACTTTATTGGTCAGTTTGACGTCGCACTTAGACTGGGTCGTTTTTTGGGTCGAACTGCATTACGGGAATTCTTTCAGGGGTGAGATTGACCCAACTTCCTTTGCAAACTTGTATTAGCCACAAAAAATTCGATTCGACACAATGCTGGGGCAGTATTACACTCAACATCGTGACTGCCAATTTCCCAGTAATGATTTACAATTACACTCTAGTCGATAGACTACAAAGTTGCTATGTGTTGGTATACAGGTAGCGAGGTAGGTATGGGCGCTAAAGTTAGTTCGTCCCCTTTGGCCTGCGAACAAGCTCTCCATCTGGGGGATATCTTGAGACGTCAGCCGCGTGGTGTACGCGCTGACCCGAGAGTGGGACGCCTCGCTTGTAAATTTCAATGAATAGATTGCTCGCTGGTCAACCATAATAAGACATCGCACTATCCGTAGATATAGAAAAGATTTTTCCGTTGGAAGCTTGCGCCTTCAGCGGTGGCATTCCCAGATAACAGAAAACGGACACTTTTCTCGAAAAAAGGTCTCTCATACTACCCTTGCATTTAATATAATCCTGATTTATCCCAGATATGTTCGTCTTGTAATGTCTGCTCTACGATGTATGTGTTAAATTGTGCTATGAATGAAGAGTTCTTTTTTGCCTGTTCATTGCACGGCGAGTTAAACGCTTGATAGAGAACTTACTTTGACATCGAATGTTGCCTCGTAGGTCATCAAAATTGATGTGCCCCCACCCGCCTGAACCGTAATCCACCACACGAACAAACCCTGTTCTACCAATGAACTGTCGGACATTCCATCTTTCCCGCCTCATGGTTTCTTTACATAAACCTGAAACCATAAAATAGTGTGTTTAACCATTCGATATCGTATTGTTTTGATCTAGGCTTGAAACATTCCTTTTCTTTCATGCCCAGAGCAAAATCCTAAAATAGGCCCGTGTTTATTATACTGGATATTTTAAAAAGAGAAAATGACTATATTGAGACGCCTTTGGTAATTAAAAGGTTGGATTCAAAGTTAAGTAATTTCCGTCAATCCCTTTTCGTTCTCCTGAGTAGTAATAGTACATAGAACAGTACAAGGTTGTTTTAGCTTTTAAGTATGCAAGTGATCTAAAAAAATACTGTTCAATCGTCAAATAGTCACTCACAAGGACGATCATATTTTTTAATTAAACATATTTTACCGGCGAAGTTTGCCGTAAGAGTAACAAAACTCGTCGAGGGGGCTCACAAGTTCCGATCATATTCACGATCGTTCTTCACCGTACTTCTGTTTAGTCTTTGCTTTACAAGATTAAGGTTGTCCTAGCACTCTATTATCGAGTCAAATAAGGAAACATTTTAAGTGGCTTTAACTGAGTCTGTGAACAAACTCTGGTGGTGTGACCATTTAGGGCCTGTTTACATGGAGGTGGGAGACCCCAGATAGGTGAGGTAACATGTGGCGAGTCACCCCACCTATCATGTAAACGTGATCAAATGAAAATGAGAGATTATATGGAAAGGCGGGTTACCCCACCTAAGCGGGTTACCTCACCTACCTGGGGTCCCCCACCTGCATGTAAACAGGCCCTTAGACGAATCCACATCACCAGTAATTTTCAACGGTACTATATCAAGCATTTTCGAAATCGAATAAAACTGAATATTTCATTCTCCTTTAATTTTTGTGGCTTTTAGTTCATTACTTTTACCTTTTGATCGACGAACGACCCCTCGACCATTAATAACCAGCTCAACGCGGTTGTAGTTTATATTACATCCACCGCCAATCAGGAAATTGATATAGGGCCCCACGATTTTGAATCTTAAGCTTGTCAAAGTTCCAGTAGGGCGATCACCCTGGATCGATCCCGCACGAACCCGAGGGTTCGGGCGCTTTTCATAAGTACCGATCCACCATCTGCCTTGCTGCCTGGCCGGTTGGCTACGTCTAGCTTTTGGATTATCCCCATATGTTGGTTGGAAGTTAAAGGCGGTACCCGACTTTTTCCACCCATAGAGATTTCCTCTCTCAAAATCAAAGTTGACGCAACCTGGTGGAGAACCTGTTGAAAATGTCAAATGCGCATCACATGCTTGCTAATCGAACTTGCTGTCACTTAGAAATAATAATAATAAATTTATTACCAACTGTGGGTGGAGATGCTTACCAAAAAGGGTGTGATTCGTTACAAATCCATTAAATAACATCACAGAAATAAACATTTCAAGAAAACAGGATGGAAATGGAAACAGCGCTTCGCGACGCCTAGGAAAAATGGACGGGTCAACTCCACGTCCAACAGGCTTTCACGTGTGGAGGAATATTCCTAGGCTCGATTTCCGCCGTCTCCCGGGTCCGGTCTTTGATCTTCTATGAAGAGAGGGATGAGTGCGGGCTCTTTTTCCAGAAGCGGCTGGTAATCGAGCCTAGAAATTTCGTAGCGATAGAAATACAAATTAACGGCCCCTGACAGCAGATTGGCAAGTGCAAATGTGAAAGTCCAAAATGCGCGTTGAAAAAGGAGAAAAATCCGATTGGCACGTGCGTTAACAAGGCAACCATCCTGCACGTGCCTTCCTTGATGTGGTGAATTTATCCAGTAAAAATGTTTTGTAATAGTTAAGTTTAATGAATGTATTTAGTGTTATCATTAGAGAATAAAGTTGTTCAGAAACTTACTTTTTGCCTGCTTCCAGTATCTGAAAAGGAAAATAAGAAACTAGTTGAGCTCAAATCACTATTCTGGTTCAATCATGAGAGACGTTTCGCTCAGCTCTTCGAGATCGAGAAGTGCCTGATCCGACAGTGAGATGCAGTGAGGGTTTAGCCAATCAGGCTTTAGAAAAGAAAAGGTTAAATATCTGGTTAAAGCCAGTTCTCGTGCTTCTTGTGCTCGTGTTTTCCTGTATTTAGGTCAGTTTTTGTTAGCCTCATTTTTTGGTGCATCTATCAGTGCATGAAGGATCCAACAAGTTTCCCGCTAAAATATCTTCAATATTAAGAAAGCCGCTTTTGACTCAGGAACAATAAGAATGGAAAGCAGCCCGTTTTGAGGAGCATCAAGGCTTTCACTACAATATTTTATACAAAAGCTATTTAAATCTTTAGCCGGCCGATAGACGTGCAAAACAAACTAAAGTTCGCTTTGAGAATGCCTTTAAGTTTCGGTAACCGATGAACTTTTAACCCTAAACCCACTTAACAGCATCCATCATGATTCTCCATATACTTTTCCATATATTTCCTAATACTAGAAGAACTGGTTCAACATTCACGACCTGTTCTGACTTGGAGATAATTTCCTTTATTCTTGAACTTCTATGTTTGATAAATTACTTTTTCAAGGAAAAATTATATGCTGGGTACTCATTTAGGCTCAGTAAGTGGCCGCAACCCCTCCAGTGCATTAAACACGTAACTTCGATAAAAAGAGTGGCCAGGAGCTCTGAAGTGGCGAAGAATCATTCTTACTAGTTCTTCTTTCTGAGTTGAATAATGAATACCAGAATGGAAAAGAAAACATGCAACAGGTATCTCTCTATACCACGTGCGACATGCAAACCTGCCATTCGAATTAAAAATTGTATTAGATAATTTGCGCACTTACTAATTGCACTTTCTTAGAGTGACTAAAAACACTGAAAAATATTAGTTAGAGACAAAACTCACTATTACCGATAAATTTGGGCGCGATCGTGTGCGATTCTAAACCTCTTAGCAATTGGCTTTACTCATTATCAATTACGTTTCATTAATGCTATTGTGCTCTTATCTCTTCTGACTAAAGATAAATATTTTCGTCAGATATCCAATGATCCTTGCGAACCCTTTTGGTACAAGAAAGAGGTACTTGAAAGTGTTGCAAAACAACAAAAGATTTTGGAATTGAGAAGAAGCTATTCCATCGTTTATATGTTCATTTTTTTTACTGACTTGGTCACTGTTTTCGAAGACCTTCCAGTCCTTCTAAATAAGACCCCTTAAGACTCAGTGCTCCGTGCGAAAATTTACCTTTAACAGAGTTTTCTGTCTATATTTTTGTAATCGCACCAATTTGAACTAATTGTTTAAATAAATCGATTCTATTTCCGCACCTGGGGTGGATTTTGTGTTAAGGGATATATTCAAGGCGATAATTCAGTGTATTTTATGGCATAAGACAGTACGAGACATGACGAGGGGTGTAATGAACTGAGGTACTCATCCAAAAAAATAGAGGCTCAGCAGCTCGACGTCTGAAATCCTTTTGTTTTTCTTTTGTTTGAAAAAAATTGCTTTTAAGGACATGCAAAGAAAATAATGCAGATATTATCATATCACATATCAGATTACTTAAAAATGTTTAGTGTTAGACGCCCTTATAAGAACTTTGGAAGACCTCTTATACTCTTACGCTTTTGGCATATTTGATTGATTCCGCCATTGAACAGTTTAACCCCTCTTTCTACTGCGGCTCTCTGATTTGTCCAATTTAATGGTTGTGGGGTTATATAAATCCAACAGATTTATCCTAATAACTATTTAGCATTGATACTGTTCTTTATCACTACATTTTCTGTTTAATTTGCCTCTACAGTGGAGATGAAAAAAATTACAGTAGGTTGGAAGGTATGTAACAATTAGTGTTTTCAGTACTTTTCGCCAAGTCAAACATAAAATTAAAAGTGGATTACACGATGAGCAATTATCAAAGCTATTCGAATCTCTAAACCCTTATAGTAGTTTGAATGCACACTAATATCATCTTTTTTCACACTAGAAATTTTTATAATTACCTTTCAAATCACCTCTTTTAGTATCGGTAACTTCGTTTTAGTAGAATGATATATCTGCTGATCGAAAGGTGCTTAGCAAAACAAATCGGTCAATATCGCGAAATATTAACCGCTTGTCACTTATAAGGGACGTGATAAGCATTTATGTACTTACAGTAGTAACAGCAGTACGCTTGGAAGCAACCCCCGAACAATCATCTCCAATAGTAGACGGTTAAGACCGTCTCTTGTCGCTGCTAAGCCACAACAACAAAGGTCATTAACAAATTCTTTCTTTCCTCCTTCTTCCAGTTAAATTATTAAATTCATTGCTTTGGAAAACATTCATGGTAAAGTTAGCGGATTTGTCATAATTTTAGCCAAGTTTAGCTTCATGCTGGGTCTTCATTGTCCAAAAGGGTCGGTGATCGTTATATTCATTGCAGTCTTTTACAATTGCATCCTCGCGAAATAAAAAAGCCAAATCATTCACGTAGACAGAAACGGGCGCAAAAAAGTCAAGTATTAAATATTCGTAACAGTGTCAGTTGTACAAAATGAACAGGCGGACGGAGGAAAGAGACAATTTTTTTTTAACCTGCTTATCTTGCTGCGCTGTTTATGCACGGGAAAGCGACGAAGAAAAAGCAATAGAGCTCTGCTGCCAGAGTTAGTTGATATATTAAGTTACAGTTCTCAGTTTAAACCGAAGTCTATTCACTTTTATTAAAATCCAGCTAGTGATCTATTATCAATGCTGCGTTCTGACTGGTTGAGCTACTACTAGGCTATATGTTATAGCTCACTAGTAGCGAAAAGCGCAGGTTTTGGCGGCAAAAAAGGATTAAAGTCTAGCTTTAACTAACTAAAAGGTTTTTGTTCTCGAAATTTTTGACCAACGAGTTGGATTTTACTAAAACAAATATTCCTCTCGCCCTCATAGCCTCTGAGACAATAGCCCATTCGGCCTTCGGCCCATGGGCTATTGACTCAGAGCCTATTCGGGCTCGAGGAATAATTGTTAATTACTTCTTGATCATTTTTTAGCATTCCTCAAGCTGCGAGGGCAAAAGGCTTTCGAGACGTATTTAGAGAACCACGAGAGAATGGAAGTCACCTTTGTTACGTTAAACCAAAATCTATCGAACTCATGGAAACTCATCTCCTTTCAGTCGAACTGAACGACATTTCATGCAAAGAATTTTTAAGGCGGCTTAATCTCGTTTCCAGGTCCTCGTACTCATCACATGCCATGCAAAACAGCCGGTAGTTTTGAGTAGGTTAACAACCGAAAATCGTCGTGGAGCAAGTCTAAAAACGGATCTGACTTCAGCAGATTGCAAGAGTCAGAGCTAATTAAAAGACCACACCAATTTAAGCATTGAATCACACGCACCAACTCCGCGGCGCGGTATGGCCAGCAGCACAACCGTATCACCATAGTAGTGGCAGCCATGGACAGCTGTTTCGTTCTCATTAGGATTCATCAGCATGGCATAGACCCGGGCGAGAGATCTCGCTTGCGATCATCGACCCCGCTGGTTACTACCCAGGTGAGTGCAAAACTACTCCTTTAAGCGACAGCTCCACCGCAGACATTGTAGCTGTCCATGGGTGCCACTACCGGAGTGATATGGTTGTGCGCATGCGTAAGGTATTGGCTATACCTCGGAACCTCGGAGTTGGTACGTGTGCTTCAGTGCTTACAATGATATTTATTAAAAGACTGCCAGTCTAGATCTTTGAAAAATATATCTCAATTTGTTCACATCCTTTCTGTTCTTTCAACTCAAGATAAGAATTCGAAAAACCGCGAGTGCAATAGTCGGCAATATTGGCTATACCTCGGAACCTCGGAGTTGGTACGTGTACTTCAGTGTTTACATTGGTATTTATTAAAAGACTGCCAGTCTAAATCTTTGAAAAATATATCTCAATTTGTTCACACCCTTTCTGTTCTTTCAACTCAAGATAAGAATTCGAAAAACCGCGAGTGCAATAGTCGGCAGCCAGTAACTGAAAAAAACCTTTTCTCTTTTGGTTTCTAAGCCAGACGCGCGGAGGTTGGGGAGAGGGGAAAAGTAAATGCGCGCGTTCGCCTGCGCGTGGAACGATGAGATTGTTCCCGGCTTCGTTTCCTTGTACCCATCGTCCTATCCGTGATCAATTTTAATCATTTTATCAGTAAGTTCTTTTTTATTATTCCTCGAGAAGAAGAGAGCTTCCCTTCAAAGAAAGTGCGACAAGAGCTGCGAGAATGTTGTTCACCACTCAGATCGACCAATGCAAGGGAATCCAAGACAGTCTTGAATTCTGGATTCCACGCAGGGGATTCCGGATTTCTTGAGCTGTATTCCGGATTTTAAACCCAGCAATTCCGGATTCCACAACTTTCACAACGACTTTAGCAATATGTGTGTGTGGTTTTATTTCGGCCAGCCCTGGGCGGTAACATTCCAATACCGCAATGTTTTTCTGTTTTTAGGCAGTTGCGTTGTTCATGGAGTTGAAAATGCAAGCAAAATGGTGACAGCAAAGTAACCCGTATTTTCCAAGAGTAAGGATTAAGCTAAAAGTAATGCAAATATGTATCAAACACGTATCTCTGTAAGGGGCTCATCTGAATATTCGACAGACACAAAATAGATGACTTTAAATATTAAAAATTAATTATTCATGGCAAATTTTAACAATAACTGTTAATTGCGGTCGACAATAAAAGTTTATCTTACGCAAACCCGCAAAATCGGCAGGCATCCAGGCACGTGATCAAATTGCGCAACACCATTGGTCCACGACAGTAATTCCGTCCCAGAGTGCCTCACGTGTTTTTATTTGCAAATTCCAATCAGCCGCCATTTTAGTCCTGTGATTGAGCAACGGAGAAGGTTTGTCTTAATTTTGAACTTGAAGTTTTACAAGTCACTTGTGTCACTTTTGCAGGGTTCGATTGCTGATTGTTTCGATTTTTTTCGTACAGAATATGACCAGTGTCGCAGCCTTGGCTGGGATACCCGCATCCACTGGAATTAAGGTAGTACAGCGCGCGCGACGCCACGTACATGTGCTGTGAGGTGAATAGGCTGCGAAAACGGCAACGCTATTTTAAACACTTCCGCCTGTACTTTCGTGGGCGATTGTTATCGGTTTTTAAGGGCTTAAGCCTTTTATTTAGGGAAATAAAAGTAGAAGGATTGTTCGTCATTGCAGTAAAAGGAACAATTTGTGCTAGGGCAGGCTAAAGTTAGAGTACGATTTTCGATCGACTTGTGGTTTACTGAAATCGCTTTCGGTTGACTTTGGAATAGCTTAGTAACTTTTCTCTTTATTTCGGTTTCTTGGAAAATATCGAAATATTTAGATATATTTTAAAAGAAACAAGCTGATCAAAGCTTCTACTTGTAGAATTTAGGCGATCGGCTGGTGGCAAAGTTCCAAATTTGGATTGGTTGCGCAGTTGCGGTAATTTAAAATTTTCCGGAACCTTGTTTATTTCTCACCTTTAATTTTAGAAAAATCTCTTTTATTTAGCAACTTTTTCGAATCCTGTATTTATCACTTATCTTTCTGCTTTTAAGAATGTATTCATCCAGCGAGCTCGCGTTTAATTTTTGAGAAAGAAGGCTTAAGTTTCGTGGAAGTAGAACTTATATTCTAATTCGTGTTTGCTAATTTATTACTGTTTACGTCTGCACTAGGCTAAGTTAACCAAAACTTTCTGACGTTTTTATCCAAAATGTATCATGAAAATCCTGCATGATCCTTGGAGATCGTGTTGACGCACGGCTCAGCTTATATCTGAGCAGTTTCCTTGGTTGACGAACCCAAAGAATTAAACAAAGCAAAATGAAAAACATTCTTTAGCTCTGGTAGTGTTTCTATGGCGCTCTCTCATCTTTATAAATTTTTAATTACACCCTTTAAGGTGTTTTTGTTTTGCTCAACAGCGGCGATATCACAAATGACTTTGTTTGAGAAAAAGGAGAGAATATGAATATTTCTCTCGTAACAAGTCTGTTTCCTGAGGTGAATCCACTTACCACGAACGACGTTTTCCCTCTGCACAACTGGCTTTTATGCCTTCAAAAAAATTATTGAGCGTTCGAGTTTATATAAAGGTTTGGAACTATGCCCAAGGGATTTATTTTCTCACACCAAGAAAAGACTAGTTGGTGTGAACAAAAACATTGCATTTAATAAATAATATATACATTTTTATGTAACTTTGAGAAAAACACCGTTGCTACTCCATTTTGCAATGGCTTGTTTAGCTAAGCACATAAACTATAAATGCATTAGAACGCATTTCAGAAGTTGGCTAAACTTATTTCAATTTGTTTGTGTTTTGTTTTATAGCCACTGCTATTTTATTCAGCTGAATTAAACTCAGCATCTGAAACCAAGTCATGTTACCTTAAAACCACAGCTTAGCACTTCATTTCACCGAGTTTTTCTGCCGCTGCAAAAATAGCCATAACTCTTGAATCAACATCATATTAATATTAGAGCTAGATGAGCTCGATGAATGTTCATTATCATGAATGATATTTCGACATGACAAATATTACAATAATTTGACATTATTGGAATTGCTGAGAGCATCTGAAACAGCAAGACAAAATCTGCTTTGTTGCAAAACATCAGTGAGTTATTGCAGATTTGAGACAAGATGTCAACCCTGTTTTACTGTAATGACTTCTAACAAATCCTTGACTTGGATCAAAACATCATGATCCAAGTCAAATTTTGAAGATTTGTATGGAAACATCCTAGCGTGCTAATGAGTCATCCATCCAAATACTGCAAAAATGCTGATTCTTGGTAAGGAAGCATTTTTCGTTTTGCTCTTTCTGAATACCTCATTAGATCCCATAATTTCTCAAACTGAGTTTCTGCGATGTCATTACTTTTAAAATCTATACCATGCTCATAAGCTTTTAAGTGAGCTGAGATAGCGTAAGTGGAGTAGACGGTGATACTTACACTTTCTGGTCATTGCTGCTTAGTTGGATGCAATGCATGTAGCTGCCCATTGCCTAAAGTGCAGTGACAGTTACCCTGCGAGCAGAGGCTATGTTTTCCCGGTCTGAGCTGGCGTGCGGAACTGGCATGCAAAATTACTTTTGCATGCCAGCTCATACTACGAAAATGTAGCCTCTGCTTGCAGGGTAAGTGACAATATTCCTGTTAGTTTACGATAATAATTTATGGGGCATCTTTCCACTCTCCTACTCAACTGTGATTTTTAATTTTGACTGTTGCAGCGCACTGCTGAGGATTTACTTAATATGACAGGTAAGCAATCTCCTTTTTTTATCAATTAATATTGTGTTCCTTTCTTCACAGACTTAAATGTAGGGTCCCCTTGAGTTAATCTGCAGGACAATGTTGCACTCAGTATAAGGTCCATCTACTGTAGTTAGCTTTCTCGCACAGACAGAGCCATTTTAGCTAGGGTTCATCTGTCATCTTGTGTACAAAGAAGATGTCTGCTTCATAAGTCAAGTCTGACTTTTACAAGGTGTGTAAGTGTAAGCAGGGTTGTTGCTCCAGGACAGTGGCTGAGGATTTCCTGCAGCCACTATGAAGATGTTCCCTGGCTACTGACATAGAAAACTAAAGGAAATTAGAGCCAAAAGAACAAGGTGGATATTATGGACTTCTTTAATTGAGTTGTAAATCAGTTAGCCTCAGGACAATGCTGTGCATGTTTTTATCACCAAGTTAATTTTAATACAACTGTAGTGTTGAAGTCTCCAGGGTTCAACTCAGTGGTGTTAAAAAAACAAATCTAATCAAATCGTTGATGATGTAATAATATTGGTTCACGGAGGGGTTTTAAAGGGCTACCATATATTTTATAATAATGTAGTTAGTGTTAAGCATGTTATGTGACTTTTTTCTTTCAGGACTAATGGGTGATCAAAAAAAGGTAAAATCCAGATTTCATTTTATGTTATATATTGCATAAAAATGCTAATATTGATTTTGTGTTCCATGTGATAATTACATGTATAAGAAGATTGCAAAAAGGCGTTTATTTTTGTTAACTTTACTTTTTAGGCAAGATTTGACCAAACTCCTTCTAAAGTGATCCATGTGAGAAATGTACCTATAGATGCTGTAGATACAGAGGTATGTGTTGAACGACAAGAGTATTGTTTTCTGCATCACTATAAATTGATAGCTGTAGCCTTTTTCTGTAGAGCTAAAAGATGTCTAGAAGGAAGGCCTGCGATTCATGAGCTGTCTATTGCAGAATAAGGGTGCAGATGCCTTTGTGTACTTTTGTACAAGTGTTGTATGTAATGGTAAAATTCTGATAAGCGATATGGCCTTGAAATAGCGATATATGACAAATGAAATGGTGACAATAAATGACACAAAGAGGGGTTGAAACTGCGACAGGAAAAAGCCAAGTGCAAAATCAAAAGCCCTGGTTAACAGAGATTAACCCTTATTCAGACAAGGTTGAACAAAAGATTTTCGGTATTTTGAACGCAAACCTTAATTAAATCATCAAAATTAAAGCAAAAATTATTAAAAGATGACACAGATCTACCACTAGCTATGCCCTCAGGGACCATGCCAGGACCTTGGAAAGTGGGCAGAGCCATTTCCAAAATGACTCCAAAATTTGTGAAAAAGAACTTTTTAAAATTTGCTGTAACAAAAGATTTAGAACATGCAAAATTAAAAGCAGACCTTATGGGGACCAAATTCCTTATGGGCAGTCTGTTTTTTTGTGTACATGTACAAAACCTGTACATGAAAAAAAAAAAATTGACAGTACATTGTACGGTAATGTTGATCAACTCTGTTTTGCCATTACAGTTAGTCGCCTTGGCCCTACCCTTTGGCCAGGTTAAAAATGTTCTCTTGTTGAAGTCCAAGAAGCTCAATGAAGCAACCCAAGTAAGTGTAACTTGAAACTTCAAAACTTAATTAAAAGCTACAGAGAGTAATTGGTTTATGCAAGAGGTATTGTCTTGAAGGATGATTCTTCAGTGCACTTTAGCATCTAGCAGTTATGACATTTATCCATGTTTAAGTTTCCTAGATAAGTGTTTTTTTCACCTTACCATTTTTGCAAACTCAGTGTGCAAAGAAAAGCATGTCCAATATCCTGGCCATGAAGCCAGTGGATTTTGCTATTAGGCTAGTGGATTCTCTTGCTAGCTTTCCCCACAGGCAAGTGAAGTTATTTGGGAAATTCAAATTACTGTAGTTATTAATCCTGCTCATCCAAAAATTTTTCAGGCTAGTGCAGCCACCTGACCCTATTTATACCATGGCCCCTGTACCTTGGCAGCAGATCATAATAAATTATTATGAACACCTTCTTAGTATAGTTCATGTATAACCACAATTTCATGGCCCAGTAACGGTCACATTGATGGTACTCCTGGCTCTAGATGTTGAAATGTGGTTGGTTAGCTCAAGGCCAGCATGGAAATTTGGTTTCTTTTTTCTTGCTGTCTTGCAGGGTTTCATTGAAATGGAGGATATACAAGCTTCAATGGCTGTTCTTAAATATTATACACAAGTTGCTCCCTGCATAAGGTAAACTAGAGGCTATAGATGCCTCGTAACAAATCTTAGATGATGCATGTATGTGAAAATTGTTGTTAAGGTTACATGTTTGTTGAAATCTAGAAGCTCTGAAATGCAGTTTTCAAGCAATCTGGACATCAATGGAGTGTGATTTTTGACAATATTACTTGCAACAAATCTATGTATAAGGGGTTATTGACAAAACCCATGGTAAATAGTACGATGAATTTAAGTACGTGTAGAAACAATAAATGTCATTGTGATGTTGTATTTTCTTTGTATTATGTTTTAGGGGGCAAGTAGTCTATTTACAGTTTTCCAATCACACAGAGTTAAAGACAGAACCCTCACAACATTCTGCAGGGGTAAGATTTTACACCTCTTTACTGTTCATTGTTGATTTGCTATTTGTTGCTCGTATGTTTCTCAATTCATACAGCCAATTATCTCTAAGAGGGACACCATTGGGGCCAGCCCAGACTCTCCATCTTAAAGAGGTGTCCAGCTTATAACGAGTTGAGGAAATGTGACACCAGTAATTATAATAAAATAAAACTGAATCCAATTGCAATAAAGGAGGATGTCCGTTTTACTTTTGCAAAACAATAAACCTTGAATATGAAACAGGAAAGTGGAATCATTTTGAATTCTCATTGTGTAATCAAATGTTCATTACAAGCAAACATTTATGGCTTCATGGTCTAAAACTGTAATGCTACTTGTATACACTCTGCGAACTGGAACAAGACCACCAAGTGATAAAAAATTGCAACTAATTGTCATTTCGAACACCTACATTTTTGTTTCGAGATATTTTTTGCTGCATAAAGCACCTCTCAAATGTCTGTTGAGGTTTTCAAAAGTGTTTCTTGGCCATCTTATAGGATTGTCTGTTGAGAGGGAGTTGATTTTACTGTTCTTTTTAAACTTTGAAGCTTTTTTTACTTTAGGCATCTAAGATCATTGCTGCAGCTCAAGGAGATTTCAGCTCATCTCCGTATTCAGCAGATGGACAGCAGGCTGCTGCCGCAGTTGCAGCTGCCGTGGCCAAAGGTGGGGCAAGGAGTAATGTCATCAGAGCAGTGATTGACAAGCTATGGTACCCTATTACAGTTGAAGTCCTTTACAAGGTATGTCTGAAATTCTGATTGCAGCAAGAGCTGTGACTGTGCGTTTTGTATTGTGATGGCCTACCATGTAAAATTAACTTGCAGCTGTATTCAGAAGAATTATAGTGTACAATGTACTCTCAATGTGATCTATCGTACTATGACAAACCGCGCTAAGGTTTAGAGGGTTGGAAGGTATGTAATGGCAAACACATAACACAGCTCCCTGCCTGAAGGGTCTCATGAGTTATATCCAGACCTCAGTGGTTAAGAAAGGAAGAAATTTCTTTTCTTGTGTGTTTACAGTTTTTCCCCGTTATGTGAGACAAGTTGTTGCTCTGGCTGGAAAGTTATGGTTAAGGTTAAGGAAGGTTAAGGTCAGTGTGATCTTGCTTTTTTTTCCTTCCTTGACAGATTTTCTCCAGTCTTGGGACAGTCCTCAGAATCGTCACCTTCACCAAAAATAGTAAGTGTTCTGGAAAAGTTCTGTGCACGGAATTTTGTTTCTATTGAAGTGAAACTACACTGACACCCCGTAGTCACACCACATGATTTTCTGTTACAAACTCTACAGTTTAGACTGGTAGTGAAAGAACTAACAAAAGGTTTGTGTTGACTTTCAGGTCAGTTCCAAGCCCTTATAGAATTCAACAGTGTAACTGAAGCAGAGATTGCAAAATTGGTACAAAGAATGTTGTTATTATGGCTTCCTTGTTTGACTCATTGTGAAGATAAATGTATGACTGTATAAGTACTACACTGTAACAGCATTTCTTTTCACTCTCCTCAGACACTAGATGGACAAAACATTTACAATAGTTGCTGTACCTTGCATCTTGAATACTCCAAGTTAACCACATTAACTGTGAAATTCAACAATGATAAGAGCAAGTGAGTGTACATTTGTTTGTCTCTGATCCTAATCCATTTGCCCCTGGAGATTTTGCCAAAAACCCTTGTGATGTCATTGAAGCCATTTTGTAGTCACTGTCTGGCCATTAAGAAATCAAACAATAAAATGTATTTCACAGGTAAATTTTGTTTTTTTTTTACACGTAAGTTACAGCTGTAACTCAAATTTAAATGAAACAAAAAAAAAATTGGGGACTTCAACGGGATTCGAACCCATGGTTTTTGCGGTAACTCAGTTACAATCCATTTTAATCTTCTTCAGTTTTGCCCATTTTATGATAACATCTTTCTTTTATAGAGATTACACACGACCTGATCTACCATCTGGTCCAAATGAAAGTCCTTTTGCTGGAGCCGACATTGCTGGATTAGCAGCCCTTGGTAAGCAGATGCTTTTTTTTCGGTTGTTTGCAAAAATGTACATGACAGTGCATACATCAATTTATTACATTATTAAACTTTTATTGTCATTTGTTTCTGTTCTTCAGCTATTGTAGCTACATGTGTTGTGTGCACAATGTTTATTGTGATGGTGAATATTAGGCATGGTAAATATACAGTATCACGCAAAATTAAGTGACCAGTATTGCTTTGTTTCTCGTGAAACTACAATTATCTTGTTGCAAGTGAATATACAAAGAAACAAATGTTTTGGAATTAAGTTCAAGTAAAAATCTGCATAAGAACCTGAGACAGCATTTCAGATCATGGGTGAAATAATGCTCTTGCCTTGCTGTTGTGGTCGACTGCAAAACAGCCCAGATTTTTTCCTACAGGTACAGTAGGTTTTGCATGCATGGGCTGTCAAAGGAAAGGTCAGGAGTGAGGGTGAAAACAGACAGTGAGACTTGGGAGAGACCCCCAAAATTTGGACGGTCTGCTTTTCTCTAGTCAAACACTTGCCACGCATGTCCAGGACGGCACTTTATGCCTTGCAAAACTGATTTTGAGAAGAAAAAAAAAACAGCTGTTTTGCAGTCTGCTGTTGTGGCCAAACTTGAAATAGCTGGAACTATTATTTATTTTTCTCTATTGGCAAACAAGTTATTAAACCACTTTGAAGTCAGCAACTTATCTTTTTCCATCTTTTGTTTGTCAGCTGGTGGTGGTGCAGCCGGAGCAAGTCTGATGGGAGCCCCAGCTCTGTTGGGACTTCTTCCTCAAGGAGGATTAATTCAAGCAAGTAAGAAAGTGGGAAGTCACCATAGTATAAAAAGGGTTGAGTGAAATATTCCCCACAAGAAAATTCCTTTTTGATCAGTGAGATGAGTGACATGGAGATGTTCTACCAGAGTTGAGATCAGTATGTGCACCATGCAAGTAGAGCCTTTCTTTTTTCCTAGCTCAATTTCGATGTACTCGAGAAAGACTCTGCATGGATCCAGTAAGATCTTTTCTGAGCATGTGTTTAATGTTACTAGGATTCAGTTAAATACCGACAGGGACATAGTCTACTCCTCAAAATGCAAAATGACCCTATTTCTCTAAGAGAACCTCAGTATAAGCTTCCACTCAGCCAAAACGTGTCGTTGCAGATTTACTCGCAGCAGCTACTGGTAGTCGCAGTGGAGGCAGCCCTGTTGTGCTCGTCAGTAATTTAAATGAAGAGGTGAGAGTGGTTTGGAGTTTTTAAAGTGTGGTGTTGAGCCCTGTTGCACTGCTAAATACAATATACTTGTCTTTACTTTATATCGTATGACAAAATGAGGTTGAAGAAAGTTTGGCTTTTTATTGTTCAAACCATCAAATGTTTTTGAGTTACTTTTGGAATCATAATCCTTTACTTCACAATAATTTTTCTAAAGTTGCAGCAAAAAACCTTTTGTTGCAGATGCTGTAAAATTTGCATTTAATGTGTTGGTAGGTTACCGGTACCTTAAGCAAAACTTAAATATTCCTTTTTTCTATTTTTGTTCTTCTGGAATTTCACCAAAATAATAACGTGTTGCAATTTGACCAATAATAAATAAATTCCGATTTGAAATTTCAACCATCTCATACAACAAATTTTTACGTTTTTTTTAGCAAATTTCAGTTAAAACATCATCCTTGGCAGGCAAACCAACTGCTCCATTCATTGTTCCTGCCAAAATCTCAAATTACATGTAGCTTTTTTAATCACTATTTTTGGATGTAGTTAAAATGAGTATTTTGCCTGTATGATGTGCATCTAATTCACTCTAATTCTTATACAGTACTTCCAACAAAAAAATTCATCAAAGCATACCGTTCATGTCACCTTCTTTTCTAACACCCAGGCAGCAAGTTTCATGAGAGAAGTTTCAGCTAGCATAATCTTAAATTGTTCTCTTGGTCATCCCGGTGTACTTTTTGCAAGAACTTCTACATTTCTGTATTTTTGGTTTCTTAAAGCTTCAAAGTAACTGACATTATTTTGTTTAATTTTCTGTTTTTATTTTGTCTAAATCTCCTTCTTTTTTCCTTGTAGCCTTAAAAAAAATTTTCACTCCCAGGTGCAAACAACTGAACACTTAAGTTAAAGGGGACTTAATTTCTTTTTCATCAATCAAAACACAAAGCATAATGATCAAGTTTGGATAGCTACAGTCACCAATGCAGCACTTCCTGGGGTCGTCATGGATGCCTGCTAGGTGCATGTATTGATGACCCGAAGAATAGCTGCTTAGGAGACCTGGGTCACTTACCAGAGGTCAGAACTGGTGGGCTGGACCAGTCAATTTGAAAATAAAATAGACCTTTCCTTAGAGTTTGGCTAAAAACCTGTCTGTGCTGTGCATATGTTTTAAGAATGGACAGTCCTGAATAACAGCTAAATTCTCTCTTTAGCGGAACTGGTTTTTGCCTGCCAGTTCTTACTAATGGAAGTGCCTGGGAAAGCTTTATGTACTGTGCACTATGTTCCTGTGGTACTTTCTATTTTGCTATTAAACAAGTGGCTCAGACTTTTGAGATTGTGATTAAAGTTCTTTGATGTTATCATGTGATCATACTACAGGTGTTTAGAAATGTTAAAACCATTTTGATGCTTTTTTTTCCTAACTGTTGTCTGTCGGAGAAATCCTAAATAGCTGCCTTCTAAATTTAATGAGAACTTTCTTTTAAGCATTAATACTCTCTGTTTGATACTGTTTTCAGTATTTTGAAATTGGAATTGTTTGGAACCTGGGAGTGAATGTGTTTATTTGTATCCTGCAATTTCTTTAAAACAACCTTACTCATCTTATGTTTGTTTCCTTCTTTCCCTCATTATGCTGTTATCGACGCTGACTGATGCCTACCCCCTTGAACTGTTCTCTCTTTTGCTGTCCACTTCAATCTGCTCACGTCACTTGGAATCCATATTCTAGAGGATAAACTGTGACATGCTTTTCACTTTGTTCGGTATGTCTTTTCCCCCCAAGCCTCTGTCATCACCCTTCTTTTTCATTTTGTTTTTCCATACTCAAGAAAGCCTGATTGTGGATGGGTAACCTTCATTTGTTTCGGTGTAATCATGTTATTATTTTTTGTTTTTGATATTGTTTTTTAATTTTGTTGGCATTTCATTGAAGAGCTAATGCTTCTAACTTTCTCCTGAATTATTAAATGCTATCAAAGTCTGCTCCATTATGGCCCATTACCTTTTGAAATGAATAGGAAACTTGTGCCTTAGTTCTCCACAGAACTAAGAAGTTATCTGTTGGTGTACAGTTAATATTGTAATAATTATTTAAGGCAACCCTTTAAGTCCTAATATATATCGGCAGGCATATTCTCCTTTCTGTTTAGGGTTGTGCTGTAGCAGTGCCGGTGGACTCTGGAGACTTACTTGCACATTAGAGCCCTCGGAAAGTCTTTCTTTTTTCACAAAACATAATAGATGTGGTTTCTGCAGGTTTTCTTGTAGCACATCTTTTCTGTTCTCCAGTTCTCCAGTTTCTTCTATAATAATTGTAATGGGGGGAATTTGCTTAAAAATCAAGACAAAAATATGCAGTGTTGCAGGCAAGGAGGAATTAGATGCTGGTCTCTATTAGGGCTTACAGGGTTCAAGAGAGAGCCTTAATCTTACAGTAATCCATTTAAGAAAATAAACGATGTAACAATTCATGGTCAAAGAATTCATGCTCACTTTAACCAGTCGTTTGGATGTCTTGCTAATCCCAGAATTCATTTCTTTTTTCTTTCCTGTCTCAATTTTTTTGTAATCCCTATGGTGTCCCTCATTTGCTACAAAGTTGTAGCGGACTGATGTCTGGATTATCCTAGTGGTTAAATTATCACCTTTACATCTTGAAGTGTACATTGCTGCATTTGAAAGTTGAACGACTTCATATCACACTCTTTACATTGTGCTATAACAGGTTCAATAATGAAATGCTTAAGGTGTGTTCCACTCATAAAACATAAACAGTCTGACTGTACACCAATCCTCCATCTGTAGGTGTGTATGGCGACGTAGTTCGTGTAAAGATTCTCTTCAACAAGAAGGATACAGCACTCATCCAGTTCAATGATGGTCAACAGGCCCAAACAGGTACTTCTTACAATCATCGTTCTTGTTCTTTTAGAGTTGTACAAAATTTATCAGACAAATGATTCAGATATTCTTTTGGATCTGGATGCACAATGCAATTCTATGAAATAATTGTGTTGTGATATTTTGGCGGCGTTTGTACATTTTGCGCCCACTTCTTGAAAATGGTAGTCATTTTGAAATTATGATGCACGTAACAAACAAAGGCGGTCTCTGAAGACAGTGTTGTTTTATACTTGCATAATGTTATTAAATAATTGCCCAATTCTCTTCCCTGGCCTGTCTTGCTTGAACTTAATTTTCATTTACTTCAATTCTAAATAGGGGTGAGAAAAATCAGCTACATAGTGCATTATTGCGAGCCAAAAAGCAAATGGAAAAGAAAAATTTGGGCCAAATATTCAAATGGAGTTAAGCCAGTGTTTATCAAAACTGCATCAATTGAAGAACCTTACATATTGCTTGACCTTTCACATCATTCTTTCACACTGTCTGTTCACTGTAATTGGTTAACAGTTTCATGAAAGCATTAATTTGCATGTAGCATAGACTAGAAAGGCATTTATCTTCTTAAAAGGACCCGGTCAGAAATGGATCTGGAGTTCTGATGATTTCTTAACTAGTAGCTTAAGTATAGGGTAGTTGTTTAAATAACCCTAGGTGTCGTAAAGGTCTTAACTGAGTAAACGTTGTTTTCATTCTCAGCAATTTCAATTTTGAATGGAGTTAGAGTTTATGGAAAAGAAATTAGGGTCACAGCATCTAAACACTACTCAGTCTCTATGCCCAAGGAAGGAGACGTAAGTTGTCATGATTCATTAGTAGAGTGATTTCAGTGTCCTTTTTGAACGGTTGTGTTTGCTCCAGTTTTAAAGGGGTAGTCTCAACAGAGAAACTTTCATTTCCTTTATTTGCAGGAAAACAATCTGACCAAAGATTTTACAAACTCACCTCTGCACCGCTTCAAAAAGCCAGGATCCAAAAATTTTCAGAATATTTTCCCACCAATCAGAACACTGCATGTTTCAAATATCCCGTAAGTATTGGCTTTTATTTACATGGATAAGAATTATAAATAAAATTAATGAATAATGCTTTGGAGGTAGCGCATCCACAAAGTAGTTTTTTGTCTACCTGATTCCTGGTCGAATTGGAATTTCGAAATATTGGTTTTGTAGGAGAGGGGAAAACCAGAGTACTCTGAGAAAAACCTCTTGGAGCGAGGAAGAGAACCAACAACAAACTCAACCCACATATGGCGTCGACGTGATTTTATCACTGGTTCAAGTTTAATTGGAGACTTTTCTCTGTTCAGCCCCTCTGAAGACTTATTAATTTTGTTTTCAATTTTTATAGACTGGGTGCTTACAATAAGGCGGGGTCGTGGAAAGGGGGGCTCGTTTTTGTGCCATAGAGTGGAGGCTTATTATGATGGGCACTTATCAGGGGCTGGGTCCAATAATATGGTAACCAACATGTCATGTTTCTAAAATGTTTCATTTGCTGTGGAAAATACAGTGACTCAGCAACAGAGGAAGAATTGGTGGATGCTTTTAGTGAAGCAGGGACAGTGACAGACTTCCGCTTTTTCCTGTGAGTATTTGTAGAACTATTATTGCAGACATGCATCCTAGATAGCACATACATGTATGACAGTCTTCAGAAATCTTAAGAACCAAACGGTAGTCAAAGCTGTTAATGTAGCATGTTACATGTACGCTTCACATGGGCCCAATAGGTACAATTTCTCAGTTTTAAAAGCAATTTTCTGTTGATCATCAAAATCTGTTTTGCAATTGTTATGGTTTGTATTTCTTGTCTTGATGATTGACTCAATCGTTCGCTTCACTTTCTCAAACAAACTTATTTTGACCAGTTAGCATGCACGTGCTTGGCACCAGTCAAGTTTTCCTTGAAAACTGATTGACTGTTTCCACTGGTTTTAAATGTTATTTTAACTCGAGTAACAGTCACATGAAAGATGAAGCTGTTCAAGTAAGTTTCACAACTTGGAACACACTCCACTGCCACTCCACTGTTTTCCAGTTAGTGCATGTACTCTCATGGGACTATTTTTATATTTCAGCATAAAAACAACAGGACACTAATCATCTGCAGGACTATAGAACTTAGCTTTTGAAGAAATGCTATGATTGAAAATATTGAAAGATTTAAACAAGAAGGGAAGTTAAATATAACAACTTGGGAAATTCCTTTGTACTTAATTGCCCCTTTATTTGGCACTGTTTACAGGAAGGACCATAGGATGGCTTTCGTAAATATGACGTCAACAGAAGAAGCTATTGATGCTCTCATTGTAAGTTATTAATCATTGTTACTATAATAATTCAATTGATAAAAGGCATATCTTAGCCTTGATCATGCAAGAGCTAACTTGGGTCTTTGCTACTCCCGACAGAAAATGCACAACTATAAAATTACAGAGTCAAATCACCTGAGAGTATCGTTCGCCAAGCAAGTGATGGCGTCCTGAACTGCATCATTATTTTGGAGAAGCTTTCATATCGCTTGACCGTTCACGTCATTCTTCCACAATTGTATGAACCATTTCTTGCAATCAGATGGGCTTTGTATAAAGACAACCAGAGTTCGTCATGTTTTGCCCTTTTGCTGGTGGCAGGTATGCATTTTGGAAGCTACCAGGAACATTTTGGTTCTCTCTTTTCTGTCAGGGTTATGGCATTTATATCCTGCTGTTTGGCCATGTTTGTTGCTGAAGGATTTCTCCTTAATACTTTAACCACTTCTGAGGTCTCTCTACTCAGCATTATTTTTTTGGCAAAAGTGCTATTTCCAGGGATCTAGAGAAGGGAACAGCAAATGTTATGTGCTACCTCAATATCATTATTCTGAGTACTCTTTGATTATTGTTAAGTTGTGTACTTAAATATACATTTCGCACATGCATTTTTTTCTTTGCGACGTTTTTCGGGTAATGCGCCAACAGTTAACGTGCAATTTTTTTTCTTATTTTTGGTGTTTCTTTGCTACGACCATATTATCGTCCTTTAAATTTCTCGTTTCCTTGAATTTAATGTAATTTAACAATTTGATGGGTAAAGTTAAGAAAGATTTTTAAAATAGTATATTATGTTGTTGTGTTTCCAGTGTAGCAGGGGCAAGTTGTTCAAAAGCTGATAAGCATCAATCTAGGTTAGGAGTGATTTTACTTGAGCCATGAAACAGATACTAAGAAATAGTACAAAAGAGCAAGAAGGAAACAAAAGAAGACAATGGAATCAGTGCATAATAGTGCGTAGTATTCCACTACCTGTTTCACAGGTTAAGTAAAATCACTCTAGTTTCTTATAACAACCCATAAGTCACTTTTACAGCCAACCCAAGATTAGAGCTTTCTGCGCTTCGAACAATTTGAACCAGAGTTGCTTTAAAACGTCCTAGAATGCCAGTAATTATAATGGGCTTGGGATACTGGGATCAAGAAATATGTGATGGGGAATTTAAATACACGGAAGGAATTTGATTTGAAGAGAAGATGTTGAAACACTGGCATATTTTCAATTCAGCTTTCTTGAAAGGGGCTTTAATTTAAGTTTAATTTAGCTTTCTCAACTTCTTTGCGAGAAGCATCAGTTGACTTTTGTGTAATTAAAGAAATATGCAATGCAAGGGGTAAAAACAGACTTGGAACTTTCTCATAAAACTTATGTCAATGTAGTAAAACCCAGACGTAGATTCTCTAAGTCTGCTACTCGGCCAAAGTGTTTCTTGTTTTTGTCCTTGCTTTGAACTCTTTCACACCCAGTAGAAAAGGTTAAGACTTGCAGCAAAGATAAACTTTGCTGAATAATGAGGATGAAATCCTAAAGTGTGACCATTCAAACAAACGCTACTGAGCAAATACTTTCTTATGGTAGTTTTTCTATCATGATGTTCAAAGTGGTTTTAACTTTCGAGCTGTGGGCGAGTTCCTTTAAGTGTGACCACATAAGTGAAAGTTACTGGGCAGTACTTTATAGGGGGTTGACCGTTTCTGTTGGGTGTGAAAGCGTTACGTTCTTGTCTTTCCATTTTTCAAGTCAGTATATAAAGTTTTCTGTTTGCTCTTTAATTACTATCCTACGCTGCCGTTATTTGGGATATTATGCAACACTCTCCGGCCCAAATAACGTCTGCGTGGGGGACCAGTCTGTTGGTGAATCCGTTCCAGTTGACCCTTCAACTCCCATGATCTGATGATTAATTCTCATTTCTCATTGCTAAATATCATATTGAATGTTGAATAAGAGAATTTTGGATCATATCATTAGAGACCTTTAGATTCGAGGACGAGATTTGATTCAAAGTTTCTCGCGTATTATTAAAAAATGGACACCCCTGAAAACTTCAGTGTACTTTTTTCACCAGAAAAGGTTGCACTGTTTACATCTTTATTGATAGGAGGTCAAGCCCTCTTCTGAAACTTCTAACACTTGATAACTTGTTTCCACTACGACATTCTTGCTAAAACGCTTAGGACAATGACGACGGATGTCACGTTTTCCCGCCAAAATGTCGTTGGTTTACACGCGAGCACTACTAAGCTCTCTATTACAACATCCATTGGCTGATAAATTTGCCTATTCTCATCACTTATTTGTTGGACAATGTATTGGATATTGTAAGGAGAAGTTAATGCCAATCACTCTTGGGAGTTGAAGAGTGAAGCGTTGCTTTGATTTGATATGCTCTGTGTTGCTATGGGTGCGCCTCGTTAAGAAATTAGGACTACATTTTATCAAGTATTGTAATTGTAGGTACGCTTGAACCTTGTTTTTAGCGTTAATTGATGGTATTGGAGGCAGGGCCTTGTAAAAACATCATTGGCGTCAATTGCATTTGTAGTAACTTTCCATACGAAAAGGATTTTTAGAAAAATAAACATTAATTTCCTAAGTTTTTTGTGTGTTGTTTGTCTGCGAAATGCGAGAGGAAAACCAGTCGGCGTATACATATTAGGGACCTTAAGATCCGAGGACGGCGACGGCAGAAAAAACTTCGCTGAAAAAGTGAATCCGCGTTCTTTCAATCTTCATCGCGATTACTCCAAGTCACTAACTTTGTCAAATGTAGGCGAACCCTCCTAAAATTGAATTCCTAAGAACCATATCCAAGTTCAGAAAGAGAGAGGAAATTTCGACGTCCCTTGTGTACTTCCTCTGTACATCGTGAAATTAGGCATTTTCACGTCGTAGTCGTGCAGTGACGGCAAAGAAATGTACAAAAAAGCGTGATGCACGTGCAAAATTGTTGTTTTGCTAATTAAACCTATTGTTTTTGTGGTGTTCCCGTTGCCGTCGCCGTCGTCGGATCTTAAGGTCCCTATTGCAACTAGAAGAGAGGTTTTCATTCAATAAAGGACTGGTCCACACCCAAAAACAGAAAAACAGCGTACTCGATTTATCCTAACACTTCGTCGATACTGCTTTAAAAATTCTGAATTTGATAGCGCACCCAAAAGAAGTGGAGGTGCAATGGGCCATTTTTTCTTCTTCGTAGCGCTTATCCTTACCCAAATGACCCATCTGATCCAAACGACCCAATGTCCCATCTGACCCACATGACCCATCTGACCCATTTGACCTACATGACCCATATGACCCAACATGAGCCATATGACCCATGCGAGGGGTACTTTAGCAGGAGAGAGCCATTATTGTTGCGATACTTTATGACGTCAGTTGTGGGTTTTTACACCGAGGATAAGCCCTTCGTAGAGAGTTATAGGCCCAGGCGTTCCCAGCGGACACTGTCGAAACTGTGGATAAGATCGCGACTTAACCTACGACGACGACCAAAAAAATTTCCAAAGCGCCATGCATGTTTTGTGAAGAAAGCTTTGGAAAGATTTAAAAATTGCGAGAGATGTCTAGCTTTTCCAGAACGGGTCGGTCCACGAATTCTATCGATTGAAATGAGTCTTGTGATAAGCATGCGGTTTATTTTCGGCGATGATTGAAATGACGCGCCATGTTTATCGCGTTTTGGCTCTTTGGCAAAGATGTAATTTCTCTCGAATGGATGTCCTTGATTTCGTGTATTTAAACACGCATACTCAATCAATTCAGAAACAAATGGTCGAATACGATATAAAAAGTAAATAACCTGGAGAATACTCGACCTTCGATAAAGTAGGACGTGGTGCAAAGGCGAAGAGTTCGAAAGCGAGTGAATTAACGCGTTACGTTTTTCAGAATATTTGAAGCAATTCCTGAAATTCTACGGTAAAGTAGATTCGATGTTTTATTGCAGATTCACTTTGTGGTACGTATTTAATTCCTAGATTTTCGCAGTTGTTAAGAGCTTTTGCGGAAAAATCTGAAGTTGGGTTACACTCTGTATGTACGTGAGATATCAATCATTATTTGTCAACTACTCGTCACGTATGTGTCGCGGATATATTACGAAAAACGAAGTTCAAATCCGTTTTCAAGCACAATAAGCCACTTGCACTAAGAGGTCACGTGACCAATGCTTCCCTTAAACAATGACTTGAAATCGTACACCAGAAATGTGAGATTTTTCAACAAAGTAGTATGATTTGTATTGGCTGCCATGTTGGAGGGCATACTCTTGCCCTCCAACATGCATGGCGGCCAAAACTACTTTTTGCTTGTATCTTGTTAAACGTTTGATAGTTACCCTCAGATGTGTTGTAAACGTTACCACATCATCTTTTCAACAATTTCCTTGAAGTTTAAGTGCAAAATTCTTGTTCAGAAAGAGGTGATTCATAGTTTTAATTATTACATTTTGGTCACGTGACCAGCTACGAAATTGCTTATTTTAAGACAATGGTGCGGGTTTGAAAAACTAAATCACTATTATTTTGTTCAAGATATGACCCACTAATCGTTTTTTGAAGGCGAAATCATATTACTTTCATTTAGATAAAAATGATGTCACATGACCTCTTAGTGCAAATGGCCTACTTAAATCCGTTTTTGAATGTTATGCGAAAACAAAAAATGCAATGGAGAAGGAACTTGAATTCTGATTTTCCATGCTATCGGAAAACGGTTGGTACTAAGGTATAAGCATTTGTAGCCTGCGTAGTTGGCGGGCGAAAGCTAAAATGAGGACGAACAAGAAAATGATGGAGGAGGGGCCGAGGGGAGAAGGCAGTGAGAAAAATGCCTTCTCACCTCGCCCCCTCCCTCATCGTTTTCTGTTTCAACCTCCGTTCACCTTTCGCGCGGCTGCAACAAATACCGCCAGCTACGCAAGCTCGCTTGCTCCCATGTCGGAATGTTACAATGACAAGAACTTTTCTGAGGGGACTGGACTTGCAATACTGTCTGACGAAAACCCCCAGGGGACGCCGTGTCCATTCACCGGTCCACAAGGGTGGGCGACAGCAGCGAAAACGTCACTTTTAAAATGAATTCGCGTTTTTTTCAAACGTTCTGAAAACTTCAAATGTAGGCATATGTATTCCCTGGAGTTGATTTCTTGGGGACCGCACTCAAGTTTAGAAAGAGAAAGAAAAATTCGTCGTCGCTTGTTTACGTCCTCCATAAAGCATAAAATCAAGCATTTTCACGTCTTAATTAGTCGTGCAGAGAGGGAATAGAAATATACAAAAAAGCGTGATGCACGTGCAAAGTTGTTGTTTTGCTGAAAAACCCATTTGCTTGTGTTTTCTTGTCATTGGCAGGCAAAATTAAAATTCAAACCGTAGTTAACACTTAAGAACACTTTCCAGGAGGTTCAGTCCAGTATTTCTACTTTTTTAAGCCCCCCAGTTCTAAGTAACCTCCAAACGTTAACCTCGTCTGTAGTCTGTTTGCTTCCTGGCCTTAAAACTGAGCTATGAGCGAGTCGTTCTCGTTAATAAATACGGCTAAATAACGTAAACTTCTATTACCTGCTTGCTTGAAACTTCGAGTTGCTTAACAGCAGTGTAAACCCGGAACTGTATTATTTTCTGTGGCCATTTATGCGCCGTGAGAAGTAATTCCGTGGTTTCTTGTTTGTTTGTTTAAACGGTCTAAAATTAATGACGTCATTGGTTCGTTTCCTCGTCCCCAGGGTCTTTTCGTTCCAATAGGCCATTGCCAAGTTGCCCCTATGCTCTGTCAAAGCTAAGCTAAGTCCCAAGGGGGGTGGAGAGGGGAAATCCGAATTCAAGTGACGGAGATGATCGAAGGTTTTTTGGGGGTTTGAAATTTTCGATTCTGGGATAATTTTGGGTAGCTCGAGTTGAGAAGGGAGTTTTGGGGGGGATATTCAAAACAATCTGAAGATTCGTGGTAGTGCCCGCCTATCCCGGCCCCACTGGGGCTAAGTGCGAAGCTTTTTATATGAAAAATATTTTATATTCTTATGCAAACAAAACTCAATTTTGCACTTACCCTTGTTTTGAAAGTGAGGGTGTTTGTAACTCGGAAATGGCCTATTGGAAAAACTGAGAACACCCTGGGGACGAGGTGGTGGCAGCTTTCTGAATATGCTGAACAAGTGCTAAGCATTTCATTTCTGACAGAAACACGACAGACTATGCGATCACCCGAAGTCGATGAGAATGTATTAGCATTCTCGCTGGTGTAAGTTCTGGCGAACAAAAGGATTCATTCGGTTTTTCTATACTACTAACTTCATTGTTTTAGCGGAAAGATGCAGTTAATTATAATGACACTTAAACACCGTTGAAGTAATTCACCCGGATAAATATGAAAGACATTAAGCAGCCGTAGGACTGTGATTAAGTTTATGTTCACCTTAATCTCGTACCCAAATCTCATTCTGTCTTACGCTGAAAAGTGAGATCTCCCTTTTCCTTGGCCTCGGGAGATCTGGGTACGAGATACCGAATAACGTTTGCGCCGCCACGATAATCATACCGTATATGGCTTCTGTTCACACACGAGAACGGTTGTAGCGGCGCGATTTCTGTGACGGAGCGAAGCTGCGGCTCGCCGATTTATAAAGTGGAGAGTCATCGGATAGGTGTACACACTACAATGGATAGTTTTGTGCGGCGAAAGGTATTCCGCTATAGTGTGGGAAAAGCATAGGAACAACACGAGAGGTATAAAGAAAAACAGATTAGTTTCACCAAAATACACCCACATTTATTATCACATTATGCTAATGCTAATACCAGACAAAAAAGGCAAAATACCTTTTACACTGCAGTTTTGATTTTTAGTTGACTATTATAATTATTGTAATTATGTAGTTACAGGGTTGCTTTAACTTTGCTGTTTTGTTCGCGAACTAGAAACAATTCCTCTAGTTATTTGACTCATATGATCATATGACCTTTTCACGATCATGCAAATCCTGCTAAGACTATTTAGGTTAAAACTGATGCAAGAAATAATCCCATGCTGATCAGGACGTGGAGTTTATAGATCAAAGTTCCCTAACTAGGTTTATATCTACCATAACAATAGCTTAAATGTTTAATTCTACAACAACAAAAAAGTAAATCAGTTATAAATGGGACGGTACGGCCGAGACAATTATCACGCGCCAATCACGTGACTATGCTGTTAACCACTCAGGGAGGATGCTAAGAAAGCCACACCACGCTCATAAAAGCGATGCTCTCGACCAGCGGGTTCACCTCTAGTTGCCATGTCAACAGTGAACAGAAGCTCGGTACGTGTTTGATTGAGATACACGGGTAGGGTGACCTGCAAAAAACAAATTGTTCAAGTGTCACTACTTCGCGAAGAGCTGCTCGCTCCGTGGCTTTGGAGAGTGAGGTTACGCAACAGGACGGCGGAAAGAAGAGGACGGCAAAACACTTGTGGGTAAAAAACGTAACAGGGCTATTACTTGCGTGTGTTGTCGTGATCTTCGCTTACATTAATGTTTTCGGGTCTTTTACAAAAAGATCTGTTTAAAGGAGGGTGAAGTTGGGCGAAAAATTTTTTTCAAACAACATTGTCACGCTTGTGGGCATATCGGACGCAAAAACCCCCTCACTTCTAGCATCTTAAATTTTCCACTCAAATGACAGCAGATTTCGGCACGTTCGTTTTCAAGAATCCGGCTAAATATAAGATATGTCCGGACATAAATTACACGTTAATAACTAAAACAGTTACACGTACCTTGCCTTTGAGTAAATGGTCAGTTCCCGGTTCAACCCTGAAAAAGTACCATAAAATACGCGATCAATGACCGTATGGCAGATACATACCTGACATACGGGCAAGAATGTTATCAAGCCTTTCGCTGTACTTGGACAAGCTCAATTATCACCTTGTAAGATCTTAAAGGAGGTGGCCAAGCTCAGAAAGTCGGTGGAGCAACAGGTATTAATCTAAGCCGCACGACGTCGATTCAACTGCCTCAAGGTAAAGTTAAAGACATGCACAATACAAAAAAAAATTCAAACAGTAACTAAAAAGGAAGGAAAAAAAAAACCAGAATGGAATGCTGGAGGGTTTTGCTATCTATCCTTGCGTCGACCTCTTTTCACGGGCACTTCAAAGAATACCATGGCATTAAAACAACAACAACATCAACAAAACACTACAATGCCTTAACTCCAATTTTAGACCTTTTTAGAACAATGCTCAGCAATCTTTTATCTTAACGAAAGAGCTCACCAGGCCGCAGAACAAAAATATCATTTGAACAATTCTACAGGCATTATAACATTTTTTACCTGATCCACTTCAGACTGGTCAGCGGCAGATCAGTCAAAATCGTTGCTGTCAGTTCTAACTTGTTGTCAAGGCAACGGGCACCTTGGAGTCGAAGTCCTGCGAGAAATCAATCACCCTTTTAAAATGACTGTACAACAACAAATCTCGTTCCCAGGATCACTCTTCGCCGCGTCTTCCCCCTCCAGGGGACTGAATCCTGCAACCTCGACACCAAAAGGAGACTGCACATGGAGTCATCGAAAAAGAAAATCCTGGAAGAGTTCTAGAAGTTCCACTCGTCTCCCTTACGGTGTTGGTGATCAAATTATATTATTTTTCTGATTCTATTTTATTATGAACTATTCAGTTTGATGTTACTGATCACTCAGACTAAAAGCGGTTCTTTCATGCATCTAGCTTATTTTAGCTATTTTGCCACTTAACGTTAAGAGCTAATACTTGAGTATTACCTTTAATTCCAAAGCTGCAGTCATCAATGGTAAGGCGATCGTCGGGTCCATTTGCAATAGTAACCTTTAAAGAGATTTAAAGACAAAGAACAATACCTTTTAGTAACCATAAATACTGCAATATCTTTAGTAGAGTTTTATTTTCAATCAGAGACAGCAGAAGAAGACGAATGAAGAAAAAAAGAGGGAAAAAGGAAAGGAGAGAAAGGTAAGAAAGAAAGAAGTTACCTCCAATGTTAGTTCTTCTAGGGACCAATTGTTCGCCTGTGCAACGAACTGACGGGTTGCTGTGATGTATGCCTCGGGGACAAACATTCCGCCCAGCCAAATATGCAAGTTCTAAGAGCAAAAGCAAAACAACTTTAAACAAGCGATAGGATGCAAAGCAAAAAAGGTTACTCTTCTCCGAGCGGTAGCCATAGAATCCAGGCATTTTTTTTTGCGCTGCTTCAGTAACATGACATGCTTCTTAAATAGCATTCACGGTCTATTTAGGAACTTAACTCTTTAACTATTTAACTTCTTAGAAAGACAAACTTTAGTTTTCTTCTAACAATATCAATACATAATCCAGAGATGAGGTTAGGACAATTTACAAAATGATCACAAAAGACAAAGGAGCAAATGCCTTGATCTTATTAACCTCTCTTAACCAATTTCTTAAGGAAATGTATGGGGATCAGTTTGGAGAACTTGTATGTGGATATTGGGGCTTAGAAGGCGAAGCCTTAATGTCAGCATGATGTACATTCTCCACAATTACTATCCACACATTTCCTAAGGTAATGATTAGAATTTATTTAACAATCGAGGTCCTTATGATTTCTGCATTCCTCTACACACAGGCAACAATTAAAAAAGCCTGCGTCGCAGGCTAGCAACTCACGACCAGCAACGTCGGTCAACCGATCGAACAATGTTTTCTTTTTTCAACAGGCCAATCATGGTGCCTACTAAAATTCTGGTACACAGCTGGCGGCCCAGAAAAAGGATTTCGGCGCTGGCTCGCGGACGGACTTAAGCCCAGGGGTTTAGTTTCGTCCGGCGAAGGCTGAAATTAATTTTTCTGGTTCTTGGTTGAACGTCGGAAAAGCTAACCTTAAGGCCCTTGGCTCCACCCGTGTTGGCAGCATGCGAGATCTTCTGAAGCTGCTTAATTCGGTCACTGAAGTCTGCTACCCACTGAAGAACTGTCAGGCCCTTTGGAACAGTATAACGTCTCCAATTAGACGGCAAAATACCTGAAATTACAAAAGAAACGACAGTTAACCTTTCTTACATTTGTAAATATCGAAAGTAATTTCTCTTTTTTTTTGTTTTGGACTTTCACCTTTGAAGATTGGCTGAAAAATCTTTCGCCTGTTTCAGGCTTCATTGATTTCCCATGACGCGTTTTAGGCTACGCACGTTAACGCACGTAAATTTTAAATAAAATAGAGGCAAGATGTAAAGTGTTGAGTGAAGTTGAGCCAGGTTCTACTTTAACGCTTACGTGCGACCTTTCATACATTGCCTCTATTTTATTTGCGAACGTAAATTTTACGCACGTAGGCTCGTTAAAATTACGCGACAGTGGAAATCAACCCTAATATACAGAGATCGCGATCGCGATCGCGAAAACGGGTGCGAAGAAAGCGCAGGGGCCACCGACCCCTCCCTGACATCACGCGCACCCTATCTCGCTTGGCATGTTCTCGCGACGCTCCTTCTGTCTGATGAAAGCCTGGTACTGGCCAAAAAATCTCCTGTAGGACCGTCGGGAACCGGTGATTAACTGGGTAATTAGGCTGAATTAGTAGAAAATGATTCTTTTCTTAGTAAGTGTAAAAACTCTTACCCTTAACCAAGTCGCTCATGAGGTTCCTCAGGTAATTGGTGGGCTTCTTTTGGCTTTCACAGACGAGCACCACATGATTAAGGTCCTCTCGGATGGTATTCAAAAGCTGGTAGCCAGTATTGACCTGGGGAAGTAAAACAACAATAAACTTAACATATTTCTTCAACTATTCAATTTTGTCAAGCAAAAAGGTTACGACAATTTGATCCTAGAATATAAATGACAGTAAAAGTTCCGAAATTTCTACCCGAACAAGACGACGACGCATTAATGGCGCAATTGTTTTAAAACTGCAAGGGCTACTTGGTACTTACCTCACGTTCAAAGTAGCGGAAAAGTGGATCTTTGATGTTGTCCAGTGTTCGTTTTAACGGCGTCAAATCCTACGAAACAAATGTTATAGGAGTAACACGTTTTAAACTGAGAAATGGCAGAGTAAAAGGACAAAGCAGTCAGTCTCACATGCCGATGACAAATAGATGTAACAATCCAATTCACTATTCCGTGAGGGCGTGGGTACAAGCTTTCGGCGCAAAGATTTTTGGGATCGTTTGGTTGGACAAGCGTTACTTATGATTGGTTAATGGTTGAATACCATCGACCAATCATAACTAACGCTTGACCACCCAAACGATCCCACAAAGCACTGCACCCAAAGCTTGTAACCATTCTCCCTTTCGTTTCTGAAGTAGGCAATGAGGTAATCGAAGCTATGTAAGTAGCTGCTGTTAAGGATCATTAAGAGCAAGAAAACGTGATCGGCCAAGTCACAATTGGAGTTAGTTTCAATTCGATTGGCTAAGGTTGCGGCATTACATGTACTTCTGATAACTAATAACAAAGTGCAATCGTGCAAAAGCAAAGAAATACGACTTGCTTACGAGGCTATGACAATTGACCAAAAATCTAAGTCTTTTTCATGCGTTCACGTGGTGTTCGACAAAAGGAAAGACAACGTGTGGTTGACGAAAATCAGAGTAAGGGAAGGCACACAACACTTTCCCAAATCTTACTGTATGAATCAGGCTTCAGAATCGCGTACTTTACGAGTATTTTTTGTACCTTTGGTATCATGCTAAGCCAGTTTGCAGCTGTTGAGTGCAATGTTCTCATCCAGGCGGGTCGGGGGTCACTCTCTCGCCTCTGTTTCCTACAACACAAAGGGCAGTTGGAACAAATGTTAATTCCTCACTTAAGAAATAAGGGGAAAGGATACAAGCTTTCGGCGCAATGATTTCTGGGATCCTGATTTGGCTGGACAAGCGTCACTGTAATTGGTTAATGGTTGCCTTAGAAAACATTGACCAATGATAACTAACGTTTATCCAAGCATAAGATCCCAAAGCACTGCACCCAAAGCTGGTACCCATTCTTCCTAAAGTTTGAGGAGAGGGGAATGCTGCTTATTATGCTGAACAGAATGGCTCTAACTTCTTCGTTTCTGGCTGATAAAATATAGGTATGACGATTAAAAATGAAAGCTATTGAGCAGCACTCTCTTGCGGTTCTGTTTTTTTCTGCTGCACAAGGTAGCGCAAGCTTTTTGAATCTATGGATGAAATGGTGAGGCGTCGCGAGGCATGTAAAAGCTACTGAACAGTACTTTTCTGTGGTGATGTTTATTATGCTGTAGAGGAAAGTCTTAGTCTTGACGTCGACCACAGTCCTTAAATGTGTCAGTTGAAGCAAAAGCCATAGTTTAAAGTCGCCTTTATCGGGTCTGTTTGGGTAAAAACTATTTTAATAACCAACGTGTTTTGGTATAATCACCTGCATAACCATTACCCCTTTATAATACCCATTCTAAGAATATTCACCTTTTAAACTTACTTTTAAACAAGTCACCTCTTGACCATAACTTTGAATTTAAAGTAAATAAACTTTTTACCCACAATGAAAAAAAACAACAAAAAAATTTAAACAGGAAGAACAAAAATAATGAGTCGACAGAATGAATAAACGAATGCTGTGCATATGCATGGTGAAACTGAAGTGATGGTTAAGTGTACAAGCAACGCATGCACGCAAGCACTTGACTTATATCCTTAGCTGACATTCTCTTGCTTTCACGAAACTTGACACCCTTTCCTCTGACTTACTTTTTCAGGGGATAGATCAATCTCCATTTGTAAGAGAAGCAATTTGTATTTCGTTTAATGTCTAACAATTAAAATTTAATTTGCTACAACAACGGATGATACTTTTACGCTCTCTGTTTACCAAAAGAACAACCAGAGTGATTGGTTAACTAACCAATAGTTTTTAGCCAATTGTAGTGCCCGTTAGATTATGCTTATTTTATAAAAGCCTTTATTTTACTTACTCTGCACCATATATCCCGTGTATGAGAGGTACTTCAAGAGGCTGGCCTAAGCTTTAAATAAAACGTTTAACATGCATGAAGGTTTTACATTTTATGAGTTCAAAACTCATAGGATTTCGAGATTGAGAGCACAGAGTTAGACGGAAATATCTTTCTCGGTTAAAGACATCAGGAGTCCTCGTGAGATTTTAGTAAGACTGGAAAGGCCAGAAGACAAGATGGTTTATTGCTTTCCGGTTTGTTGCCAGAACAAATGCTCCTTGAGATTGCAGATAAAGATTCCACGAAACGAAGTTGTAAAGCACGAACAGTACTTTTCTGTAGTGTTGGTTATGATGCTGTGTAAGCCACTCAAATGAAAGCTACTGAGCAGTAATTTGCTAGGTACCGTTTATTATGCTGAACAAGTTGTTTCTAACACTTGGTGAAATCCTTAAGTGCGACAATTCAACGGAAAGCTACTGAGCAGTACTCTACTGTGGTGCTGTTTATTATGCTGTACAGGGTGATTCTAACACTTGAGCCTGTGAGCAAAATCCTAAAGTGTGACTATTCAGCTGAAAGCTAATGGGCAATAGTTTCCTTGTGGTAATGTCTATTACGCTGTGCAAGGTGGCTCTACTTTTGCGCCTGTAATTGAAAGCCAAAGTGTGAGTGAAAATGTTGCTTACCCACACTGGTAAAGACGTAAAGAAAATCTCCGTATTTAGAGAGAGGTTTTAATCATCAACTACATCACTGAACGTTCAGAGTTAAAACAAAGCTTTTTCAAGATACTAAAAGCTGGAAGCAAGCAAGCATAGTGGTAAGTGAAGGAAAGGATGTGTAAAACGAAAGCGTGAATTGCAGGAAGTGAACGCAGTTTAAAGTGAAAAGATTTAAAGGAAAATTAACCAAAGTGAAGACAAAAAAAATATAACATTTAAGTTAACAAACAAAACAAATAGTAATACTGTTTATATTTTTATAGAGCAAAGGTTATTAAAATCAATGTTATGGTCCGTCAATTAAGAGAATTCGTAAAGATCAACAATCATTTAAAACCACAATGTGAAAGGTTTAGAAATATGTTCATATATTTCAAGAGATAAAGGACATCGGATTATAAACTAGTCGATTTTCCAATTAAATATTTACTACTGTTTAATAGTGTGAACTCTCCGTTTAGTTTACTTGAGCTACGAAGTTGAGGTAAAATTTTAAAATTATATCCTGTTTAAAGATTACGGCTAAATCATCAGTGACAATAAAACAAATGAATAATCTCTTATTTGTTTAGAAAACGCGATTCTCGTGCGGCCTTCCAATATTGTTTTCCTCATTCTTCAGACGTTGAAACCAGTAACACCTTGACAAGGAAAACGCTACGTTCAACTGACCGATCAAATGATGAAAAAACCAGTAACGCTTTTAAGCTCTGACCACTAGGATTGCGTTGTCGCTAAGCCAGGCAATGACTGGGCGCGTGAAGATCCTGCGTGTGCTGAGCCAACCAGATTGCATCTTTTTGGATCACATGCTCTTTGGGTTGAATTGACGAGTAATTATCAAAGGCCACCCGACTATCGCTCTTTTTACAAATGTGAGGCTTGGACGTCACAGTAAGTCGTTACTTTTGAAACGAAATGTAAGAATCAATTTAACCAAGTTATGAAAGTTTTTTAGTCTGTCTTTATTTTCTTCCTCAAAAGTAACACTGAAATCAAGAGCGGTTACCGATCATATATTGGGTTGTCACGGTCAATACTTACCTAGCGGAGTCTGGGGAATAGGCAAGCTCGTCATCATCACTCAACATCTGCATCTTCAGTAGCTTAGTAACCATGTCTTGGCCTACAGAAGGGAATAGGGTGTTATAATAGGCCATTTTACAGTTATGGATGGAAGCGAGGGTGAGAGTGACCTTGTTTTGTTACAAACCCCCTTTGCTTTGTTATGGAAATTGTTCTTGAAAAATACTAGTAAGCATAAGAATAACTTGATTTACATAATAAAGCAGGAAGGTTTGTCTCAAAACAAGGTCAACTCCAGCCTCGCTTCCATCCATAACTGTAAAATGGCCTATTGTTGCGTAAAATAATTTTCAAGAGTAAATAAGAATGATATCACGGTCTTTCATAGGTTTCACAGATATTGAAAATACGAATAAAGCTGGATTAAAGTGAACGATGTTCATTCAGTTTACAGTCTGGTTTCTCTCAAAGGGGCTAGGGTTGCATCGATACATTTTCCCAGGATATGATACCGATCTCAGTGTTCCCAGTGCTTGTGAGCACACAAAAATATACAAGTGATGAGTGGCAATAATTATAGAGCAAGCATTAAGGTACGGTAAAACGGGCAGCAACAAAAAACGCAAAATGAGTTGAATAGCGATGTTGCGCGTTTTACCACCCACCTCAAACCTGTATGCTTCCCCTACCCTCGAAAGTCGAACAACTCATTTGTGATGCCTTGAATATCGTGACAAAGGTCATTAACTTAAAATACCTTGAGTAGTGAGAAGAACTTTTTCTGCGTTGTTGGGAAGGCCGAGCCACGAGGGAGACTGGGCATCCGGAAGAGCTTCAGTCCACTGCAGGAACTGTTCACGTCTAAATGAGTTGAAAAAACGAGGTCAGGAAATTATTCTGCTTAAAGATCCTAACAGCTGTAAAAAGTTAAATGACTGAATTTTCAAATCCATCCCTTATAGGCTGCTTGCTTTTTTGCGTACAGCGATAGGCCTGACAACAACCCCTCTAAACTTGAACAGATAATCTAGTGAGGATATTACTAGCATATCTCAAAAAGGTCTTACAAAAGCCTTTTTTCCACTAATAGAATTAAATAGAAGTTCCAGGTCGAGAAAAGCCCCGATTATGCTTTGGATTAAGAGAGAGGAAGTTAAAACGTTGGATAGTGTCCCACGCTCACGCTGTAATGTGGACAAAAGTTTAGAGCATGAGCCACGATACTAAACTGCTGACCAAATATCGAGTGGATACGCGACTTGCTGTTTAAATTTCAACCTGCACTTTGGCAATTCCTTATCATTTAAATACTTGGCTGTGTAAGGGATAAAGCGAACGAGCTTAAAAACATACCTGATTCCTTCCGGCATGACAATTTTCTTGCCTTTTTCTCCATCCACATCAAGAACCAATGGGAAATCAGACTCAAAGCTGCTGACGGTGAATAAGCGATTCACAAAGGACGTCAACAGGCGCTAAAAGAGGACGAAAATAATGCTTCAATAAGGCGTTCACAAAAGCATGTTTTTTCTCCTAAAAAGAGAGCTTAATTCAAACCTGATCAAAGTCGTTGTCGATGCGCCCACCATAAATGGCTTGAGACAGAAGAGCTTGAAGAGCGTCCCATGGAACTTTGTTGGGTGGCAGATTAGTACGGCCCTAGGAGAAAAACAAAACACTTTTAAGTGAGTTCGGTCACTTAAAGCTAACTAAAGCAAAACGGAGACGAATTTAAGCACGATTCAGACTCGAAATTCACTAAGCTCATTGGCATCACTTAATCTTCGATTTCACCAAAAGGAGAGTCCAAAACAACTTCTAACAGATAATGTAATTGTTGTTGAACACGAAAAAACTAGACTGGAAACTCTTCTACAACAAAACTTTGTAACAACAATGTACTAGTACATTTCAGGCATTGATAACTTTCATCACCGTGACCATATACTCTTATGATTGCGTTACTGAAAAAAAACACCTTAAGTCACACACCTGGGCAACTGCATCTAACCAGGTGTCTAGTGTGTCACAAGCCACTCGCAAATCAGACTCGCTGAACTCGTAACGTTTGGACCAACCAAGAGGAGCGTAACGCAAGCGTTCTTGAACAATGGCATGGAACCACGCGAGCAGGAAATATAGACGGGCACGCTCACTGGGGGCCTAAGGAAATTAAAATGGCAAAACGTGTTTACTAGTTAGTCTACAAAATGTTACGTGACACCCTCAACTTCAACATGAATTTCATCTCAGGATGACACAAGTTTTAATGATGCTTTAACACAAAGTGTTCTGTTTTTTCTCATTGAGCTCTTCAAATCCCGTCAATTTCCGTGACTTTTTCCATGACCTTAGGTTTAGCTGTCAGTATCGAAATTTTTCAAACCTTCCTTGTTTTAGGGTATTTTTTACTTAACTAAGTTCAAATGCGTGCTGTTCGCGATGTTCAATTACTCGTCTCTACAACTGTATCTACCTTTGTCCTTGCTTTGACATTAGCAGTAACTACATGTAACATACTAAAAATGACTTTAAAATACCACAACTTTCCGGGACTGACAATTAAATTCCATGACTTTCCAGGCCTGGAAAATTAAATTTTGAAATTTCCAGATTTTCCACGACCAGTGGGAACCCTGGTGAAGTTCCAACTCAAAAGAGGTACTTCCCCTCTGCAAAATTTTGACAGACGAAACTCACCTTACACATCCTTGTAGCTGGCACAGCGCTGAACGTTCTCAACAAGTTGGCTTTAACTCCAGGCGGAGGCTCAAATACAAACACCCGAGACGCTCTCAGCAAGTTCACAGGAACCTGTTGTAATAAAAACAGTATTTTCAATTGAGTGGTTTTTAAAAATGTTCCATTTTGGTTTATCTCATGTCTACACAAGAGAACTTTTGTAAGCCCGTTAACACAAAAATCGATACACTTGCCCATAAGTTAAGTCGCAAAACATGAGCGAAGCGGCTTGAAGTCAGTTCATTTTACATCGGACTCATATATGGGGCTTTGATTCATTAAGACCGGGGAGAGGGTAGGTACTCTTTGGTAAGCCCTGTAGATAACCTGTGTACAACTGTCTGACACAGGCTACTGTGTAGGGGGGTGTGAATTGTTTTGCTGACTACAGAGAGGTAGAGGTTAGAAATATTTTGAAGACATTTCAACGGACTTTGACCTCTACCCATCCCGTTCCCAGCCCAGTCAAATTAAATAAAAGCCCCCCAAGTCTACAAAATCAACAGTACACCTTTGGATTGATTTCCATGGTCATAAATAACCTGAAGGCAGCGTGTGGGTTCAAGGTGTGCAATTTCTTTTCCAGAGTTACCAGCCACTGAGGCGCCAGGTGGACATTCTTTAGCAAAACCCATCTAAAGAAAAGAGGAAACAAATAATATCAGTTAAGTCTACTCGGAGTCGGAGAAAGAAGGGGAGTAAAATGTGAATAGGCAAAGCGGTACTTTTCTGTGATACTGTTTATCACGCTGTAAAATGTTGGAGGTTCTAACTTTTGAGTTTGTGAATGAATTCCAAAAGCGTGACCATTCAAATCTAAGCTGCTGAGCAGTACTTTTGTGTGGTAATGTTTATTATGCTGTACAAAGTGGTTCAAACTTTTGAATTTGAGCATGAAATCTTTGAGAGTGACAACTCAAATAAAAGCTAGAGAGCAGTGCTTTTGCTGCTCTGCACCCCTTCTACAAACTTAATACGATTCTTACACTAACACTTACCTGCCAGATTTAGTGGCAGAGTTGATGGCTTTATCAGCAAGACTGAATCCTTCGGCAGAACCTGTCAAAACCAAACCGAGGAAACGTTTAACGCAGCGAAGTGGATAAGCACAAGGTAGCCAAGTGACCAAAGGTCACCGAAATACACAGGAGAGTTAACAGCCAAAGCACAGGGTAGGTAAGTGGCCACAGGTAACCAAAATACACAGGGGAGTTAAAGCCAAAGCACAGTGTAGGCAAGTGGCCAGAGGTCACCAAGGCACACAGGACAGTGAACAGCGAAAATATAATTCCCGAGCACTACAAAGGCTCAAATGTTACTGGTCAAGATTTTAGGGAAGTTCCATTTCTTACCAATAGCAATGGAAGTGCATTGCTTGTTTTGTTCTGCTGCCAGATCATCCACCCAACCACTGGCATCATAACCTGTCACAGAGCACATCAGTAGAGGAGTATTCGCCTTCACCTGTTGAATTCAAACAGAACGTGGTTACCCATGAACTGCAGCTTCAATTAACCCCTCACTCCTAGACAATGTGATGTGACTAGTACTGACTGTGACTCTAACTTTCAAATCCTTGGAGTAAACCCAACAATGTTACCATTCAAATGAAACCTATTTGACAGAACTGTTGCATAACAGTATTATTTTTTTCACGACTTGTGTGAATTTCTTTTCTTTGGCTAACAGTAAAGGGTTGAATGACCTGCCTATATATAATCCGCCTGTACTGCTTTAAGTGACACAAAAACGCATTTTCACCAACAGAAATCAAACAACTTTGGTTCATCGCCATGGATAATTTATTGATGCCGCCTGCCGCTTGGTAACACTCGCCCTTGAAATTTTCTAACGTGCACATTTTTTTTATATACATGATAGGATGGCTCGACGTGGCAAAGGATGCTTTAGTTCCTATCCACTTAGTTAACTCCACTAAGGGACAGCAAATTTCTCCGCAATCTCCACACACAAAAAATCAAAAACGATAAAATTGATATCAAAACGACCCACTAATAAGAAATAATTTCCTTCACACAGCTGGTTTGGCATATTTTAGCATCTTCCAAGCGAACCAACTATGAACTTACTTTGAATTTAAAATCGAAAACGCCTCACATACGCAAGCAACAATGCAACAGGCCCTTCGAGGTCGTTAATCAAATACAGACCAAGCACGCAATAATACGGACTCTTTAAAGCTTACAGTGAATTTCATAACAAACAAACAAACATAAACAAATAAAAGCAAACAAGCAAACCTCATGCTCCACTACGGAAGCTAGGTCCAGTCCTTGCTCAGCATCATGCATGAAGCTTTCACCAAGAATCGTTCCCACGACCCTATGTCCCATCGCCATTATACGGTCAGGGCGTAAGGCCTGGATTACAAGCAGCTCATGGATAATTTGGCCGATATTTGCTTCAAAGAAAAAAGCATATGAATCCTCTGAGCTAATGAAGTCGCTTACGGAGATATGTAATCCAATTCTGACTTAATAATATATTTTTTTTGCGCAAGCTATTGTCGATAAGGGTCTCAGTAGTCTTGTATTACATTGCTTGGTGCGTTAAGAAACGTCCCACGGAAATGAACTATCTTCAGCTGTTAAGGTACACTTCTCATAAGCAACTAACATCGAAACAGCAGAACTCGAAAAACCTTGAATTCCAGCTTGTACTTTAGACAAACAGGTTTCACATTTTGACTGCCATTGGGCCATTGGGCCATTGCTTGCTTGTCTCATTAGGTGTTAGGCAAGTAAGCTTAAAAAGTTGCTTGTTCAGCTAAAAGTCTACTTTACGGGCCTCTTTTTTAAGCCACAAACGGTAATAAACCGGCAACCAAGGAATCAATTTCTCGCCAAAAAGTTTAGCAGCTGCTACATGACCCATAAGTTTAGAAAGAATTATTCGGGTCACCTTTAAAAACGTCTTTCGGTTTTATTACGTTAACAATTCAACTTACTGAGAGACATTTTGGAGTCCCAGCAGGATGGTACGCTACGCTCTGGTTTGCCAGACTCCAGCCACTCAAAGAAGTCCGCGCGGTTCAAATTAATATACGTCTGCAGCTCCTTAAAAGCTGTGAGTTTGGATAAACGAACCACAGCAGCAGCCTGAAAAAATACAACACACTCATGGATAAAGGATCGACTGGATCTTCGGCATTCCGTCGGCATTCCTGATTAGGACTAACTTTCATACAATTCGAGAGTGTAGCGGTTTTTGTTTCTACAGAAACTGTAATCACAAAAACAAATTATCACACAACATAAGATGCACTCAGATGAAAATTACATGAAATTAAGCTGGATTAACCCAGAGCATGGTGCCATAAAATTCGCTACAAACGAACGTTTACACAAAGCTTGTGCTTTATGTAACCCATAACAATGATTTGCACACGGTTCGCAAAGGAAAAACATTTTTCGTACCTGCTGAGGTGTAAATCCATCCATTCTTGGTGGCTTTCCTGACAAAACTGTCTCTCCTCCTCGCAAAAACATCTCAAACTCGTCTTCATATTCAGTCTCACTGTAAAAAATCAACGTTATTGATTCGACCTTTTGATACACCTTAATGTTTCTTAGCTTTAGTTAATATTAGTTCCTTATTACATGGCTAGCTACGCGCGAGAGAAATGTGGAGCGAATTCTGTGTTCTGACTGGCTACCTCAGCGGCTAGAGATAATCCATCTTGCCCGCTTTTCGAGAGAACACTTTGCTTAGGCAATATCGGACAAAATAATAAACTCTTTATTGAACAAGCTTGTTTGAGGACGATGCCTAAATATCAGCCTCGTTCTTTACGTAGAGCCCTATTGTCGCCCTACTTTGGCCATCCTCGGGAACCCAGGGGCAGTCAAACGGCTGTTCGCCGATTGGGCACAATAATACGAAGCATTTTTTTGTGCCCAATCAGGAGCCAGCATTCGCTTGACCGTTTGGAACGGTCTGGTGAGAGTCGGTACCCAGGGCCTCTTCCGCCCATCCTTGAAAACTTTCGTCGCGCCTTTTCTCCCGACCCGACTGACTGCCCCTGGGCCTCCGAGGATGTACTTTGGCAAGTCTAAAATCATTTTCATTACACACATAGTAACTCCCTAACCAAACCAGAAGATATCAATATTACATGCAAGCAGAGGTTTGTACACATCGTGTAACAAACCAAAGGAAAAACTTGTCATGTATTTCTATAGCAACCCGGTTTACTATTCCAGTCATTAAACCACTTCAACTGAAAAAGTGATTGAGGGTGCTTCTATAATTGTGTTGTAAAAGGTAATGCTATTCCCCTATGATCTAGTCACAGAATGATACTTTATAGTCAGGCGCCGAGCTGATTCTTTAATTTGAAATATCACACAAGACAGGCGAAAGGCGTCGCCTGCAAGTGCGTTTGGCCCATTCCTCTTGCGGCTTGCTCCGTTGGTCGCTAACAGATAAGACGTCACAGTTGGGACCACTACAGAATTTTGTTTTCATCCTTTAGAAAAAGAAAAATTCTTCCCACTCTTGGTTTCAATGTCATTGACAACTTAGCGAACTCATTGAGAAAAAAAGGGCTAACCCTGTTAGTCCACGGAGGTAAATTCGACAGAGCAACATGGCAAACGTGATCCTGTCATCATGCAACATACCACGAGCAACTCTGTTGTATACAATCTAAAAGAAACAACATGAAAAAAAACATACTCAATTTAATTTTAAAGACCGTTCCACGGTCTTTTTTTTCAAATTTTGACAAAAACAAGTTAGGAAAACCCGTCGACACCACTGGAAAGAGCGCCTTAAAATCAACACAATTAATTTGCAAAATTTGAAAGTGATTGGTCTTAAGTGAGCGAAGGTATAGCTCTGCAAAGTTGCGAAAATTTATTGACGTTTATATGGTGGTGGTGGTGGCTGGGGGGGCAAGTTTTCGTCCCCACCATACAAACGTCTGTAAAATTTCGCGACTTTGAGGGGCTGTATCTTCGATGGTTGTCAACAAATCACTTTCAAACTTGGCAATTTTACTAATTTTAAGACGCTCTTTTCACTGGTGTCGACGGTTTTGTCCTAACTTGCACATGTCAAAAGTTGAAATAAAGTGGATAGGTCTATTGGATGTTTGCTGACAGAAAATACGGACCGCAGCCTGTGCAAGTAACAGTAATACCTCTAATATCAACTCAAATATTTCCCGCACTGTTCCACGTCCTTTCCTATCATACTGTCGAGGAGAATTCGTGTTTAAATCAAAACATTTGATCTTAGGTGATCACCTCCTTTATTGTCAAGACCTTTTTGTATGACATTGACCTTTGTTGGGGTTTAAAAAGCTTAGACGGATTGCTACTGGAAAGCACGCAGGGGCGGATCTAGGGGGAGGGTGCAGGGGTGCCCCCCCCCCCGAGATGACCTGCGGTTTTCTAATACAACTGGTATTCTGCCAAAAAAAAAAAAACTATGAGGTTTATTGGTGTTGAAGTAGAGCAAGAGACGAGTGCACCCCCTCCTAAAAAAAATCCTGGATCCGCCCCTGGCACGTACATTACACAGCGTACCAAAAGCAGAAAATAAATGCTAGTCTACATGTGAAAGAACCTAACGGTCTCCTGTACCCTACCCATGAAGAAGGAAAAAAACCGTGTCGTGTTTCCTCCCTCTCGGGGGTGGGAACGGCGACTCGTAGTAGATAAGAAGGGAGGTGATGTTTACCTGGAACAAGTCACTGCACAAAACCTTCAACCTCTGCTGGGGATCTTTCATGCTTTTCAGCTTGGGATTCTCATACAACACGCACTGGAAAATGTCCAGGAAAAACTGCAGAGAGAACTGGTACAGGAAATGCACCTGGAAGAAGAAAAAGCTTATTAAGTAACCCACTAATGCCTTTTGGGAATTTCTACGCTAAAATCACCTGAAATCTAAGGAACGGAGTATCATTTTTAAGAGATCTGCATTAGGAATTATTAAGCTGGTCAACCCACAGCTTCCTTTTCGGAGGAGGGTCTCATGAAGTTAAAAGCACGAGGCGCGGCCGAGTGTTTCAGACTTAATTAAACATAACCTGCAAGTTTATTGAACGGCTTAAATATCGTGACTCTAGATCTGTTCATTTCTTTCCAGAATCGTTGACATTTTCTATTAATTTTCTTCCCAAGGTAATAAGGGCTAAAAACTCAGTTGCGTTTTATCAGTTTTAAAAACACTCAATGCATTATTTTAAATTACCTTACACGAATTATCGAGTTTTTAAAACATTTTACAGAATTCGTCAACAGTTAATTTGGGTGGCCTTTGTCTCACAATGGACTTTTTATTATTAAGGATGAGATTCCTGTGACTCACCAACTTCAGTCCCTCCATAGTGAAGTATATACTACTACAGTAGTGTGATAGTGCGTTATATTGATCAGACACTGCCTCCACTTCAGCCATAACAGCATCTGTCTCTTCCACTTTACGAGTGATCTCAGCTGCTTCTTGCTTCAGTTTTTCCAGAGTAGCAATGATGCGATCATCGTCCAAGATTCTTCCCTTAGCATCATTCAAGGCTTGGAGCAAAGACTTTTCGAGATGGCGGAGACGAAGGTGGAATTCACCTGGGAATGAAAACCACAAAATCCTTAGAGTCAATTTGATCTCATAGGCTACATTCATTCTTGGTGTCCCAGCAATAGTGCTTGGGTATCGGCACAAAATAGTGGTGTTCATGCCTTGCGGAACCCGACATTTCCCAGCAGGAAATGCTAAACAGTGGATTGCCTCGGAACTAACAGAAAACGCGTGCCAGAAAGGCCCGCGGCCCGATTGTGCCCGAATAAAAGGTCTTGACCTTGTACTTAAGCACCATGCACCATGCCCGAATTCTAGCGCGGGTACTTGAAAAAGGTTGTGTTCACATTAGTGCCCAGCGAGTACCATAGTCAGACACCGTGCCCGGCCATTACGAGTGAACGCTGCCTTTAAAGAGGAGTTTCAAAAATAGCTTTAAAAGCACCAGTTACCTTGCAGCTTGAGCAAATCGGATCTCTTCTCATCCACATCAGGTCTCTCAGCCTTCAGCACTTGATTCAGGCACTGACTCTGTAAGCTGCTACGAGTCACCGTGAAGTTAACGAATGTCACGCGACTACACAAATCAGGTGCGAACTCGACCTGTAAGTAGAAAAGCCGATCATGTTAAGAAGCTCAAAAAGCGACTTGGGAACCAAGAAGTATTCTAACACGATCCAATGAATTCAAGGGTGCTTTCTACTTCAACAAAAATAACCTGTTTTACTTAAATACTTCAAAAATTGAAATTCTATGTAAAGAAAGGAAGTGTGTTTGTTTTCCCAAAAGGCGAAAGGAGAAAATGCCTTTCCGGAAATATTGGTTCTATAAGATTCTTTAACCAGAATATCCCGAGTTTTCGGTTGATGGTTTGCTTAAGAAAATTATCCAATTCCCGAATTTTCTAGGAGTTTTTCCCGGAAAAGTTCCGTTCCATTCACAATCCTTTCCAAATTTTCGAAGTATTATGTTCGAATGGAAAGAAACCCAAGATTTCACCTACCGTTGGATCTCTGGTGGAAAGGAAGATGGTAAAAGAAGGTGAGAGATCAATGTCTTGATCTCCTATGGTGATGAGAACACGGCCGCCAGTACGACGCAACTCACGGTTCAACACGGGATTTAGGATTGGATCATAACTTTCAACATCCTGTTGGAAAGAACAATTAACAGAGTGTGAGACCATTTCGGTTGGGTTGGAGAATGCTTTTTGATTGGCTACAAATCTCGTACCACTTTTTGCCACGCTTAGCGCATGCTACTTTTTGCTTCGAGTTCTAATTGGTTACAACGCTTTTTGATTGGCCAAAATATCTCGATCGACTTTTTCAACCAATTAAAAGCAAAACCAATAGGAATTGCTCTGGACACCCGCTTTTTTTCCCGCGCCTTACTTGGGCTACATGTTTGCCTCAAGCTCTGATTGGTTAAATAGCGTATTTTTCGTTGCTGTGATTGGTCAGCAAAATTCCTTTTCTGTCTAAACCAAGAAAAACAATTTTCATTCAACCAAGCACACAACCAGAATATGGCATTTCGAATGATTTAGAGAACAAATTACGAGCTCACCTGAACAAGGAGTGGGTTACCAAATCGCAGAGCACTCTCGAGATTCTTGCGGAAAGCATCATCAAGGAAACTAACGAAACGATAGCGAAGTTCGGTTACATTAACCACGAAAACTGTAGACAATACTATTAATGTTACGATCAACGTACAATCCCGGTAAAAACGTTTGAAACACTGTCTTTCATGTATAGGAAATACAATTCAAGCTAATCCCCCTCCCTTCTGAACAGTGTTGAGTATTAGAAGTCAAACACCTTTCACATATCTTGCACAGCTCAAGGAGCTCTATTTTTATCAGGGGGGTGGGTGAGAAACCATTGCAAGGCCGTGTTTAAGAGTTTGTATTGCCGGTAAGCTGCAAACTCAGTACAAAAACAGGTGAAAAAAGAAAAGTGTCCCAAAAACTTTCTGATAACTTCTGAGGTGAAACTGTTTGAAAATGCCACGTTAACAACAGAATCTGCAATTGTTTTAAACGTACCTTGTTTTGTTGATCTTCTTGCCTTTGTACTCGTTCAATAAGAACTCAGTGGCTTGTCCTGACGGGTCAATGATCAGAGGGTAGCGGTTAAATCTCTTCAGCATGATTGCATTCTCTGTGCATAGATCGTCTGCTGGCAGGGAATTAGCTTGCCACTGTAGACGTTCATCAGCAGTGGATAAATACTGTGAGGATAAACACATGGTCAGTCAAATTCCAATATCCTACAAAAATCGTTTACACTGCTTAGATTATCTATCATAGTTTATAGTCAGTAATAGTGGCATCTTACCAGCTTTGTACTAACTTGTATCCCTGTACTTATGAACAACAGCGCGCGAGATATCACGAGGAATCACTCGATAACAAACCCACTGCGCATGCTGTCAGCTTCCGCTAAAATCCAATATGGCGGCTCAAGATGGCGCCGGTGACAACGAAACTTTAACCTACTCTTTCTTCAAACCCACTGCAAATCAGAACCTCATATTTGGGGATTCTTTTTATTAACGTTTAATCTTTCATATCACGAAAAATGAGGGTAAGAGGGTTTTTGCGGTTTAGCCTTTCGTACCACCTGAATTATCTTTGGCTGACCTAGTATTACAATGTAACGTTCTGTCTTAAGTAGATTTTACTTCATTTCTTGTAATTCTTCTTAGATGTTTCTGTTTGTTCGCCTAGCCCCCCTCCATCCAAGACTAACTTTGAAGCTATCTGTGGGGCTGGCTACCAATGATGTATTGCTAAAATAAATTAAATCGTTGTTCAGCTTCACAAGTCTACTTCCAGTCCTTCCATAGTTAAGTAGCTTTTTAGCATCTTACCTCAACCCTGGCAATATCCGGCCTAAACTGAATGTTTGCCTGTTGTAGATGAGATGCCCAAGAAGTGAAGAGATTCTGACGAAGCTGTTGGTCAAAGTAACCTGGGAAAAAAGATAATTTTGGTTGGTGAACCTTACACCAATGAAAAAATTAAGTGACTATTTGGCTTCGTAATCCAACGAACACTTTTGTTCTCGAATGTCTTTGAAGGTAGGAGACACGTTGACGTTTATTACCTGCATAAGCGAGGAATGCTGATGACAGAAGCACATCTCCTACGATAGTTCCCATCTGAGTTTGGAAGGCATTGCTTCCTGTCTCCCATCGCTGCCTCTCAACGGACAGACTCCTCAACAACGCCGTACTGCGACTCACCTAAAATTATGAAGCATTAATAATTATTTGCAGAAGGAAAGGTACAGGCGCAAATGAGCAAAGAATTCCCACACGGTCACGGTCATGGTCACGGTAAAGGTAACTCGCCCTCTTCATGAATGTAATTAAAATGTTTATCTTGTCTCATTCTTTAAATTGTTTGGCGTGAGAAAGCAATCAGCAGTTTGCTTGGTTTAAGAGAGGCATTTAGGAAGTACCGATTAACTGTGGCGGAGTCGATGAATAGTGAGTAGTATAGTATTTACTAGTTACTCCTGCCCGCTATACTAATATATAAATCAGAGTCACCTTGGCTTCAACTGCAGCAAGGTCGGCCTTGATAGCCTGGGCCTGACTGATTAGTGCAGCATATTCCTCCTTGTAACGGGCAATACTCTTCTCTAGTTCAGCAATAACCTGGCTAATCTCATCAGCCTATGATGTAAGGAAGAATTAATAACCAAAAAATTAATAAGTTCAAGGTAAAGAGGCAAGTCTAACATAGAACATCGACAAATGACCTTCCCGACAATAACTTAACCCTTTAAGTCCCAAAAGTGACCAAAGTCAATTTTCTCTTAACAATATCAAAACACAATAGAGAGAAAATGTTGAGAGAATTAATGAAATGATCACCTGATAGGAAAAGCTTTGATCAGCAAACAAATTCTCTCAACCAATTATTTAAGGAAATGAAAGGAGATCAGCCTGGAGAATTTGTATTTGGATATTACGGCTTAAAGGGTTAACACCCACTGTGCTAGGTCCCAGTTGTTCAAAAGGTGGATAACACTATCCACTGGATAAATCTCAACGCTGTCGAAACAAAATCGGTTTCCGTGATACTTTTCCGCTGGATAGTGATCTATCCGGTGGATAGCGCTACGGCTTTAAGGCTGGTTTCCCTGCAGCTTCGTTCCTAGTCCTCCTCGGCGATTTCGGATGTAACGTGACGTCATCTATCAAGCTTGTCGGGAGAATTCGCCGAACTCTATTCCGCTCGGTTCCAAGCCTCCGCTGTTCACTCGGATACCGCGAACTGGCCTGGGGACGAGGCTGCTGGTTTCCCTATTACCGCCCGACTCGCCTCGATCATCCCAAAAACTCTTGAAAAGATCGAGGCGGACGATTACATGGTTGACCTCTGTTTACTCACCTTGATTCGGCTGGCCTGGGCCTCTATCTCTAGGCTTTTAAGTTCATTTCTCAGTGGATCTACCTTTGTGAGCATGTCTGCATAGCTGATCTGCAAACAATAGTATTTCGCTGCATAAGGTTTACGTATATGTATAACGATCGGGAATGAAAACCTTAATAGAGTGCTTAATAGAGCGTGACCATTGCATTGGAACCTGTTCGATGGTACTTTACTGTGGTTTTGTTTACTGTACAATGTCATTTTTAAGTCTGACGAAACTGTATGACAATTGAAATCGACGCTACTAAGCAGTATTATCACACTATACGTGCTTTAACCTTTTATTCTGAGGATGAAATCATTCCATTCAAATGAAAGTTACTAAGGGGTAGTTCCCTTGGTACTGTTTATTATACAGTACAAGATGGTTGAAACGTTTTGGCTCTATTGATGACCACTCAACTAAAAGTGTGGTTTAGGCAGGTTTAGCTCAGTCGGTAGAGCGCTTGACTGCAGAGCGGGAGGTAGCGGGTTCGATTCCCGGGACCGGACCAATACTCAGGGTCTTAAAATAACTAAGAAATGAAGGTACTTCCTTTGTCCTTCAAACGGCTAGACCTTCGCGTGGATCAGATTACCACGTAAAATGGCGGTCCCGTCTCCATTAGGAGACGTAAAAATAGTGTCCCCAATTAGTACTTTCGTGCTAAATACATTGACACTCAAATAAAGTGCATTTTTTTTACTAGGTAGTACTTTCTTGGGGTACTGTTTCTTATGTTGTACAAGTTGGTTCTATTTTTGACTCTGTAGGTGAAATCCTAAAGTGAGACCATTCAGATAAAAGATACTGAGTATCACTATCCTGTGGTATTGCATATACTGCTCTACAGGGTAACTCGGAGGTTTATGACAGCTTAAGATTCAAGTTGATTTTCACCATACCTGTGCTATAGCCCACTTAACAAGAGGTCCACAAGCCACACTGGCACGATTCACTTTCTCAAAGTTGTAATCAGGATTGCTCATATACTTGCTCAGCATGATCTTACGGATGTCCTCCCTACATTAGATAGATATATAATACAATGAAATCTGTGATTGTGTGATTTTACAACAGGTGTCCGTATTTTAGAGGTGGGGATTGGGCGGTACGTCTTTTTGAATCGTTAGAACCAAAACCGGACCATAACAGAGCGTTTTACGAACAAGGAGTTGAGCGCACGAAGAGGTTCGACTCTTCAAATAGGATGCTACAGGGCTGTCACTAAGATTGCAAGTTGCCGGGTGTAGGTTATTGGTGGGCGGTGGGAAGTAAACAGTTAGGAATTTCCAGGGCTGCCGCTTACATTTCAAGTTGACGGGTGTATGCGATTAGTAGGAGGGGAAATGTAAAGCAAGGAAATTTAGGTTTCTGGAGAACAGCCCACCTGCCCCTCCCTTAAGTCAACATTATCACTTACTTCTCACTTAGGGCAAAATGTTGGGTTAGGGGAGGGGTAGGTGAGCAGTTTCCCAGAAAACCTAAATTGATCCGTTTTTTAGTTCTATTTTGCTTTCGTTTCCTATGAAAGTAGCTGGGGCTCACGCTCAGAGTAGCCGGAAAAAATCCCCCGCCCCCAGCTCTTAGTGCCAGCCCAGGAATTGCTGTTGTTTTTACTTTCCTTTTGTTTCATATGACAGCGGCCACGGGATATGCTCTTAGTCGCTGGGGAATCCCCGGTCCCCGGTCCTATGCTACCAGAGGTGAAATAGTAAAAGGTAAACAAGGTTGTTCTACATACGAAATGTCCTCTGTGGAGAAGTTCACGACTGTGGAGATAAAGTTGTCCTTGATGATAACACCTCTGATGGCTCTCCAATCTGCTGCTTGTTCTCCAAGCAACAAACAAATGGATTCCAAGGCGAGTTTCACAGCAGGGGGTGGATTTCCCATGGAACGGACTTCAACAAGATGTTGCTTCTTGATGGACTTCACAGCTAAAATAAAACGTAATGGGAATTACACTAGGGTCGGAATGTGGACTGAAGAAGTAATTCAGGCTCCACTAAGGGACAAATCAACCCTTTGATCAGCGTGCAAAGAAAGTCGTGTCCGATAGCCCGGGGCTAGTGGATTTTTGGGTTCGAACCCGCGACCTCCTGCTCAGCGGACCGGCGCTCTCCCAACTGTGCAAATCAAGCGGCAGTTACCACATGGGTATACCCAGTCCATTGCCTTTTATGTTTAACAGGGCACCTCAATAAGCACTAATTGGGAAATTTGTAGCGTTTGACTTCACGTATCTTTCCAACGGAGTCAGAGTAATGCAATCTTCCCAAGACTGTTGTTAACTCAATTTAGCATCAAGAACAGCTATATGCTAAAAGGTGTAAAGAGAGAAATGAGAATTTTAACTACGATACTGGGGATAGGTGGCTTACCCATCTTGGCATCCTGTACAGCAGGTTCTACTTTGGCGAGTTCAGCCATCACACTTGTCTGCTTTTCCTTGATCTCTTTGGTTTGTTTCTGAAAGTAATTTAAAAATTATATATCATGAAACGCGGTGAATTTCAAGGAAAGCAGTCTATGTCAGCCATTTTGCGGCTGCGTTGAAGTGTTGCACCTTAACGTGGTGGAAAGGTTTGTGTGCCTTGATGACCCTGGACGCTAAAGGTTCTTTCATTGGTGAGCGCGAAGATGCGCGCGCGGGAAACAAAACAGTCCCATAATGCAATTCGACAAAAGAGTAACCTAGTCTCATGCTCAAGCTTTGAACTGCATTTTAAGTGAAGTTAACAAGAAATATCCAGTTCCAGTGTTGTCTTTTGCTTGACCATATACAACTATTCGTGAGGGTCGTGATTCCGTCGTCCAGGGGGCCATGTGGCAGCTGCTCGGAAGAGAAGTCACCAATGGTGCCTAACCCTGACCCCAAACAATACTGAAACAATTGAAAGAATGATATGTCATTGTTTTCTGCGACTAATCAGGAGAGACCTTACGAGCAGCTCCTACACAACTGTCGTCTAGGGTCTGTGGGGTCTCTGCTGAGGGCTCCGTAGAGGTCTTCATACAACTGCTCAACACCTTAATCGAATATTTCGTTCCGTACCTCTATTGTTGCCTGAATTTCAATGGATGTGACCTTTTTCTTCTCTGCCTCTTGCTGGTCCTTAACCTGCATGAGAATAACAAAATTGGAATACTCAGAAATCAAAGCTTGACAAGCGGACTTGCCTTAAATCACTGGCGATAGAAGTCTACTCCTAACAGTCTTAGTGAATTTTGTTGTATGAAATAACAACACAGATAACTTGAAACTAGAAACTAATTTAACGTCTTAAAAGACAATGAATTTTCTTCTCACCATCTGTTTGAGTTTCTGATTGGCTAAGGCATTCTTGGCCTCCAGTTCTTGACTCTTAAGCGATAAACTCTTCTGTAGCTCTTCCACCTAAGAATAAAAAGGCAAAAAAAGCGTAATAAAGCGTGTTAAAGCAGCATAGCTCTGTGTCTCTACATAAATAACAACCTGAGAGGGCTGTAAGTCACTGAAAGTTTCTCACAAACCCTAATTTTCTTACAACATTTATTCTTCACCTGATCCACAGTCTCGTGGATTTTCTGTAGACCAACATTCAAGTGAAGCTGCTGCTCTTCTAGGTCCGATCTCTTCTCATTGAAAAGTTTGACCTAAAATACAAAAAACAGAATTATTAATGATTGAAAGATAATCCATAAAATCATTTTATAGTCTGAAAATTTGCACCAAGTCTTGGCGGTGATCTACGATGCCGTCAAAACGTGGTCCTTCGCGTTGGATGAAGTTCAGTCTTAACGCATTCAAAAAACATCTACCATTGTTCAACAAAGAGTGCAAAAGTATCCAACACCCAAAAAATGTTGGATGAACATGGACCTTCACATTGCACCCAATCAAACTAGGCCTTAGGCTCTTTGGGTGGATTCATTTACAGCATATCCGTAAAGCCGTCGCATTACCTCTTTTCCTAGTCACTACCAGAAAATATACTTAAGCGTAGTTATCAGTTTAATCATAACTATAACAAAATTGTCAAATCTGATTGGCTCTCAACTGCCCTGATTTCAGCCTTAATTGGACAGTTTAATACGACAGTACGCGTCATGCCTAAGTAATTGGACAGTACGCGCCATCACGCGCGCGCTTAAATGGCTTTTTTTTCACTGCTAGCAAAACAAAATGTCGAATTTCTTGTGTTTTGGTTTAAAAAATAGCCTATTGTATCACAAATTTTGTTAAAGTTATGATTAATTGGTAACAGAACTTCGCGTCGTCCAATTCGGTCTGTAATCATACTCGCGATTAAACAAATCGGACTCCCGCTACGCGGTCATCCGATTTTGTTAATCACTCGTATGATTACAGACCGAATTGGGCTCCACTCAGTCCTGTTACCATTACTTATTACCGTGATATTTATCTCCACGTAAAAAGGCTCACCGGATTTGTTAAGACTAAAGTGAATGCGGATTCGTAAAAATGAACGTATTTCCATGGTACAAGAACTTATGATTACATTATGAAAAGTATATATTTTTCTGGTAATGACTAGCAAATGGTGCAAAATTCCACCGGGCAAATGTGACAGCTATACGAGAATGCAGCAGATGATCCCACTCGTCTTGGCTTTTTTCCTAAAAATAACAACCGAAAATTAAGTACCGCATAATTTTTTTCTCAATAGTCTTGTAATTTCTTCACCCATGTAATACTGAAAGGTTTTTAAGAACCCGTTTAAAAGCGTCCGTGCGTTCCAGATCGAATTGGAATTTGGGATTGTTGTTTTTTTAAGGAGAGGGGAAAACCGGAGTACCCGAAGAAAAACCTCTCGGGGCAAAGGAACGAGCCAACAACAAACAGTGGTGGGAGGCGAGTGCTCTCACCACTACGCCAGCCTTGCTCTCCATGGTCTTGGCCATTTCAGAATCGTGGATTGTACTTACATAGTGGTTAATGAAGTCCAGGTAGTGTCGAGGTGTGATAGCCATCACTCGACCTCCTCGTTTGGCTAAGCGCTCATTGGCCTGGTGTAGCGTTTGATGAACGTACACAAATGCGTTAATGACAGCTTCTCGGTGGGTGGGTGACATTGGAAGGTCTTCATACACTTTGGGTAAGTAGTCCGGAGGAGTGTACTGTGTGAAAAAGCAGGAAGAGAAAATCATACATTTGTCATGAAACCAGATAGAACACAAACCTGTACGTATCCAAAAAGGCCCTTTCATCAATATAATTCGACGATGAGCACTTAAATTGGGGGCTTAAGTGACTACGACGGCGACGGCTAAGAAAACCTTTGATTTCAATGCGGGAGGTCGAGGGTTCGATCCCGGGGACTGGACCAATACTCTGAGGGCTCTACAGTAACTGAGCAATAAAGGTACTTCCTTCACGAGGCTCTGATGACCACAAAAAAAAGGAGGTCGAGTCTCTAGTAGAAGATGTAAAATTGTGTCCTCATCTAGTACCTTCGTTTTCAGATAAAGCGCTTTTTTTTAAATAACAAACAACAACAACAATAACAACTCTGCACATGCATCAAACGTTTGGCTTCATTTCTGTACCGTCAATGCACGACTACGACGTTAAATTTTCCATTGTCCCATTCGCCCCTGAACCGCCCGTAACCGCCCGTGTGGATCCACGCCCATTCTACCGCTTGTGACGTCATCAGTTTCAACGATCAAGGACTCCAGGATCGCGACTACCGTTTTTAATGTCGGTTTCATTAGATGTTTTTTTGCCACATCTTTGTTCTTCGGAATATCTTGTACTTACGTTGGATTTTTCCAAGTCAATCTTGCTGGTGAACTCCTTGCCAACTTGATACAGCGCACCAGTGGACCAATCGCCAAACCAATTGAGAACACATCTGAAAGGAAAAGAATTTTCAATGGCGGTCTGAGGATAAATCAGCGAAAATGGCCTCTCACCATGGATGAAAAAGAATGGTGATGGATATATGCACGACATGGGCGTATAGATATCAAGTTAGCTTAATCAACTCAAAATTATAGTGTTCGTCAGGTTGGCGCATACCTGTTGAACAGAGCAGGAGACGTCGCTGCACGGCTCTTAAGTCCCTCTGATGATGGATTCATGGTGAAAACAACATGCAGGTTGTTCATGACCTGAGAAAATGAGAAAGAACGTGCTACTATGATATCTAACCTTTAAAAATGTGCGGTGCCTTGGCGAAGTTTAACCATCTTCTTCAACTGGCGGGACGCAAATCAGTAGGTTATTTACAAGTATGGCCGAGGCGTTAAATACAGGGATACTGAAAGTGAAGGCCAATCAGGGACCAGGGATAAGGGCGAGACTTGGACCAGGGTACTAGGGTGAGACTCGGGCCTGAGGTGCAAGGAGTCGGGGAGGGACAGGATCATGGTGTCAGTTGTTCAGGGCGGGAATTGGACCAGGGGCTCAGGGAGTCGGGGCGGGACTCGGACCCAACCCTACGGGTTGCGAGTCCAACGTAGGGTCTTCTCGACAGCCGGCGTAAAAGCCCACTATTTGGGGGATATCGTGATGACTCGCGAGAAAGGAGACGCGAGCACGAGGCGGGGAAAGCCCCTCCCTCGTGCGTTCTCGCGTGACAAGGGAACAAAATAGAGAGCTTGCGCGCAAGCTACCTCCCGCCTGTATCAACTAACCTGCTGTGTAAACCATTTGTACAGCTCCTCACTGCTATCCAACATCAGGCCCTCTCTTTGTGATCCTTCTTTGCACTGTGTCATTAGTGTGGTGTACTCGTCGCCTTCAAACAATCCTGGAACCTACATTACAGACAACAATATAAGAATATTGGAAAATCAGTGCTTATTGAACTATTATTCATACGCTTATGGATGCTTATTAAGCCTTAAAAGATGATTCTACCTTATTAATTTATAAATGAAAATGTGCCCATTTAAATGAGAGCTACTGAGAGGTACTTACTTTAGATATAAATATTTTTGAACAGAGGACCCATTCTAAGGGGCATTGTGTACAGTCGTCTTTACATTGAAACTTCCCCCACCATATATTTCAATCCATAATTTTTTTTTACCTCTCCATTTGCCAAAAGAGTGTTCATTCTTTCCAGGAAGCTTGACTCCAAAATGTTGGACTCATCCAAAATGAAGACAATCTTCTCGTTCTTGCAACCTGCTCGTCTGAGCACCGCTCGCAAATCTTCATCAAAATCTGCCGCCAAGTATTTACGGTGAATCTAGTAATGTGAAATACAAAGATGTCAGGCCTCGACAACGTACTTACCATTTAACTATCTGAGCAAACAATAAGTTTTAACAAAGGCAAACTGCACGCCAAAAAGGTCCATAATTATTATAATAGCTTATTCTGATTTTAGTGGCACGCGGCATCTAAAAGCTTAACTGCAACAACCCACCCAGCACACCCCACCCGGATGAAAAGACCCCCGAAAGAGTTACCAAGAGAGGTACGACATTGGTATCCAATTAAAAACCTATATGGAGAGATACAGTTCCTTATGCAAGGAAACAACTCTTTAGCACAGCCAAGACCATACTCCACCCCGCTAGATCCAGTTTCTGACTAGTTAAGCACAAGACCATCACACCTTCACATTTTTTTAAACAAATTACCTTTTAAAAAATTGCACAAACCTTGACTTGGAAAACGCTTAAACCATTCATCCACGCCACAAATCTGGACAATGTGGTTTTTCCAGCTCCACTCACACCAATCAACAGCAAGTGGCCCTGTAGATTAAAAAGTTGCACATGACTTCATAAAACACTGACAAAAGTTGCATATATGAAACCCTATTCCCCTACCAACAATGGATACGAAAGTTGTCAGCAAGCATCTACTAGTATTCTTTATGGAATATACGCTATAGGATTGTTAGTCTCAAGTTGGTTTCAACTTTTTTGGCACTCTGTTGAAAATCTCTCTAAGTGGTGCTCAACAACAGCAAAAAAAAAGCTACCTCAAAGTTTTCAGAACTCTAGGTCCCAAAATTCCAATTTTTAACTGACCTGTGGCTGTCTGAAGATTCTGTCGATCCGCAGAACATGGTCAAGTACTTCATTGAACAACACTAACGGTACATCCAACTCCTCTTCATAAAACACCTTTGAAAAGCAAAAGGGCAAGTATTGAAATGAAACAAATGTACTTCTCATCTCATCATCAGCGGTATTTGTAGTTAAGCGTTGGGAGGATAGTCTTTGCTAACTGCGGATGGAACTGTAATGTATATAAAATTCTCCTCATTGGATAAACACAAACACAAACATCCAAAGAATCACCTTCAATTTTGGCAAGTCAATTTTGAAAATGCACTCAACGTCCTGGTGCACATTACAACGTTGGGATCCTTGTGTAAGCTTGAGGACTCTACAAGCGTCACGTTCAGATTTTCCACATGGGTTTACATTGCTTTTATAAAGTATGAAACTCCGCTTGAAGCTGCACCTACAAATTATAACTATCATCCATATCATAGTCCATACCTTCAGTCTAGCTTTCACGAAATCTCTCAGCTCCTCCTGATCAACTGGAATATAATCCTTTGACAGCCAGTTGCTGTAAAGGATTGGTCGCTTTAGAGCTGCATTGCTGTCAACATTGGGAAAATGTTTCAACGCGACCATGCTGATGTTTTCATCTGTCCATTTGCGCTCGTCGTCTTCAACCAACCTGGTAAAAGACAATGAACAAAAAACAGTCATCACAAATTCCCTAAGATTTTACTTTATTCCCCCTCCCCTGGTTGGTTATGCCATTTTAAAGGACTTCTCGTATCTGTTAGGCGCGAAATTCACCGAAAAAAATTTCGTTCAAGTCATGACAATTGACAAATGGTAGATTGAGGGTTTCACAATGACTTAACCTGGAAGCTCTAGGAAGACGCCCCAATTTGTTTTTTTCCTGCGTGAATTTATAGTATGATTTAAATCCATTCAGGCGACCTCATCGCTCGTTTTGTCGTGACCTCCTTGAAGTTCGCTCGCTTTTCCTCATTAAAGGTCGTTTCAAGAAATTATAAGAGGTTCACTTTTAGAAGTCTAGAATTCACGGTACTTGAAAAAGAATCACGTCAATGAAATTTCGTAACGTTTACAAAAATACGAACTATCTACAGCTACATGACAAACGGAGACATTAAGAACTTGTTCTTAGCCTCAAGAAATAGCATATCCAATTTAGGCTAAAATCTGTGACCTATCCGGCATAGAGTGACCTAAATCTCACCGATCCTGGAAAAGTCGCAGTGCTTCGTGTGCCCACAAACGAACCAGGCCCTCGATTGAAAGAGTCTCCAACGGTTTCAGTGCTTCGCAGATGCCTCGAACCCATCGAGTCATTTCACGAGGACTGTATATGTAATGGGGCTGCATGTCTTGAGTGAAACGTTCCTAAAAAAATTGTCGACGCGTTTTAATCCTGTGATCTAATATATTACCTCTTCACTGCCAAATGTGGCCTAAGGCAAAATTCGATAGACAATCCCAAATTTCGTTTTGTAAAATTTTGAAAAACAAGTAGCACTATGTGAAAGTACAGATTGAGAGGTTTCATTTGAATGGTCACACCAAAGGATTTCGTCCACAGACTCAAAAAGTTAAAGCTACCTTACAAAACTCCATTATTCAATCTGGCAGTGAAAGGGTTAAACAACAGTCACAATGTTCCGTCCAATATCCACACACCGAGAAATTTAAGGTATTTGAATCTTGGAAAGAAGACTGTTTCATGTTTGATGTAGCTTCTAAAATGATAAATTTTAAATCTAAACTTCGCGAATTGTTAAGGTAATTCATACCTTCGCTGCTCTAATCATTTCCTTCATTGTCTCCCACGTCACCGATTCAGTGTGGCTTATTATTAGAAGATAGAGATTTAACTGACATAAAAGCAGTCATTACGCTAGTTGCAAACAAGAATCCGCTTAAAAAAGCTTTCGTTGTTTCATAAGAAAACAATTCTCCTTCCACAGGACTTGCTTGGTACACCAACACGATAGCCGTTTCATTGCTTTCTGTACATTAATATGACCAATGTGACCTAGTAAAAAATCGCTCTATAGACTCCTTTTTACCTGGGACATGGAGTAGAACTCCACCATTGCATCAGTAAGAGGTTGTGCATAGCTTCTAAGCGGTGGAACAATTCTTAGCATGGCACGATTGAATGTGCCATAGATCTGAGTGAGCGAGGTGGGGCCAGGGTAGTCAACATAAATGACCGGTACATGACGTAGGAATCTAACAATAAAAAGACAGGTTACTGTTAGGGAGATAGGTCAGCTGTTGCATTTCAAATGGAAACCATTCAACTGTAAGTTAAGGAAATTCAAGTAAGAACTAAAAAGGACGAAAAATCGCTGGGACCATTGGTGAAAGTTGAGTTTACCTCTCCACATTGAACAGACAATGGTACAGGAAAATTTGCTGTAAAATGAGAGAATGCCAGGGATTTGAGATTTTTTGGTCTCAAGGGTTCACAAGGATAACTGTAAAATAAATCTGCTCACTGCAAATTCATGAGATCTGTTTAAGCACTTAAGTGAAGATTTAACTTAATCAAAGAACGATTTAACCCTACTCTGGCACTCACTTAAATTCGTGCTCCACATAAGCCCTTAAAAGTTACACCATTTGGCCCTCAATAGGTGTAAAGCTTAAGACTCAATTTAGGAGGTGAATAGGTACTTTTACTTTTCCCGTTTCGCTCATTTTACTTTAAACACCTACAACACCCACCCAGAAACGGACCAAGACGAAAAATTCTCACCGAGGCAACTTCAAAAATTTTTTAAATTTAAATACATTTCCGTTTAAGTCATATATCTTTTTCGAAAGGCACACGCAAGGATCCTCAAACTAAGTCCGACCACCCATGTGGGTAGTCTGCTACACAGCCGTTTTTAGTGTTAGTGGGGAGGAGCGTTGCGTGATGACACTAAAAACGGCTGTGTAGCAGACTACCATGTGGGTGGAAACTTGACAAAAGCCAACCTGTGTGAGAGAGGTTTTCTTCCAGGGTCAGTGGGTGGATTGCAGGCTCCAACAAACTGTATTCTCTCCATGGTGACCCAGGCTTGATCTGTGGTGCGGTAAAACCCGCCATGCTCAACAATTTGCCTCAAGAAGGAGATCACACGCTGCGTGCCTACAGAAAGAACGCAATTTTACTTATTATAATATCGTTACATAAAATAGCAACGTTATGTATCCTGTTACTGTATGCTTGCTATCGTACGCAATAGCATAAACTCCCTACAAAATGAACTTCCGGTTGATTTTCCTGTTTGCCCCGAATTATCTAGGGTCAAGGACTATCTCCACGTTGAGACCGCGAAAGTCGAAGGTCGAGCGTGAGCGATCGGTGAAGAATTGGGGTAAGTACACATTCACCTCTTGTGCTTTTGCTCGCAGGTGTAATCCTGGAGCTCTTTATGCGATAATTCTTTCGACTGATCACGACCCCGAATCAAAGGTAATTCATCATTCTGTTCGTTTGAGCTTTCTCACAAGCAACTTACCCAGCTGGGTACCCTGTTACGTACTGCATTGGCCTACAAAGGTTTTAATTGACCATTCTTTTTTGATTTGGTGAACTTAGCCTGCGAGAAAGCTCTTCATTTCGAGTGGAAAGAAGAGGGAGCCGCGCGATCAGCTGAACTGCGAGGGGTGCCTCTCGCGCGTGAACTCTCGCGATATCCACCACGTGGAGAGTGTGCTCACAGACTATGACGTAATATATCAAGCATGAGACGCAGTGTTTCATCGCCAGATGAAACACTGAGAAGAGTTGAAAATACGACTAGTAGCGGAGTATTTTTGACGAACTTCGAGGTGTTTCATCTGGTGATGAAACACTGTGTCCAATGCTTGATATTACTTCTCAAACAAAATGATTTTAGAAAGAGAAATTAAGGATGCAAAAATGAGCAGTTTTTCATCTAATTTTTAAACACTCACAAAACATTAACTACCTATGTATTTTCTTTACGAATTATTAATGAGTTTGGGAAGTATTTACCATAATGATCCATGTCTGGAAGATTGATCTCATCACAGAACAACACCATCCATTTGCCAAGCTGCACTGGGGCCAAAACGATTCCATTCGGAGTCCGTCTGTACTCGCAGTAATGGTCAAACGTTTTCAGCAGCAGCTCAGGAGAGGTTGCACTAGAGAAGTTCAAACCGACAACCTGTAAAGAGAAGGGTTTCAAGAAGGGTTTCAAGAAGGTCAAAACCTACGTGAAACCTACCATGAGAGAACGGCACAATAGGGCCATTTATACGAGGAAAAATAAGACGCGTCCTAAATCAGACGCGAACTTTCCGTATAAACGCCCTAATGTCACGTGCGGGTATACTAACCAAGACATTAGACAATCACTGTAAAAATAGTTTACCAAGGCAAACATCTCCTAATCTCCTTACCAAGCGTATAACTTCTCCCAAGAGAAAATCCTAAACCTTATCGAATAACTTAGAAAATTTTCTTAAACATTTGTCTAAAAAGAAGTGCCCTTACAACGGTCCAAACTTGCGCCTTGTACGTTTACTCCCTGTGCCTTACAAGGTGAACTTTTTGTTAAGTGGCAATGTTCTTCGGGCCATATACCGAATTGTCTTAGAAGAAAGTCTTTGAAGCAAGCCAAATAAAGCTAAACTGATCTCTTCCACCTTTGAAATAGGCTATTTCCGAGTTTCCCCGGGCCTCTGTATCAAAACGAGGTCAAGTGCTCAGCCTTTGATATGGAAATGTTTTTCTATTCTCATGCAAATAAAAGTCATTTTCAAAACAACGGTTGTGTACTTGGCCTCATTTTGAAAGTGAGGGTTTTTGGGACTCGGAAGTGGCCTATTACATACCTCCATATCAGGCAAAGCTCTCAATGCGCTAAAGAGTGTCATGGTCTTGCCGCTGCCTGGTGGGCCGCAAAGAACCATGGGCTTATGTTCAGCCAACCACGTGTACAAGAGTGCTTCATGTCGCACTGTGTCTACTGTTGGCACGACAACATCAGGTGCTGCGACTTTGTGAGTCTCGACTTCAATTTGAGGCACCTTGGATTGCCATAGCACCCATTCACCTTGAATAGTGACCTGGAAACAAAAGATATATCTGTAAACATACACAACCTTGCGTGCACCGCTCAAAAACGCCTTTGTTTAAGCTCCGTAATATGTCAAACCGAAGGAAGTTGACGCTTAGCGTTCTATTTTCAACGAAATCGAAGGTGTTTGCTGTTGTTATGAGCGCTCAATAAGAGTGCTTGATCTAACTCCTTTCAGGTTTGTGTTGAATTAGTGAGTTTAAGATAACGTCTTCGGGTGAACAGAAATACAAACTAAAGCATCCCCAACCTCGGCCTTCCAGAAAGATTGGAATTCTGGTTTTTGCCTTTTCCAAACATTGGAATTCTGGATTTTCGCCTTTCCATACATTGGAATTCTGGTTTTTGGCTTTCCAAACATTAGGAGTGTGAATTTTGGCTTTTTCAAAGATTGGAATTCTTAATTTTTGCTTTTCCAAAGATTAGAATTGTGGTTTTTGGCTTTTCCAAACATTGGAATTTTGAATTTTAGCTTTTTCTAAACATTGGAATTCCAGTTTTTGGGTTTTCCAAACATTGGTATTCTGAATTTTGGGTTTTCCAAACATTGGAATTCTGAATTTTAGCTTTTCTCAAGATTGGAGTTCTGGTTTTCAGCTTTTCTAAAGATTGGAATTCTTAATTCAATCGCTCAGTCAATACATCAAACCTCGGTCTGAGATTTCCCTGTAATGACCTCACTTTTAATAAGTAGTATCTAAAGCAGGGCTAGGGGGAAAGGAGTATATGTCATTCTTAAAAACGAGCTGTTTATTTACTGTCTGACCACAATCTTCATACCTCAAAGTCCACGATGGATGATGATGTGCTTGAGGGCAAAGGGATTGTGGTGATACTCCTAATGAACTTGCCCAAATCCTCTCTAGTCTTAAGTTTACAGTCTCCAGAGAAAGCCCACAAGAGGCAGAAAATCAGGTACCTTGGAACGTACCGCTCTATTTGATCTCTCTGTCGACAGAAAATTTAACGTAAAAAAACCTAGATTAATTATTAGCACTGGGAAAAAGTTTCTTTGTAGGGTTCTGGGAAATACAGCACACTAACATAAACCCCTACAAGACAAACTTGTTTTGTGTTGGTAAGTTAAGGTATTTTTTACATAACTGGGGAGGATGGTAAAAGAACGAATATTTATATAACAGATGCGAGAATAACTATTAAAGCATGGCCAAAAGAAAAATCCTAATTACGCTGAACGTTTCAATGACCAACAGCCATCTTCAACAAAACTAAAAACGTCACAGGTGTCAGTAGCCCTAAATAGGCTATTGAAAATGTTAATTGCGACAACCGCGGAAAGTTACTCTGTCGAGGCCACCCCTCCCCCCTGGTTGGTGGTCGAAATCACTTGAACTTAGTAGCCTAATGAATTTCTTCAAGAGAAAAGAACAGATTTGAGAATCTTATTTCAGTGTGTCATATTCCAGGAGATCCTTTAAACCTTTATAACTACGGTTGAGTATGAATAATATTCAAATACGCTACACTAAGGATGGTGCCTCAGGTTAGTACAATTACCCCCCCCCCCTTTGGAAAGTTACAACCAAATTGCACGTCATTTAAATTGACTCTGGGAGAGGAAAGAATAGTGGGCACCTTATACCTGCAAAGAAGTTACTGCGCTTTTCACAAACATACGAACTCTAAAGTTCAAAAGACACCTTAACAATTGCGTTTTTCGCTGCCGTCAATCATAATTACGATCACAAGCAACTAACCTTGAAACAGAGAAACACACAAAACGGATCGAAATCCACCAATCACAAATCACAAACCATGACCTTTTGAAGCCGTGAAGTAAAGTTTTGTTTCCTTAGAGGTCCGTTAAGATGATTGACAGCAGCGAAAAACGCAATCGTCGGTGTTTTCATGTTTGTGAAAAGTGCAGTAAGTTCATTGACAGTTTATTTATTTTGAGATGATGAATATACGAAATAAAGAAATAAATGCATAGAAGATCAAGGCAGTTAAAGACGCAATTTATACAGTTGTGAAAGGAAAACATGAAAAATCTCAGGCATGTGGCTATTACCACTAAAAGTACACTTTTGCTTACCTCCATTGGGAAGTCTGGGTGTTGCTGGTTATACTGGAGAACATTTCTGACACCTTGGTGAATCATGGAGAAGAGTGACTCCAATGCCCTCATACGTGTGAAATCCATGATGTGCTCTTGCTTGAAAGCAAACTCCAAACACTTGACAACCAAACCGTTGGGTGAGAAGTGTTCTTGAACGATGTCAACAAAGTCACTCTGGACCTAAAAAGTCATCGTTATTGGGATCAGTTTTTCAAAACGTATTAGGAACTTTAAGATCCAACGACGCGGACGACAACGAGAACGTCAAAAAAACAATCGGTTTAATTAGCAAAACAACAACTTCGCGCATGCATCACACTTTTTTGTACATTTCTTTCTCGTTTTTGCACGACTACGACGTGAAAATGCCTAATACGGAGGACGTAAACAACCAACGACGAAATTTTATTTCTCTTTCTGAGCTTGAATTTGGTCCCTTGAAATTCAGCTTCAGGAGGGTTTGCCTACAATTGACAAAGTAAGTGGGTAGGAATAATCGCTATAAAGACTGAAAGAACGCAAATTTACTTCTTAAGCGACGTTCTTGTCGCCGTCGCGTCGTTGGATCTTAAAGTCCCTATTATCCTTCGTGGACGACTTGGACTAAGACATAACCTGCATTGCAGGCATATTTTTTGGGGAGTGAAAGCTGTTTGCTTATGTTCGTAATGCTATGGCTGCTACCTTTGATTTTAGGGAGGTTAAGCAACGAGGCCGCGGCAGCTATACGAAAACGCCACTTTTTAAACAGTGAATTCGCGCTGATTCAACCTTAATCACGCTTATTCCATCTCATTCAATTCGTCAAATGTTGGCTATTTTTTCTGGAGTTGAATTCTCAAAGACTGTATCGACGTTCGCGAAAAGAAAAAGAAAGTCGTCGCCTTGTCTTCCGTCCTCCACAAAACGTGAAATTAGGCATATTCACGTCGTAGTCGTGCAGTGACGGCAAAGAAATGTACAAAAAAGCGTGATGCACGTGCAGAGTTGTTTTGCCAATGTAACCTATTGCTTTTATGACGTTCTCGTTGACGTCACCGTCGTCGTTGCTTAAGCTCCTTTTACCACTGAGGAAGATTGGGAAGAGAGGATATATCAATTCCCGAGGTAAGCATCGGTGTGAAGGAAGGAGATGGGAAGAAAAATATGTCTCCCCACCCACCCTTCCCCCGCTTTGACTTGCCCCAACTCTTCGACTTTTTTAGAATCAGTATTGAGGTTAGGCGAGCATTAACATTCATGCACCCGACAAAAAACAGCTTTGCCTTTACAGAAGATATCATCAGTACATAATTTAAAAAAGAAAAGAAAAAAACACACAAAAAGTTTCTGTCGGCCAGAACCTCTTTTGAACCTCTATTTTAATATGTTCTTGTTGGCCCGAAGCTCTATTTTTTCAGAGTTGGGGTTCATTGCTAGTTTTGTTTGGGTTAGGGCTATCTATTGTTTTCTAAACCAATCCTGTAAGCCGTTCTTAGACCTTCCGGCCCACCCAACAGTTTGTGAGAAAGAATTTAACATCTTTTGTTCACCAAAGGGTTAGGTGTTCATATTTCAGGTGCAACTGTTGTTTTAAGAAAAGGTTTCACAGAGTTAATTTGTTCCTTCGAATAATATTTTCATTGGCATTTTGGTTCAGGAAACTGTGGTAGTTTAGGCACAAAACTGCAGCGTGCAAAGAAAGTCGTGTCCGATAGCCCGGGGCTAGTGAAGTTGCTTTCGGGCTAGTGATTTTTGTTCTTAACTTGCCCGACGGGCAAGTGCTGTGTTTTTGCGAAATTTAAGTTACAGAAGGATTGTTATCACTCCTGCTAATCAAAAAGGGTTTGGGGGTTAGTTGAAATGACTTGTGGGCTAGTACATGCTAGCTACAGCTTGCCCGAATGGCAGGCTGTAAAACTGACTTTCTTTGCACCCTATAAAGGTTCCTTTGGTTGGCTGTTAAACCATAGGAAAGGAATTAGTATTTCTCCTTCATGAGGTGCTTTGATTTGTCATACCTGCATTGCAGGGGACAAAGCATTCTCCTCTTCTCCTCTGGCTTTAATTCTTCTTGTTTCCTCTTCAAACTCCTCGATTGGCACCCTCTTCATTCGCAACAAGTTATTGTCAAAAATCATCTCGGTTGAAAGAACATCCTCACTGAACCAGACCATACCACAGCGACTGACAGTAGCTAAGGTTGCATAACGAAGATCTTGGACTTCAAACATGATGCGAACCTAACGTAGAGCACAGAGATAAATGGGTTTAACCTCACTGTGGTCCTATCGTGTATCCAAACTTAAGGAATTTCATCTGGGAGCTATGAAGCATTTCTTTGAAATAGAACCTGGATGCAGATGTGTTCTCGAAACGAAAATTTAAGTATTGAAATATAGGTAATTTCCCACTGGTTGGGTGAAATGAAAAAAGGACAAAATGCGTTCATGAAACACTGCAAATGGCTGGGATAAAGAAAGGTCACAAAAGAGACAACGCTGGTAACGTTACTTGGTGTCTTCCATCAACCTTTCGACACACGCACCATAGAAAGTCAGCCTCACATTTTTTTCTTTTGCTAAGGGTATAAAATTTAAGTTATGCCATGCCTTCTATCGTCTCATTTGTCACTGGACGCTTTTGTACTGAAAAAAGGCTAGGCCTGTCGTTGGGTCTTGGTGTGGGGTGAGCCTAATCATGTGTAAAGAGCTGTTAGAGACCTTAAGACATAGTTTCCAAGTGCAGGTACTGGTAACTTACACATACCCACAGTTGCAAATATGGGTAGATTGCCTGTTACCCCGAAGAAATGGCTAGGCTACAGGGCAGAGAAGTCATGGAGACCTTATGATAAACCGTTTCCATGTACGGGCAAGGGTAAATTACCCGTACTAAATCAAATAGACTCGCTCTTAACCCTAGCCTACCGTAAGACTAGTGATGCCAATACCACATCAGGGAAATCAGGGTTGCCTTTTATATAACTACGTACCTAACATGTTCGCCTATCCCTACCTGTAAACAGATACGGACCGGTGTATCTAGCTCCCTATTGGCAAGAACATGTTTACTATGTTCACTTGGCTTTGATCATTTTTGAACATCCAGTTTGACTTACATTAGATGGAATGCCTAGACGTTCACCATTTGGCAATGTCAGCAACTTGTTGTCATCAAGAACACTGTTTAAGTTCTCCACCCATTCTGGGTCGACATCACCATCAAAAATAATCCACTGCCGTTTGTTGATCTCACCACGAACATTGTCAATGATCCTAGTAAAAATAGACAGACAGTAGGTTTAAGCTACAGAAACGATAATTAGCAGCCAATAAAGACTGCTTAGGACAGTGAGTTACACAACAGTTCATTAAAATGAGAGCTAACGAGAAGTAAATCCTTGCAATTACACCGTTTACCATGCACTGCAAACAACTCTCACAGCCTTTAAGCGATTGCATCGTATCACATAAAATCACTAGAATTGCGGTTTTTGAGGAAGACAATTAGAAATAGAGCTTTTCTGAAATATTGCTATGGTGCTGTTTAATGGTTAATTTCTTAACACACTGTTATTCTACATTTATACCGGTCACATTAAAAGTTATAGTATTAAACGAAAAGCGAGAATTACTTTCTCAGAATGTGTGTAAACAACCCATCTGTCCATTCTCTGGTGTTTGGATCAAGGGTTCCATACAAAGCTTCCTTGGAAATGGCCTGAAACCAAACAAACCAATGATGTTATATTATTGACACCAAGCAAAAGCCAAGTGATAGTTACAGTCCTTCATTTCTTCAAGTCCAAGTAAGAACGTTTTAACATCTTGATCACAAACTTATTTCTTTTTCAAATAGTTTCCTCAATAGTGAAGAAAAATCTCATTTGACACATAAATTAGTAAGGAGGACAAAATGTCCCGCTTTCACTGAAGCACAGACAATTTACCACCGTAACTGCTTACATGCAATCTTTTATTCACGAAAATAACAACGAAGTTTTTTCAATTCAGAGCATAATCAATACCTTAGTACATGTATATAGACAGGACATAACAATTCCCCATTTAAATCGCTTATAATTAATCTCCTCATCCGTCGATAGAGAGCTTTAGATTCGAAGACAAGAACGACCACAAGAACGAGATTTTCTCAATACTTAGCAGTGCTCGCAAGTGAACCAACTTCATTTTGGCGGGAAAACGCAAAAGCCGGCGTCATTCTACAACAAGATTTAGCGAGAATGTCGTAATAGAGGGAACAAGTTATCTAATGTAAGAAGTTTGATCATTTTGCTATCGGGGAGGGGCTAAACCTTCTTCAATAAAAATAACCGCACTAATTTTTCAGGTGAAATATAGTACAATGAAGCTCTCAGGGTCAAAAATTTTTCGACAATACGCGAAAAACTTTTAAGTTAAATCTCGTACTTGTGGTCGTCCTCGTCCTCAAATCTAAAAAACTGCCCACCTACCCGTCCCCTAAGCCAACAATTTGCCCTAAAAAAAGAACTAAGTGTTAACGTTGGTTTAGGAGAGGGGTAGGTGGGCAGTTTCCCAGAGACATATAATGATCCGAAACGTTTCCCTTCACTCCAATAGTGAAATACAGTACGACTTCCCGTAACTTGTCTCAATGGTGTCGAGATGTGCATGTACCCTATGATGCAAAGTGCTACAGAACATTGGCATTTAACCTTACTTAGTGTCATGCACTCACCTTTGGGTCAACAACATGTGCCACACCCTCGACGCCCTCCAAATTCTCCAGTGCCTTCAAAAGCGTGCGCCAAGCTGTTGACTTGCCACTGCCACTGGGTCCTACCATCATTAACCCATGATGAATCTGGGATATTTGGTAGAGCTGAAGGATCTACAACACAGACAAAGCAAAAAAATATATCATTAATGATTATTCAAGCCACAATATCTCTGTTATCTACTCTGTGACTAAACCATAAACTCTAAAAAAAATTTTGTAATTTGTTTACCCACGGAGCACAAAGAACTCCTTGAAACGTGTCCGTGCTTTGCAGGTCAAATTAGAATTTAAAAGTGTTGGTTTTTAAGGAGAGGGGAAAACCAGAGTAACCGGAGAAAAACCCTTTCGGAGCAAGGGAGAGAACCAACAACAAACTCAACCCACGTGGGGCGGCAACGCCGGGATTTGAACCCAGATCACACTGGTGGGAGGCGAGTGCTCTCACTACTGTGCCACCCTTGCTTCCTCTTCAGAATCTGAATTCATAGGACAGAAAGATAGAAACATTCACTGCTTTGTGGTAACTTCTAAGGCTATCTGATCGCCTGGCAAAGTTATTTTGAAGAGAATGGAAGACACTCATGCTGTCATCCATGTCATTGTTACTCAACAAATTTAAGACCAATCGATATGATTATATAATCCATAAATATGTCTTTTTGTTTGACAGTATTGCTTGAATTTAGGTGAGGATGAGTGCTAGGGGGCATTTCGTGATGTCTACCATAAAGGGCACGAATCTCATCAACGTCCAATTCTGGACACAAATCGTAGAGAACTACTTAGTAGCTTTCATTTGAATGGTCCCACCTAACTAAACATAATATAGGATTTTGCAAGGGCGGATCCAGGATTTTTTTTAGGAGGGGGTGCACTCGTCTCTTGCTCTACTTCAACACCAATAAACCACATAGTTTTTTTTTTGGCAGAATACCAGTTGTATTAGAAAACCGCAGGTCATCTCGTGGGGGGGTACGCACCCCCTGCACCCTCCCCCTAGATCCGCCCCTGTTTTGTCCTCGGAGTAAAAAATTAGAGCCAAATTTCTCTTCTTTATGACTGACTGTGTAATACACAAGGTTTGATCTTTCTTCACAACCTTACCTTCTCCACCCATGCACTGCCTTGCTCTTCTCCTTCACCATAAACAAAGTTCATTTCAGTGCACACTTTCTTAATCTCCGCCTTCAATTGTTTCATTTCAGCACCAACGTACTTCACCCCTGGGAAAACATCTGACAGCAAGCTTTGGAGAAGAGGGATGTCTTCGGCGACAAGCTTTGGAACCACGGTTTCATAGACGCTTTGGATCAGAATCTGTCAAGAAAGAATGATAGAGAGAGATTTTTTTCACTTATATGGTCATACTTAAAGATTTGCCTACAGACTTCAAACTTAGAGAGGTACAATGTAAATCCCAAACTCTTTAAGCTAAATTAAAGCTGATAATTCAACTAATGAGATAACAAAAACATCCCCTAGGCGACTGCCACAAATTATTTTCCATTGGAGATTCTGTAGCCATCAGAATATTGCACACATCTTGATGTAATATGCCAAGGAGGGCTCCAGATATTTCAGGATTGTCATTCTGGAATTTCGCTTGCCAATCAACCGTAACATAAGTTTTGCCGAAGCAACTGAGGACAACTTTATGGGCTGTCTAATAAATTCAAACTCTTTTGGTGCCTAAATGCAAATTTCAGTTTCTCTACATTTTCTATGTGTATGAAAAGTGGTCACATAACAACAGATTAAATAGCCTGAATCTCACGTCTTGAGTTAGGGAGAGGAGATTTCAGAGGGGGAGGGGGGAAGAGAGAGAGGAAGGCCCTTATCTCCCTTCCCTCTCCCCCCTTTTTGCTATTCTCTCTTCTCCTTTTCTGCCAGAAACGCCTGATACGCAGGCTATGCATTAAAACACAAAGAAGAAGAGATCAACAAGTCCAAACCTCTTGTTCATTAAGGCTCTCTGAGATGGCGGCCTCGTCAGCCTCCTTCTTCTCTTCAATGAGACTCTCCTTGATTCTCTGGATCTTCTCACGTTTGACATTACCAGCACTAACCAGCACACTCTTCAAGGCACGCAGACCAAAGTCATAGTGAGACTGGTTCGACAGCTGTTCCAGACAAAGCCTGCGGAAAATTGTGATATAAATCACGGTTATCACTTTTAAATGGACACCCCTTGTAAGGAACGTCTTCGAGATGGATATCAGTAGCCCTCCTATCGTACGGGCGTCAGATTAAAAGAGCTGTTCAACTTCTTTATTTCCATCCCCTCTACAAAAGCATCCTTTTTAACAATTACTCTTAAATTGTAACACCTCCTCTCCACAAAGACTATAAATGGCAGCCCCAAGCAAGCGGTATTTTGAAGACTTTTTTTTGACCTTCCTGAAACTCGCCAGTGCTTCCTAACCATTGGTTATTACTAGTACATACTCTGGCAAGGTATCACTTACTTGAAGAACGGTACAATCTTTGAAGCAAGTTTCTCTGCCATTCGGAAACCCTGTGAATACAACATGACCTGTGCAATCAGCTGTCTGTCAGGGGTGGTCATGGCCAAGCTGCGGAACAACTTCTTCAAGTTGTCAGGGAGATTGGATCGTCCAGCATACCCTGGATTCATCGTGATGAAAATGGCCATGTCACGGCTCACTTTGACCTGCTTGCCTACCAGTTCAATTGTAATGGCTGTGGCTGAGAAATATAAAGAAACGTGAAACGTTATTCTACCGCACAAGGACAAGTTTAGATTAAGTTTATTTAGTTAATCAAGACTAAGCTAAACGCATTTATTCTCTTAGTGCGCAATCCGCCAACACGAAACTAAGGCCCCGTCGAGTATATTGGTTTTTTGGAAAAGGAGTTTTGTTTTACTCCGTTTTAGTCTACTGTCTATACTTAAACACAATTTTCGGCACCAAAGACGCAGTTTTTTTCAAACGGGCCCCAGACTGGAGATTTTTTAAGACGCCGGATGGTCGCTTACGAGTGGACGCACAAAGACAGAGGTTTTCGAATACGATTATCTCGTACATCATACACTGTACACTCTGTAAGGGAAGCTACATGTATAGTATTTGCATTGTGTGGATGGGCAAAAACGATATGAATACACTACGTAGGTTGCGCCCTTTTTTAAAAAAGAGAAAAGGATTCGTTCTCAAAAATATCCAGATACGTGTGGCCAAGGCCTGAACTGACATACCATAAGGCGGGGGGGGGGAACTTAATAGATACGGGGGTGCTTATTTGAGAGGGGGCCTTCTTTAATTTAGCAAATATGATGGTGTCAGTTCTCCTTAAAGAACAGCAATTCAAAGTGGAAAAGCTCAAGTACAAGACGTTGGAGGTCATGTAGCTGTAGATCAAAAACAAATCCAAACTTCCAGTTGCTGATTAAAAAAATGTCTTATTAACTTTCTTTCCCAGAAAAGGGCGGGGGCTCAATAGAGGATTTACGGTACACCTGTCGACAAGAGCTTATGTCCGCAGAGAAAAATGCAACGTATGTTATAGGCTTACATGTATCACTGCTGCCTTCTTTGAGGGACTGTTGAATTGTCTGTACTTGTTGTGATACAGCTGACAGCATTCGCTCCTCAAGTCTGTTAAACTCGTCAAAACAACCCCAGGCTCCAACCTGACACAGACCTACAAAGATACGTCCCATGGCCTGAAAAAAAAAGCGTACAAAAGCGTGACTCAGAAGATTACAACCGCATAGGTTGTCGTAAACATCCGTCACTGTCAACAACAACAGTCCTATTCAGGACAACGTTCACCTGGACGATCATTCTCAACCTACTCATGAAAAGAACCATTATTGTAAAGATCAAATTCAAGCTTTTGTGGAGCAAGCAGTTGTGAAGACACGTAGTCAAGTATTGCCTCGTCTGGGCAAACTTGAAAACCTTTCCTATGAATTTGACTGGACATTTTCGGTCACAAGAGTTTAAGTAATTATCTTCGCACTGAAATTTCAAAAAATGTCAGTTGTAGCATTGACTATTAACTTTTGAGTAAATAGCCGAGTTAACTGACCTGGAAGTCAAAAGTCTCATCACAGTTAAACACCAACACAAATCGTCCCAGCTGATGACCAAGGGCTTTCACTGATTCTGTCTTTCCAGTACCAGCAGGACCTTTAAGATAATTCAAAATAATGTCACTGAAAGGTAACTTAAGCAAGATCAAGCCGATCAGCATTATACCCTGCTGGAAATGGGACTGCCATTTTACGTGTTCATCTGTGCCACACGAAGGACTAGCCGTTGGCACAGCAAAGGAAGTATACCTTCATTTCTAAGTTATTTTAAGACCCTGAGTATAGGTATGGCCTTCGGGAACGAGCCCACGACCTCAGGTTCTGTAGGTTTATAAGTTCTCTACCGACTTAGCTTGTCCTGACTGGATGAGGTTAATTAAGGAGGGCGCATGTAATCCAGAGTTCACCAGTAGCAACCTTTTTTAATCTCTAAATTAATCAGGTGGTCACGGCGTTTTCAGTAACAAAAATTTCTCACTCACCAAAAGGTGACCCTCCCAATCGGCCCTCCAAAGCCTGAGTCATGGTTAGGTAGCATCGATCTGTCAGGGGGGTCTGAACAAGCTTGTCCTGCACTCCGAGGTACTCAAATCCATAGTTAAATTTGGCATTGGCCATGTGAATGGAAAGTTGTTGGAGAACATCCTTTTGCTTCGGGTCGAAGTAGAATCTCATCTGACTGAGCCAATCAAAATCCTTTGTACTTGCCACTTTACTGCTGACAAGTTCGCGTGTTACATCACGTTGATGGACCGACTCAATGATCTGCAAATGACAATTAATATTTCAGGTTATCAAAATAACTCACTACTGATCGGCCTTAGCTGTTTGGAGGGGACACGTCTTTGGTTAGTACCCTCACCTCCCATTCCACTGAAATCAACTAAATTTCACGTTGGAGTGATTTTCGTAGGACCTTGAAAACTGGGGTCGGTGAGTGTTCGTTGTTTTTTTATCAGCCAATGGATGAAAAGATCAAAAGATTACCTCTTCGTTTTCCCGCCAAAGAAAACTCTAATGTGGAGAAGGCATTGTTCGATTGGCCAATCGTGTTGCAGTATTTCATCAAAGCGAAGTATCGGTTGATTTCTAGAAAGTTGTCGGGCAACCAACCAAAAGCCACGCGCATTTGTATCCGTTCGATAAACCAATCAAATCGCTTTATTTCCGTTAGTTTAATGTTTCTGTTTCGTTGGCGCGTTTTTATTTCAAGGTCATACAAAAATCGCTCTAACATGTACAGACATCTCTGTAAAGTGGTTCTGTCGCTATGACGGATGTACGTATTAAACCCTTCAGCCCCAGAGTCAAAACCATCTCACAAGGTGGTTCTACCTTCAGTCTGTGCAGTGTTGACAAAACGCTGTTGTGTTGCCATTCAAATGAAAACTCTTTGGCAGCACTTTCAAACGGTAATATTTTATGTTTCTGCATTTTCCAAATAAGATTAAGAAATTTTCTTGAATTTTGACTTGGGTAACCTTTAGGAGTGGAAAAGTCTAACCATAAGGTTACACATAAGGCGCACTTGCTCGCAAAATTCCAGTGTCCTTCCGAAAGAAAAGCAGAGTTTTCTTGAAACTGCAAAAAACAAGAAAATATAACTAATTAACAGTAGTTTACTTACTAAGTGTTCCAGCTTGCGGCGTCTGACAGGAGGCTGCTCTTGGAGCACAGAATCTGCCAAGATGTTAAGAGTTGCTTCAACAACTCGCAGGACTCTCAACACCGGCTCCAGGTCGTTCTGGTTAGAAGATGATGAAATTGTTTGCAGTGCATTTTCACAGCTCTCTGACCAGGCAATCTGTGATGCTAGAACCACCAGCTGGGCCTATAGAGGAAATAAATGATAAAAAAAATAAATTGCTTTCCTCTTTACACTCAGGGTGCAAAGAAATTCTGTTTTATAGCGCGCCATTCGAGCAAGCTGCAACTAGCATGTACCAGCCCAACAAGCATTTTAATTAGCCCGAAAAAATTTTTGATGAGCAGGATTGATTACAGTTCTCCACTAAAATGAATCCCCCCACCCCCCTTCCAAAAAAAAATTAATTTGCCCCTCAGGCAAGTTGAAAACAGAATTCACTAGCCCAAAAGCAAAATCTACTAGTCCTGGGCTATCAGAAACAACTTTCAATTCTCTCATAAAGAAATACAGTAGAATCCCGCCTTAGGACCACCCCGTTTGTACGATCACCCTGCTATTATAGTGAACGACCATATTCTTTCGACCCAAACGTAATAATTATTGAATCATTTATTATTTTGACGACCCCGTTACTTAGACCACCTAGTTATGATGACCAGGATTTTATGGCCCAACGATGGTCGCATTAACGGGGTTCCACTGCAATGACAAAAATGCCGAAAATGTTGCTTCTCACCTGATAGCTATCAACCCATTTCATATACTGCCCGGCATCAATTGCCTCTGAATTAAACTGCTGCACATCAGTAACTGCTGTAGCCAATAATGTTGCCAGGGTGGTACGCATCTCAGATTCTACGCATGTCAGCCATTCATTCACTTTGGGATGTTCAGTCAATGAGACAGGTTTCTTGAACACCACCTAATTCAAAACGAAGGATATCAACAAGTATTTCCTAAATCAGTGGATAGAAATTTTTGCACAATTAGGAGGGAAGCCAAATAAGCATCTTGTTTCATGTCAGTTTCAGAAGACAAAACTTGAGCAATTTGTGGAGCAGCTTTACCAACAAATACCAAGAGAGCAACAAAATTCGCCACCACCATTAACATTCCCCTTGGGGGATAGTCATATGAAAAATGAGGAAGCAAATTTCCAGCCACTAAGAAGCACTACCCACAAAGATCTAGAAAGGGATGTGTCATCAATATGGAATTTCTGCACTCATTTCTCAGAGTCAACCAGTGGTGCCATCGCAAAACATTGGCTATTTTCTCAGGTTACTATCTTCCTTTTTCGAAAACACTATTTGAAACAGTAATCTACAGTATCTACCTCTTCTCCCTCTTTGGAGCTCAATCCAGTCACCAAATTCTCCTCCTCATTAAGAATAATTGCAGTGACACCAGCAAACATCTTTTTGAAGTGCTTCTGAAGCTTTGGAATGCTTTTACTGTTTCCGATAATCTCCAGCAAATCTTCATCTCCAACAAAATAGAAACGTGGAAATGATGCTCTCTCCCTCTCCAAATACTCTCCAAGGGCTTTCTGAATCTTTCCAAGCAGATCTGCAAGACGTTCAAGCTGTCGTTGGACGCCTTGGATGTTCAGGACATCAACGATCAGAGGTGTTTTGGCAACTTTCTTCATCAGAGTAAGAAATTCTGTGCTGATACTGATAAAGGAAAAAAGAAGATGTTAAACAAGCTGTGTCATGCCTGACTAGTTGCTTGAGTTCATATTGTCAATAACGTGTCTCCATTAGCTTAGGATATTTATGTTAGCAAGGAATTTACTTGCAAATGACAAAATCACAGCTTTGTATCAAACAAATATCTCTCCCAAAGCCTTACATCAAACAAAAATGAACTTTGAAAAACTGTCAAGCTAACAAGTTTTCAAGACCTGCAATTCCAACCCGCTTCAATCTCCCAACCGTTTGTCCATCCCTGCTTCTCAATTTTGTCCATCCCTTTTTATGTCTTCTTTTTGCTTTATTGAGTTTTTAGTTTTAAATTTTGATAAATTTCAAGACAAAGCACCTTTAACAATGCTTTTCAAAATTAGATATCATGAGTAGTGTAGGAGCTGCTCGGAAGGTCTCTCCTAATTGGTTGCAGGAAACAATGAAATGTCATTCTTCTTATTGTTTTAGTATTGTTTAGGGTGAGGGAAATGCACCACTAGTGACTCCTCTTCCAAGCAGCTGCTATATCCCAACATCATTGATCTGTAACAAGTAAGACAGGGCTAAGTGCACCGACTGTACTCACCTCTGGAAGCGCTGAGTCTCGACAGGCAGCAAAGCTTTGATATCCGCACTGCCACTGAAGATGCCATCAAGATACACCCATCGTCGCTGCACATCAATCCACACATCAAACACATCATGAATGCGGTTTAGCTTCTCTTCCCACTGGAGAGCATCCTCTTCAAAGACCTGAGAGTTAAGTTTCGAAGAAGACAGACGGCAAATTGTTGTTGCTCGAAATATCTAAAAGTTTTGACTGTCCAACAATAGGATGCCTAAAATGTGTGCAATTCCACAATTGGTTTCGGCTCCATTAAATCTTATACCAACTGTAGAAAGTTTTCATCACCAGATGAAACCCACAATTGAAAATCGGCACAGTTTTTGACAAGTTATCCGAGGTGTTTCATCTGGTGAAAAAACCAAAGAAAATGTTTGAATGCCTTAAACAAAATCATTTTTGAACTAAATAAATACAAGCATCAATTAAATATTAAAAACATTAATTTCCTTTGTATTTTCTTAATGAATTATTAATGAGTTTGAGAACGTTTTAGGAAGACAGTATAGACTCACCCACAATGTGAGCACAGCTACTGACAAGGTATATGAGTAGGAAAACAACCCAAAGAAAATGGGTAAATAAAAATTAAATATTAAAAAGAGCACGATTTAATTACTGAAAGGGTATTTTAATTAACAACGGATTGCACATCAAACCAGTGTTGCTCAAAGGCAAGCATGATTGCGAATTTGGTGATCTCTGTGCTATGCAGATGAAAAAGCTAACCTTGAATACTGTGGTTTAGGAAGGCATTAACAACAAGACTATTAATTTTCCACAACTACAGTCATGGATACAGCTTCTTCCAACACATTAAACTCTTAAAACTGTAAAACTACAAGCTTCACGCTAACTGAAAACAAAGCCAATAAATGGCATGCACGCATAAACTGTACCTAAGAAGTCTTTAACTTCCTATCTTGTTAAAAAAAAGGCAAACAAAAAGGAAACTAAAAATTTTTCAAGAAAAGATCTTTCAATAATGAGAATCCAAAGGGCCAGTGAGATTTGTTTGCAATGTTCTTCTATTTAGAGCTTTTTTCTTTGGGAGTGCAGAAGAATTCTCAACCTTTATGAAGCACAAAGGGCTTGTTTCAAGCCAAGCTTACTCAATGTACCTTGTAGTATGGGGAGAGCTTCATTGCTGAAACACTGTTGATGTGCTCCTTGACTTTGGTAAACAAGTCATCCCAGCCACGGATGATACGGCATTTGTTCTGGTAATTAACCAGCTCCAGTTCATAGCTCTGCCACACATCTCGCACCTATAGCGACAGTAGAGAGGGAAACAATCATTTAGTGGGAAAAAAACTGATTTTGGAACTGTTGGCTGTCAGAACTTGTTAACAGGGCTTCCAAAACAAGCTCAATATATTGACGTTCATGTTTCTCCATACAGGAGACTTTCAAATCACAAAAGACAGGCTAATAGGTAAATCCATAACAAAGTAAGGGCAGAAAGTATTGCTAGAGTAACACAATTAATGAGTTTTGTTTAAAGGAAGCTGTGTCATTTAAAATCTTACAATTTCAAAGTGAACATTAATGAAAACGTAAAGGACTTTTGAAATACAGACCAAGCATTTGTGAGTGTTTTCCGAAACTGTCACTGTTACCGGTAAGCTATAATTTTAATTGTGGTGTGGTATTGTCTTGTGCAACATTTTTTCAGTCTTTTAACAAAACAACACTTAGAAGCCAAGCCCTTAAAGTGCGAGAAGGTCTAACCTGTTTCAAAAATTCTTCCAATGCCATCTCTCCCTGGGCAACAAGAATGACATCTTTGACAATCATCTCATTCTTCTGAAGATCAACATCCCAAACTTGTCCCAGATTCAGGTCACTGAGCACCCAGTTAACATGGAGCTTCCTCATAAGCGTCTTCCAATGTCGCTCCTTCAGTGCTTCTGATTTGAGTTCAACAATCATAACGTTGACCTAACAGGAGGAAAAGACATGCATTAAGCATCTTACTTACTGGCAATATCCACACCCAATCTCCCTGAAACCTAAAGAGGAAACACAGGGTTCCCAATCTTCAGATACTAAAAAACTCTCCGTGGTACTTGTGACATGGGGCTGGCAGTAGTCAGCTGTAAGACTTGACCAATAAATACACCATCTATAGTTAAGGTGTCAGGAACAAGAACATCAACATTGCAAAAATATTGGTTTAAAGATCAAAACAAAATATTTCCATGTGCATCACACTTAATTCGGTACATTGCTTTTATGTCCACTGCACAAATACCACATCAAACTTTTTAGAGATATTTTAACAGACATCGTCCTGGATATGCTTAAGGTGCCTGTTGATTGACTGAGTGTCTGATTGATTGATTGATTCTTTTCTTTAATCATTCAAGCATTTACTGATACCTCTTACACCACTCTATCATGGACAGTTCTCCTTGCTTCCAAAGACACAAAACTAAAAAAACATTCCCTACCTACATCATCTCTGTTTACTGGTTCTATCCCATCTATTCTAGAAGTTGGAAAGGACATGGTGTTGTATACCTTAAGATAGGTCTTGATAGTTTTCTGAACATATTCAAAGGAGGAATACTGCTTCAGCCGAGCCGGGAGGTTCTTCATGTCATTCAACAGTGCATCAAGTGCCTGACGAAGCTGCAAAGATACATGCATGGTTACATGAAGTGTAACATTGATAGCCCTTAAGGTCGGACATCGGATATTTTAGCAAAATAACATTCTGATCATCCCTGTCTCTTCCTTGCCAACAGCAACAGCAGGATTTAGAAAGGGAAGTATATATATGTTCACGAAATTGTCGCACAACCATGTTGCAATTTAAGGTCACTAAAAGACAACTTTAAAGAAGTTAAACTTGGAGTACAGCAACAGTTCCTGCTCACGTTGCTCTAAAAGGAGACTGCAGCTTAGTATACTATGCTCACAAAAGCAGTTGCACTACTTACATCACACCAGTTAATGGTTGATCTGGAAGATAATCACTACATGCCAAATTCTCGCAAGGCATTGATAATAAGTTACAGTATTTAGGACATAAGGAATAAGAGATAAGAGGAATGTTCAACTACCTTTCTCGGTTGAACAGACAGCCATGGTTTGTCCTTCAACTCATCCACTTTCTCCCAAATTTTTGCCAGCTCTGACCAAACACCCTTCAAGTCCTGTAATTCTTCCAATCCAATCTGGACACGTTCATCACTGGCCACTAATGTACCTATAACCAATTTGCACAAACTCATAAGCTCGTAAATAATTTTAAAAGTTATCAAAAGTAATTTGCTAAACTAGTAATAATCATTGATTATGGATCAGCGTTCGTCTTATTCATACTGTTGGAGAGAGAATGTCTTATTCTGCGACCATGATATCTGCATGAAAATGAGACCCTTAGGTAACAATTTTTTTACTCTCTGTTCAGTGTTAACACCTTTAAATTGCATTTAGATGGATCTAGACAGCCAGAGTGGTACTTAACATGGCAGCTCGTCCTTTAGCACTTCACAAAGGGGACAGGATGAATGTCGCTTTTACAAAGAGTTAACAAACCTGGCTCCATCAACTCAAGAGCTTCCTTGGCTCTGGCAACATTGTCCCTGTCTTCTTTCAGTCTTGAGAATTTGCCCTCATAAATTGCCAAGTTGTTGAGTGCAACATCTGGCCTGACATTGCCCTGTACTGGTTTGCCTTTCTCCCATTCAAAGAGCAGCTCTGACGTGCGTGTCTCCACAGCTTGGTCCTCAGAGATGATCTTCATCTGCAGGGTGGCAACCTAGGAAGTAAAAGATCAAGGTTAAGATCTTCTCAAAAAAATCAGTACAAACTAACAAACGAAATAATTTGAACTTTTAATCGTCCAGAGGCATTAAGTATCTGGCAACCATGGTGACCCAGGTACCAGATAAACTGATACCCCTGTGGCCCCTGTGGCCCCTGTGTTCCCTGTGCCCCATGTGTCCCCTGTATCCCCTGTGGGACTTTATGGCCCCTGTGGCCCCTGTGTCCCCCATGGCCCCTTCTTCCCTTGTCGCCTCTGTGTACCCTGTGGCCTCTGTTCCCCTGTGTCCCCTGTATCCCCTGTGGCCCCTGTGTCCCCTGTGTCCCCCATGGCCCCTGTTTCCCCTGTGGCCTCTGTATCCCCTGTATTCCCTGTATCCCTGTTCCCCCTGTGGTAATCTAAGGGAGACCAATGTTAAGCAAGGCAATACTTCTATTAACTAGGTTGCTATGAGTCACAAAAATGCCATGCCTGTCTGTGTTCCAAGCAATGCCAAAAGAAAATATACTTCTTAAAACAAAACAGATGAGCTTAGCTGTTTGACCTTGCTTATTAAGCTTATTAACAGTCTACAGGTAAGTCACTAAGTCACTGTTGAGATTTCCTGACAAAGGATTTGATTGAAATTTCAACCTCTGGACCAATGTTGGTTAAAATACTTCTTTTGTTTCTTAAAAATACTGTATACTTGCTACTGGTTGTAAAGCCACTGAAGTGTACCTGTGTCTGAATGCTGGAGTCTTTCCTCTTGAGAATGTCATTAAAAGCACCCCATTCTCCTTCAATATTGTCCACATACAGCCATGATGGAGGAAAGGCGAATCTCTGCCTCTCCAAGATACGCTGACCTTCCTTGTACATCTGCAATTAATTTGGAAACAATTTTTTTACATAAAAATAAAAAACAAATATCTTTTTACACAGCAAGTATCATGGATGTTTACCCAATAGAATTATCAAGAGAATAAGGAATATAATCATCATCATTAATTTTCTCTCCTCATCAGAAGGCCCATAACACAGTGGCTCCAAATTCTTCCAGATAAAAAACCACTTTGCTGTGGTTGGGGAACTTGAGTATCTCAGTGAAAAAATATGCTGCCAGGAGCATTGTCGCCTAGTAGCCAATGACCAGTCACTGTAACACGCCTACCATGTCACTTAGCTAATGACCCCACCCTTAAAAAAATCTACATGCCACAGGAACAGTATTCTATTCTTCCAGTACCGTTAAGTATGGTAGCAGGCTAGTAAAAAGGCTTTAGGTTTGACAGTAGGGCCGGTGGGTCGTAATGTGGGGAAATTGACTGGTTAACTTTCTTTGAGACTATCAATTAATAACAACAAAGCCTATCAGACAAAAGTTACATTGAGCATTGACTAGGCAGTTCCCATGTTCAACAAGGGTTGAATTAATCACAGGTATATGGGTGCGTTATTTACCAAGCATGAGGTGAAGATGGCTGGTTATTGGCCATGATCTTTTTTGTGTTTTCATCTCGGTCAATAAAAATGCAAAAAAAAACAAGGCCAACATCCAGTTATCTTGACCGAAAAAAAACTTGCTCAGTGAAGAATTTATTTTTTCTTGCAGAACCAATGTGGGGTATCCCTAGAAGGCAAGATGGGCCTGCTGAAATAGCCAATGAGAACACAGGATTCGGTTTATCTTACCTGCTAGCAGATTCAGCCATAAAATATAGGGAAATATTACACACCTCAACACTCTTTTCCCAGTTTTTGATTTTTCTCTTCAGAGACTGCACAACAGTGATGAAACCAACAGCATCTGATGTAGAGGCTCCTTCAATTGTCTGCTGTTCCATATCTGTGCGGGCCTGGGAGGGCATCAAAACATCATATAAATACTCATTATCATATTTTAATAAGTCTGAGAAGGATATTGTCCACTTGAAGTGAGGAAAAAAGACAAATCCTATGCATATCTTCACATTTAGAGTGAACAATAACAAAATTCACATGACCAAAAAAAACACAAAGGAAATAGCTAACAGAGGGGTGGTTTGGAAATTTGTTCAGGTAGTTGTGATAACATTTCACAAACTAAGTCACCATATATAAAACAAAGAGTGGTTCATCCAATATCAAGAACTGGAAGGCTGGTTTTGGGGGGATATTTTCATGTTACTGCTTAACCCTTAGTTATCGTTAATTTTGTAGTTTCACATTTAGACATATGCACTTTTACCCCACTAGAGGATCAAACAAGGCTGTTCGTTAATTGTTACTGTAGTCTCTAGTTCGTTATCAATATCACAAGAAATGTGCACTCTTTTTGGATATCGTAAAGCATACTTCTGGGTGGGATTTCAGCTGGAACAGAAAAACCCATTACAATCTTCAAAATGAAGTAGACCCCACCAAAACTGAAGTAATGATTAATTTATCACCTTGGAGACTGTGCCATAGAAGTCTTGCATGTTATCGCCAAGGCGGGACGCAAACTTGCTAAGGATTTCTTTGTGCCATGTGTCATATTTCATGTTCACTTTGGATTGAACCTAATAATACCAAACAGATGTAGACATTACCGATTTTCTATTGAAGTTTAACACCACTGATGATAACAGTAAGATGTGCTGAGCAGAAAAAGGATTTCTTTACATTTTCACCTATGGGAGGTTCTAGCTTCTAGCTTCTTTTCAGAAAATTATTGCAAAACTACAATGCAATTCATGGGTTCCATCAGCACATTCTAATGATCTGAAGTGTCCTACCGTATTTAGAGTAATTTATCATTGTGTGGTTCCAAAAATTTTCCATACCTCCCCCACAGAAGGGATTTTTCCTTAGACCCCCCACCTGTCTACCAAATGTCTGGAAATTCCAGTCAAGTTTCACCCATTAAATTAAATTTCTAGTCCTTTGAGAACCCCTACCCCCCCCCCCACCCCCAAGGAATTTCCAATCCCTTCTGTGGGGGGGGGGGGAGTATGGATATTTTCTGGAACTGCACATTCTGTTTTAGTTTTTAAGACCCCGAGAACAGATCCATTGAACATCCACTGCCAGCAACCCCACCCCCCTCAAATCCCCCCCTCCCCGGTTTAATGAATAAATAGATAATTATCAGACAATGTAAACTGAAAAAAGAAGAAGAAGAAGAATAGAAGCTCTAAGGACGAACCTGGTGGTAGTCTATAACTATAGGGCCAAAGACCTTCTGTGTCGCCGACGTGTCAAAAGTCACCCGGGCTCGTCTGTGGAAAAGCAGATATGAAGATAAGCATTACCGTGATTTATCACTATCATTTTTATTATCATTACCATTATTATTTAATTATTGTTGTCATCGTCCACATCATAAAATTTCCACTACCGTTAATAATTATCATTTCTGCATGTGATATTAAATTATCATTCAGTCATTTTACCAAAAAATCATCAGTTTAACAGGACTTTTAGCACACTTAGTGAAAAATACTTCTACACATCTTTCCAAAATCAAATTTTGGAGATTTCTACAAAACAAATGGAGGTACAGAGACAAGGCTATATTTTGGCAGTTTTGTTCAAAAGTAGTCATCTGTAATAAACAGACCCCTAAATCGTGACACTTATTTTAGAAAATATACAACTGCTTTTAAAAATGCAATACTAAAGCATAAAGAATGCATAGGGACCAAAGAAGTTTTCTTACTTGATGTCCTTAAGAAGCACCATCCATTTCTCCATGTTTTCTCCCAGCCTGTTGTAGATCATACTCATATCCATGTCCCAAAGAGACTGATACTGCAGCCACACCTGAACATACTCCTCCATTTTAGCTACTTTCTCTTCAATTGCAGCGTAAGCAGCCTGGAGGTAAACTGGACCCTCTGGAAGTCTTGCCAGAAGATTACGGTAGGTGGTATCAGCGTCAGAGTCCTCACGCTCTAAACCAACCTACAATGCATTACAGCTTGTGATCAGCAACAAATTTCTCCTTGTACTATCAATGCTTGGTAAAACAGAGTGGTCCTGAGAATTACGGACATGATCACACAACATGAATTTGCTTGATATTTTAACAACTTCTCCCCACTAATTCTGTAGGAAATAGATAGGGACCACAGCGAGAATTCGAATTTTGATCTTAGAGTTTAGAAGGTTAAAACGAAGGTTTTTTCAGTCAACCAAAGTAATGAGGCAGCAGCCTAAGGCCCCTGGATACTGTTAGAGGCAGCTATGGCGATAAGATCAACCTTCAAATGTTTGAAATAACACTGTCAATACTCGTAGTTTTTAATAACTGCAAATTGACAATCAACTTTTATGAATCATTTATTTCAAAAAAGTTCTTTATCTGGTCATACCTTTCTTTTTTTTCCTTCACTAATGCCAATAAAAGTGTTCAACTTCATTTCAATCGGAAGTTCTGGATGAAATTTTCCATTAGAAACATACATGACAAGACAAATGTCTAATCATCCATGTTCAGGGCTGTCATTTAGAGCTGGGAGCCAGGGATTTCCCCTAGCTACTATGAATGTGGCCTCCAGCTACTTTCATTGGAAAATAGAAGAAAAATAGAACCAAAAGAAATCCCTAGCTTTTTCGTTCCCCACCTACTTGTTATATTAATGCGGTAACTTAAAATCTTAGTGCCAACCCCGATGTTTGACCAAACAAACATGTAAAATTGTCGGTGACCTGCCACTTTCAAGCCCTAATTATAGTCAAGAACCAACAGCATTGCTGGTATGATTAACCCTTTAAGCCCTAAGAGTGATCAGCATCAAATTTCTCCTTGTAATATCAATGCCTTGTTAAACAGAGTGGTCATGAGAATTACGGACATGATCACGCAAGATGAATTTGCTTGATATTTTATCAACTTCTCCCCACTACTTCTGTAGGAAATGAATGGGGACAACAAATGAGAATTCAAATTTTGATCTTAGGGTTTGAAGGGTTAGCACACAGCTTTGAAATAACTACATGTAGCTCTCTCCTTAACTCCCACCTGGTATCGGGAACTCTGGATGCGGGGCAGCAGGGTGATGTTACCAACCCACACATGCAGCTCTTTGATCAAGTGTTCTCGCACTTTCTCCACTGGAGGCTGTATGAAGAGCACTTGGTTCTGGATCAAGATCTCATGTTTTAGGACCTAAGTGAAATGAATTAAAACAAAACAAAACTGTAGATCAGTGAGGTTCGATCAGGCTGAGGGAAAATATAATACAGAGTGAGTTAGCGAACATGAGTTCTGGCAAGTTACTGTAAACAAGGATTTTTAAATGGGATAAAACATAGCTGAGTTTTTGTGCTGATTTTTTTTATCAGAAATAATTAAAAAAACCCAAGTAAATGTATAAAGGAAGAAGTAACATTCAATACAGTCACGTTTTAAATAAAATACTCCCATTCATTAATATTATAAATATTACTACATGTATACTTTATTATACACTTAAGGGCTTGTTTATAGTGGAAAGTGCACTAAGCTTATCCAGCTAGTTTACAGGCAGTCCACTCAAATACTTAGAAACAAATAAATTATTCAAAAACAACATCACAGAATTACAAACCCCAACTGATTGGCGGTAACCAGTTGGTTATATACAAGCGTGGCCAAGTATTTAAAATTGGGACAACCGAGAACAAATCCAGCAAGCGGCCAGAGCGGGATTCAAACCCAGGACCACTGGATTCTGAGTCCGACAGGCTGAGAACTTGGCCACGCTGCCTTCAGAGAAAAGTTGTGTACGGTGTAGTTTCATAATAAAGTAAGTCTTATAACAACCTGAATGTCAGGGTCTCCTCCTGGCTTGTGTGCCATCATGGAGGTGTCAGAATCATCCATGGTCATGTGCCGAGATGTCCTGCTTCCCTTCAGGCATTCAGTCCAGCTCTTCAGACCAGCTTCAAGACGACCAGACAAAAACTTTTCAACCTGCAAACACACAGTTACATTACATATAAACGTCTACAGCTGAAAAACTTTTTACTAAACAGATGTTTATTACACTGTATCCCTTTCACTCTAATAGGTAGTACAAGATCAACTATACCAATAAGGTAATAGTGATTCTAAAAACCTTTTAGCAAAAATGATCTTAAGATGTTACCACCCAAAAGAGAGCTATCGAACACCAGTGGACATATCGAGTGTGACCAAACCTCTAACCTTCTGAGGCCAGAGTCAATGGAGACAATAAACTGAAAAACTTATCTCCAACTTGTAGGTTTGGATAAAAAATTAATCATCTGGGGCCGGTTGCTCGAAGCCTGGTTAGCGCTAACCATTGGTTAAGAGGTATCAAAATGTATAGGTTTCCATGGTATTTAACACTGGTTAGCACTAACCATGCTTCGAGCAACCCGGGCCTGGTGTGACCATCTAAACAAAACCACTTTTGAGCCTCCTCATGGCTCTTCTTATTTTTTGATGTTTTAAAAGGCAAGTTAATATCTTTTCTCTGGAACTTTGACTTTTCTCAAGAATTACTGGTCTCATTTTACCTGCAGATCTAGAGTAGCAACCCACTGGGGAAGATTGGAGTATGAATGAAGGTTCAACTCGTCCACAGCTTTCTGAACTTTGCCTAAAACATCTCTGAATGTTTGACTGTTGTAGGAACAAGTTTCCAAGGAACGCACTTCAATGTCAATCTTCTCTACACTGCTCAGCAGGTCATCAACCTACAATATATAACCACTGTAGTATAAATAAACTTGTTCACAGGCAAAGGGAGAGGAAGAATATAGGTAGGTGACAGCAGTGAGCAACACAGCGAAAGGCAAGCAAAGTAAGCAAGCCAAAGTGAGGAGGTAGCCATGGCAACCTTGCCGTAAGTGAAGACTCCCATAATTTATTAACAGCAACTGTCACACTGAGGTTGCTGACCGAAGAAGTCGAGATTTACCTGAAAAGAAGTTATGATCCCAACTCCAATTCATGAAGTGGGAGGAAAAAAACAGCAGCAAAACATCATTGCAACCACAATTAAACAATTAGTAAAATGGCAAAACAAGCTGGGCATATTTGGAATGGAGCTGTTACAGGTCAAAATTATTTTCAGGTAAACATTTTTCAACCAAGGTTGATTTTCAATTTCCTTTCCTATCCAGAAGGTGAAAGTTGACTGTACTTGCCTCCAACTCTAACTATGAATAAGACGCATGACATAGGATGCTTCACCCCACAGCATAGTTCGCACAATGCCATTTTATTTGCTTAGACCAGTACACATCTATCATTTGGTAAAAACAGATCTTGTACCTTTTCTTGGAAGTTAAAAACAGCTTCAGCCAGCTTCTGCACATAAGGATCCAACTTGTATGACTCCCACACAAGGGCCATACCCTAACAACATTAAAGGCGGAGAAATATGAGTTATGATTCAGCTGATACCCATATCATTATTACTTGGAAGTGTAATTTGCATTAGGGGCGCTATTATTTTTCAACACTCATCGATCTTAGCATACACTGTAATTATCACAATATTTTACTCACCTCCATGATCAATCCTTGAACTTCTTTCCGCAGACCAGCGACAAGAGGTGAGATTGAGTTCTTCTCCTCCACCTGTTGAGAAATTTAGAATAGAAAAGTTCATAGTATCTTAGAGAAGAAAATATTTTCACTTTGCACATTATTTTAAGGCTGCGACACAACATCTAAAGAAAGAAAGATCAAAACTTCTCAAGGTACCATGAGCAAGAAATGTTAAAAAAAATACTTTATAGAATTCAAAATACAAGTGTACTGTATGCAACATTACACAGTTAACAAGAAGAAAATAGAGAAACAAACAGATTTGCTCAAGGGCAATGCAAAAATGCAGATACTCCACAAATCATATTCCATTATTACACGGATAATAGATTAACTTAGTTTGAGATTAATTACACAATTACATGATTCACCACAAAATTATTGAAACTATTGAAAAGATTCTTATTATAAAGACAAGCAGTAAGTATTACCTTTTCACAGGTCCTCTCATAAGTACGAACACTTTCAATAAGTGAGATGGCAAAAGGGTAGAGTTGATTGGCCTGATGGGCTTTGTTCACTATGGCAAGAGGAACTCGAAATCCCAGCCACTTCAAGTTACGAACCTGACAATTAAACGCTAATTAGCATTCTGTATAACTAAAGTTAAGTAGCTTACCTTAACCCTTAAAGCCTGAATATCCACACACATTTGCAAATTCTCGACACTGATCTTAATACATTTGCTTAAAGAATTAGTTGACAGAATTTGTTAAAAGTTCACAAAATCAGAGTGTTCATTAGGCATCAGAGATCGAAGAATTCTTCGTTTACTACACTGAATTCTCCAGCTAATGTTTGGTAGACTAGGACTGTTTTTTATTCAGACATGGAGATGTTTTCAAAATATTCTCTGGTAATGTACATCATTCTCCTGCTACTAGATTTCTTAGTGAAAACCCTTAAAAATTTTTCCTTTCACAATGATTTTAATAATTCTCTAAACCTTTTCTCTTGATTATGTGTTAAAACTATTAGGAGAAAACTGATGCTCTAGAGTCACTTCTAATAATCAACAGCAAAATTAACAGTTTGTACCTCCTTGGAAAGTGTGATAATTTCTGGCAAGAAGTTTACTTTCAGCTTCAAAACATTTCCTCTGCCACCACCTCTGGCTCTGGTGCTTTCAATAGTGAAAATGCGACCTGAGACTCCCAGGTTACGTTGCTGAACCTACAATGAAAACGAAATTTAAACATATAGTTGACTCTCTGTAAAACGTTCACCTCTGGGACCTGCACTGTGTCCGTCCTAGAGAGATGTCTACTGAGAGCAAGATGACTATAATACCAATGAGAACTAAGCTGTGCGTTATGTGATGAAAAGGAAGTTATCAATATATTGAAAACTGAATGAAGAATGTCAAGCTGCAATGGTAAAGGGGAAGATATCAACATGCATCAGAGAATTTAACGGGTTTTCCTGTGACTACAGTGGAACACCGCCTTATGGCCACCTAGTTAATATGGCCAGCTCGTTATTACGGCAACTTTTTCAGTGGCCTTGCAAAAACCGCCAGACATTTTCTTGTAAAAAAAACCCTCTTTAATACGGCCATTTTTTCCAGGGGTTCTAATGTAATTACAGGTGAATTACCAACCTTTCTTGACCAATCATCAAACAGTTCCTGTGTGTTCAGTTTCTGCCTAAAACTGTCACCATCAGCCTTCAGCCTTTGTCCCTCAACATGGTTTTCCCATCCTTTACCCAGGACGTCCTCCACACGCCGCATGTAAGCAGATAACTGACGGTCAATCTAAAATAAAAGGAAATAAATCATTGTATTAGTATATGAACTCAGGTTTCTACCTTCCCAGAGATCCAGCAATGTTCCATTTGCAATGCAAATTCTGACAAAATAATTATAACCCTCACTTTTGCCCTGGCCTTGGAGGAACTATAGACATCGTACAGTTTATAAGTGAGACTACAATATATCCATGTAGTACTTACTTGTCGCGCCCAGATGATGGAACCAGAAACAGGAGGCAGATCTCTCACTTTACTCATCTTGCAAGCTTTGCTGTAAGGATACTGGACCTACAAATATAGTAAAAATGAGTCAAAATCACCTGAACTATAAAAAGTAAATATGCTAAGACTAAGACTTCTTAGAAGACCAAGAACCAATAAAATTTTGTTTACTTTGTCAAAAAGTCCCGGAAAAATTACAGACAAATTAGAAAAATCAAAGCAAGCCTCTAGAGAAATTTAAATAATGTCAGTCTTAGTACAAAATATTTGTTCTGTATGATTTGATTTACAAGGCATATTCTTTTCAGAACAATAATTCAAAATTAGACACAAAGATTATCCTACAAACACTGACTTTATTAACATTTTTTAATTTTTTTTCTTCAATCCATGACAAGGTCTATTCTGAATAAGTTATCACTGGGGAGTTCCTTTACCTTAAACTTGTCATGGAGGGCCTCAATGTCATCTTTTACTCTCTGGATAAGCTGAGTTTGGTACTCTCGGATAGCACCTCTGATGTGAGGACGCACAAACAGAGCATTGAACCTGGAGAAGATCCTGAACATCTCATTAGCATTCTTTGCTGTTCCAAGCTGATCTCGCAAACGAGCTGTGATCCGTGTTTCCACTCTGTCAATGCGCTCATCATACCTGACCAACAAGGGCAAAATATGTGTCTCAAAAAACAATGCCATGGAGTGGTCAACACTAAAACCCAGACCTTTAAATCTAATACACTAAATATCTGCCCAGTCATTTTCACCCTACTTCATGACACAGAAACTGCTTTAAGCCGATACACTTCCAGAAAGATGACAAGGTATACTGTACAAGGTGAATATCAATTCATTTTAAACACAAAGTTCACCAACCTTTTAATGGCAGCTTCCCAAGCCTCTGAACCTTCTTTTGACACATCAAGTCCATCAACCTCCTTGACATTCTCATACGCAAGGTTTACTTCCTGAATTGCATTAGCATCAGCTGGATCCAGCAAAGCTTCTGGCTTAGCCTCTTCATCCTCAACATTTTTAGGGGGACCACCCGGACTGGAGGGAGTTGCTTGACTGACAGCAGGAGGCTGAAGAACACGAACAATCACAGCACGCAGTTGCTCATGCTGGCGGCGGAACCTAAATATCAGTGAATCAAGCAAAATCTTAGCTTCTTGTAGCAGATTTATAACATTTCTTTTGCATTTTATTTATAAATTAACTCTCTAACTCCTAGGCCAAGTCATATTGCAGGATAATGTCAGTTGACAGTCTTACTTTTAATTCTGCAGGCTGCAAGCAGTCTCTTATTTTTCTTTGCAAAGTTAGCCCATGAGTAACCGATGCACGCAAGCAGCCAAGACACAAGTCACTATAAACAAGGGCGTAAGCCGAGAAGGAAAAATAAGAGGCCCGTCTTTTCTCGTCTCATTCTAAAAATCCCTTATTGTGATGTTTTTATTTGCAATTACACTGGTTGGGATAAGAACTGGACAGATTTTAAGAGAAAAGGCACCCTATAAGCAGTCTATTAATTCTGTGGATGGAATCCTATGATGTCACCAAACAAGTGAACATGCACTTTGACAGAACTTTTACATGGTGCTGTATAATTTTGTTCGATTTTGAAAACTAAAACTTTGAATTTTCTGAGAACTTTTCACAGTGGCCTACTAGTGAAATGATGAATGCAGTCTTACTTCCGCATTTGATCAAGTCTTCCTTGAAGTCTCTTGTGGGCAGGGTTTACCCTCCAAACCATCTTCAGACTCTCCTCTCTCTTCTTCTTCACTATGTCCCTCAACAACGTTTGCAGTTTTTCATACTCATCATCCCATGTAGTGAACACTTCAAAGCAAGCCACCATGATCTACGCATTAAAAATTAAAGAAATACTTAGAATAAGTTAGCTTTTAACCCTTTAAGTCCTGAGAGTGACCAAAATCCATTTTCTCCAAACGATATCCATACATTGTCAAGAGATTAGGTCATGAGGAGTAATAAAATGATCACCAAAGAGAAAATGTCCTGATCATTTATCAAATTCTCTCAACACATTCTTAAGGAAACATTTGGAGATCAGTTTGGAGAATTTGTATGTGGATATTGGGGCTTAAAGGGTTAACAATGATGGTGCTGATCACAATGATGGCTATAACACAGTCAAGCCTCTTTCATGACAGACACCACTATAAACTACGATACATTTCCCATTAAATTCCATTCAGCCACATTAATAAACAGAGATACAGAGCAAAAAAGGAAAAATAGTAACATGAATAAAGACCTTTTCAAAGTCATCATGATTGATGTGCATCAGTCGCCTTGTTCCCAAAACCTGTGGGAGAGAAGAAGTATCTAAGGTTAACAAACTGTTTAAAAACCAAGACTGCACAACTAAAATTTGGAGAGATCCAAAGAATTCTTATTATATGCAACATTATTTACCCAGGGCTGTCATTAAGAGGCGTGGGCCGGGGATTTCCCCCCGGCAACTATGAACATGGCCCCCCGGCTATTTCAAAGGAAAATAAAAGAAAAATAGAACCAAAAGAAACCCGTAGATGTTTGATTCCCGCCTACTTGTTGTATTTACCCTTCAACTTGAAATCTTAGTGACAACTCTGTTTACCCCCCGTACCTTCTTTCTGAAACAAATTGTGTGATTCCAGAAAATATCCATACCCCCCAACGGATGGTCAATGGAAATTCCTAGGGGTTGGGGGGGGGCTAAAGGGTAGAAAATTCCGAGGGGTACAGGGGGTGCCCACGAGAATAATTTCCCACAGGGTTGTAAAAGACGCGATCGATCATACGAGACATACTTAAGTATATGTGGATTATCGGAAGAACCATCAGTGGGAGGGGTATGGATATTTTCTGGAATCACACATTGACCATATAGAAATTTACAACACATGACTTACTTTTAGGAGTTGTGAGCTCAAGTCACGTGATATTGCCTCCACAAGACGCAGAGCTCTCTGAATTGGATATTTCGTGCTTCGGATCTTCTTAAGATGACTGAAAATGGCACTCAGTGCAGCTCGGATTTTATCGAGCTCAGTTGCAGCAAGAAGGTCATCCAGTGGGAAGTCCTTCATAAGTGGGTTATAATCATTCACTGTTGCTAAAGCAGTTTTTAAACCTAAATTTTAAAAAAGTTGGGTCTCATGAGAAAACGCAATCTTGGTGAGTTTGAAGGGGAATCAATGTTCTATCATGTACAGAAAGATCTATTACCAGACAAAGCTGGCAGCTGGAAATGACAACTGGTTTCGAGAATGCTATGTCGTAAGTTGTGGGAAAATTCCATACATTACTGAATGAACACTTACGCGTATATGGCAACTAATGCTCACCCTATGATGACAATAATCTCTTAGAAGTTTCTATGCTATTCATAAAGATCTGTATCATCTGAATTTCTTAATTTGAAATAAGCTTTAAATAAGTTATCTCAATTGAAAGTTGTCCGTTATTTGGGCTAGTGGATGTTGCTAGGCTAGGATTTTGTTCTTAACCTGCCCAATGGGCAAGTTATTGCCAAGGATTGTAATCAATCCTGCTAATCAAAAAGGGTTTTAGGGCTAGTTGAAATGACTTGTGGGCTAGTACATGTTAGCTACAGCTTGCCTGAATGGCAGGCTGTAAAACTGACTTTCTTTGCACCCTGGTTATTTGGTACTAGGCAGGTGACCAGTTATTGCCAAGTTGTCACCGTTCACAGAGAAGCAGTCAAAATTCAATAGCTTGTGCAAAACTTCCAGGCTTACTACCCTATATGAACAAGAAAGTGCTAAACTCTCACACTTGCTTGCCTACAACAGAGCCTGGTGGCAGGCTAGTTAATGTCACATCAACAGTACCTGTGTCGGTGTCAAAACTGACAGTAGCATGGAATCTTTTTCCATGTTTTAAGATGTCAAGTGTCAGCGCAATGTCAGGACTCTCTCTGATGTCCTGGATCCTCAGCAGTGCTCGCTCAAGATTCAACCAGAAGCTGATTTCTTGAAGAGCAGTACCAGATGCTGGGTCACGATCAAGTTTGGTAACCTAAACAGAATATAAAATGTAGTTAAATGTTTCGCACATTAATCAAGATTCATGTGGAGACAGTAAAAGCTCTTATCTTTGACATGGACTTGACAGTGAACATTTGAATGAAAGCAACTCAGTTGAACTGTTCAGGAATAGAGCTCAAGGCAAGAGTAAAATCAATTAAAGTAGTTTCCACTGGCTGAGGAGTAAATGAAGCAGGAATTATTTCTCACACACCGCAGGGAGTATGGGTTCAAGTTTGCAGTGAGTCTTTAGGTCACCTAGTATTTCAGAGTTCAGTGTTTTGCTACCATCCACCATTGCCTGACCAGTCCCGCCCACCTACCCCCTGTCCCGCCTACCTACCTTTTTGTGTCTTCTGGGTTATTTAAGCATTGAAAGTAGTGCTGTAGTTCTGGTTACTATTATATCTAGTCTCAGTTTCTTACTATCAATGTATTAGGTCTTTTTTTCTGTAATTTTAGTGATTTATGGTGTTGTAACAAATTATTACAACACCAGAGAGAGAGAGACTGCATATCAGATCAGACTGCATAGTTGTGAGAAAAGAAAGTAACCAGTACTACTGTTATACTTTGGTTCATTAAAAAGGGAGAAACCCTGATGAGTAACACACACACCTTTTGAATTTCTCTAATCCATCTGTTCACTCCGTTCTGCAGCTGATTCAGGAATGTTGAATCCTCAACTTTGTCACCAAAATCTTGTACCTTGGGTCTCCGGCCTTCTTCGGCAGTTTTCTTAGCCATTGCTGTCACAATCGGATGGATGGCAAGAGAAATCTCTGGAATGTCAATGTTCTGCTGTAGATGTAGGAGGCCCATTTCAAGCTCAGCAATCTTCTTTTCCACAGATGGAACCATTTTATCTCCATCTCTAAAATAAAATTATCAACAAAAAATATGCAGGATCAAACGAGTTGGTAGTGCCGTCCAAACATGGTCAAACCTCTTATAATAAAATGTCAGAAAGAGTTGTACAAATTTAAGTTTAACTGTTTCTACACAAATGGCATTAATAATTGCCATACTACTGAGATTAGGTATGAGAAGACAAAAACTATCTTTACAAAATAGAATGATGATGTAACTTACAATGAAAGCAGCATGGGTGAGGAAGGTAAGAGTGAAGATAATTAGGAGAGCATTCACAATGATGAAACTGGTAGAGATGATGATGGTGATGAGGAGGAGGATAATGGTAACCATGGTAATCATAACAATGATTACAAAGTACCAAGATTACAACAGGTACAACAGCAGTGTAATTACAAAGAGGAAGGATAATCATATGTTACAGATAATTTATTACAAGGAGGGTAAGAATGACAAGGTTAAAATGAAGACAATAAGATAACTATCACTTGATTCAGAGGGACTGTTAGCATAATCACTAAGCTTTTCAACAAGCTCATTGATGAACTAAACACTGTCATCACAATCAAGCAAAAATGTCCATACAAGTCATTTCTAGTGCTCCTTATAACCTTGAACATGTTCTATGTGTGTTATGCATCAGTCAATTCCAGCTATGCACAACCACCCCCCTCCCATCCCGCGCTGACCCCCGGGCATTAGCATTTTTCTTGCCTTGGATGGCAAATTCCCGGCAGTGGGGACACTTTATTGAGCTGTCAAATCCCCCAGAGTAGGGACGAAAACAGAGGGCAAATGCCCCGCCCTCCATCAACACTGCAACATTTTTCATTGATCGCACAGTTGAATAGTGCCATTTTAAGCACTTTAATGTGCAATTTTTTGTTTCAATTTATGTCTTCCTTTGTCATAGCGTTAGGATTCTTATTAAGACTTTATGCCGCGACGACACCAGTTTATTGTGTTAGCACTGTTATAAAATTATTGACATTAAAATTAATAGAGCGCTATTAAGTTACATGTTATGTCGAATAGTTTTATAAATGTGAAAGGATGTTCTTCTTCAAATAATATCAACAGATATTTGATTCAGTTTAACTGAAAAATGTTGCTGAGTCACGTCGATAGCTCCCAATTTCGCAAAGTAACTCTGGCTTGATAGGCCATGAAGAAATGCATGCAAAAAATCGAGAACATGCCTTTACAACCCTCTTCAATTTTTTCCTGTCCTTGACTGAAGAGCCAATATGCTTGTTTTTCTAGCAAAATCCTCTTCATAGTTAAATTCTGATAGGAAACCACATGCGTGTCAAAAGTTTGGGAATAGCCCATGGTAGGCAGATGCCTGTTCCCCGGGCAGAGCAAAGTTTGCAAATGCCCCACCCCCAGGACTAACAAGTCAGGCAAATGCCCTACAGTAGCCCGGGGCGGGTGGGGGGGGGAGGGGTTAAGGGACCTGGGCGCAGCTGGAATTGACTGATGCATTATCCTAGCCACTTCTAAGTATTGCAATCCCCCTGAGTCCTGGTATATCGTATACCGTAATTAGCCCTACCATATAAACTTGAAATTTAATTTGCATATTGATAGCATCCAACACACCCAAGTCTAATATGACTTCTTAAATTCATGGAACTTGAAATCATAGAACTGTCTGAACAGCAGTTCGCAACTTCACCACATGCTATACAAAACTAACCATGAACGAAATGATAAAAAGACATGGATGAAGAAAAAATGAAATGTACCTGTCTGCTTTGCCAGATTTTCTCACGAACGACTTAAAATATGGCGCCACGGCATTGCTGATGTAGGAGTGAAGCGTCTCGTAAGGAGAACCTTCGTTTAGATTTATCACACGAACTTGTGAGGTGATCTTCTTGTCAGCATCAACAATCGCTCCTCGTTTGATAAACGCGACGCTTGAAAGCTTCGGCGCGGTGTAATGAACATCCAAATTGATGGAGTACATCGCCTTTTCTTGATCGTTCTCAGCGCCACTCTCTGTCGAAGACGTTTCATCGCTTTCTTCTTCATCTTTGAGTGGCGTTCGGGTAACGAGAAGGCTTCTCGTTTGGGCATCAGCAAGAAATTTCCTGATGTAGTCCACATGCAAGGGGTCTTTCAAAGTTGTGTCCAGCTCGAGCGGAACTTCTGGGTCGCCTTCCAGAAGAAGAGGTACAACTCGACGCAAATAATTTGTAAAATTCTTCACATCTACCACAGCAGCTTCAGGAGGAGTCGGAGAACTAGGTCCTCCGTCTGCTGCCGCCGACATGGCGGAAAAACAGCAAAGATAAAGCTTCTTTCGCTCTAAATTTCGACAGACACTTAATACAGCTGTAGATTCGCCGAGCCTTTATTTTTCATTCCACGTTGAAGAATCACGTGACTCGTGTACAGAACTAGCCTTGGGGGGTAGGCCACAGGATTTCTTCTATCAATCTCGTTTTTAGATTGAAAAGTAAATATTTTATTCATCCTTTTTTAACTTACAAAAATATTTCAATAAAACTTTCTGAAAGAACTACTAAATGTACATAAAAAATATCATAGATGCAGATAATTTCTCATTCATAGATAAAATTAAAAAATAAAAATAGACGGACTCGGAGAAATTTCAAGTCTCTTTTGAAGTGCAGGATATTCAATTATTTATTCAGCATCCAAGGCAGTCGCTATTACAGTAACTTTAAGCCAAGATTATTAGTCTTCGTATGCCCTGGATTCAATGCTCAGATAGCTTACATGTGAGAGCTCAGGGGTGGATCTAGGGGGAGGGTGAAGGGGGTGTGCACCTCCCCCCCTGAGATGACCTGCAGTTTTCTAATACAACTGGTATTCTGGCGTTGAAATAGAGCAAGAGACGAGTGCACCCCCTCCTAAAAAAAATCCTGGATCCGCCCCTGGAGCTACTGTGAGACAAAGGTAGGACTTTGGATGATTTTTTCCATTCTTTGCCAGTTCCTCCTTGTGATGCTTATGCTCATCTTGGTGTCTGAACTTAGGGATCACGGTTAACAATGGGCTCATTACTTCTGATCACAAACTAGAAATTCATCTGGGGTAGTACACTGTCCACCTGGAGGAACATGGGAATATGAACCCCAATAACTTATTTGCACACTGCACTCAACCCCATAACCCCTGCAACAAGCACCAGCATCCCTAGGTGGAGATTTTGGGTACTCCCATTTATGGGCTATATGTTAGGTATGTATGTTTGAGTATGGTATAGGCTAAGAGCATTCCTCAAGTACCCCCACCCCCTGGTTCCCACTTGTATTGGTATTTAATCAAGGAAAATCCCATTGACAGAGCAGAAGTGAGCTTGAAAAGATAGCCAATGTGGGGAAGGAATGTGTAACAAAGCCTTAAGAATGTCTGCATTGGAGGCTTAAAAATACAAGCCTGCATAGCAATTGTTTCCAATCAAGTTACTGTGCAAAAGTTTGAGAGAGCATTCCTCCTTTTTGCTCTCATCCCAACTCTCTTGACAAACTCGCATAGAAAGACTTGCAACAGGACACAGGCTAACAAAAAAGCTGCTACACAGACAGTCATGAGGTAGAAAAGGATTTTATTCATTGGCTTATTAAGCTCAAATGTGATCTGTATTATTATTGGTATTTACAAACAAGATGATTAATGGCCTTTTTTTGGGACAACTCTTGTTTTCAGCATTACACCAGAAATTTGTGACAGTCGGAACACTGCATGTGGTATATGCTTATAGAAAGTTGCAAGGGAACATAAACCTATAGAAAGCTTCCAAGAATTCCCAGCAATGCGGGAGGTCTTCTTTTTACATCTATATACATGTATGCAAAGTAATCTTGTCATGATTCTGCAGTTTCACATTTCTTGGTAAGGTTGCCAACCATTTTCTGCCCTTCATCGTTCTTCATTATAAGTGGACTTGAGGCAAACCATAAAGAGCCGTCTCTCTTTAAAGAGTTCTGTAAGAATAGACCATTTCCGAGCTGCTCCAAGCCTCAGTTACAATGCGAAGATAAGTGAGAAGCTATTAACATGAAAACAATTTCTATTCTCATGCAAATAAATCTCATTTTCACAAGAAAGATTTTGCACTTTGCTTCATTTTGAAACTGAAAGTTAATGAACTCAGAAATGGCCTATAGTATGATGCACTACTGGTTCGCACTTTCACAAGCATCTATCCAGTCACTGTAAACATCAACAGGTTCTGAAAGATCTGCAACTAGTTAAGGAAAGTTCAAGCAAAATCAAGCAGTTTTTAAGTGGCACATAATTATGTCAGAAAGGTGCCACATGTTAACTAGAAACTTCTGATCTGATCCTGGTATATCTTAGAAGTCTCAAACTTTTACTTTAAACCAGGCTCAGAGTCTTGAATATGTTGCTTCAATGTCTCATATTTTCAGAGAAGGGTCGCACTACCAGTGATCGTTGCTAATTTAACGCTTTTTCATTCATCACCTCTGATTTTGCAAACACCTTTTAAGTGCTGTCTAAATAAACTCCATCATCATACATTTCCACAATGGGCTACATTTCATTCAATAGCCTGTGAAAACATCCATTTCTTCTCGCTCCTCACCACTGGGGAAGTTTCGTGAGGAGAAAGGTCTACGATTCAGCAACAGAAATTCCATACTGATGATGTAAAATCTGCCCAAAATCCATTCATAAGCACTGATTGGACGATGGAGTAGTTACATTGTTCTAGCTATTATTTACGAATGACAGACAAAAGACAAAAGGCCACAAAGGTCAAATGTTAATGCGATGAATCTATAACAAAACAGTCAACCTTTGTGGAATATATTCTTCTCTGGAAGAAGCATTTGAGTTTTGCTGGAGATCTTTCAATTCAATAAAACTTTTACAAGTGTAGTTTTTAAGTGCAGCTGTTGTTGTAGAGTCTGAAAACAATAGCTACACTTGTAAATTACAGGTGTAAAAGTTTTAGTAAACTGACCCCGGGTTTGATCCTTGGGACTGCACCAGTATACATGCATTATTGACCAAGCCTGAGGGCAAGATAACTGGATTTAGTAAAATCCAACTAGTGGTCTATTATCAATGCTGCATTCTGATTGGTTGAGCTACTACTAGGCTATATGTTATAGCCCACTAGTAGTGAAAAGCGTGGGTTTTTTGACGTTTCTCCCAACTAATTCTGTAAGGAAATGTATAGAGATCAGTTTGGAGAATTTGTTTGTGGATATTGGGGCTTAAAGGGTTAAAATCTAGCTTTAACTAGCTAAAATTTTTTATTCTCAATATTTTTGACCAACTGGTTGGATTTTACTAAAACAATTATTCCTCTCGCCCTCATGGCCTCTGAGTCAATAGCCCATTCGGGCTCGAGGAATAATAATGTTAAATATTGGTTAAGTTCTTTTTTTGGCATTTTTATGGGCCGAGATGAAGTCAAGTTCAACATACAGCTGTAATCACAAAAAAGAATAAGGCCAAACAAGTTAAAGCTGTTGCTTTGCTAATATAAACCTATTGTTTTTTTTTTTTGCCGTTCTTGTTGCTGTTGCCATCGTCGTTGCTTAAGCTCCCTAACACCAGAGGAGTGGAGGCACTGTTTATGTCCTGCAAACAGCTGGACCTTACAGTTACTCAGATAACCATGCACAAAATCAAAAATACAATGTACCATCCCATCTTCAGGGGAAGATATAACAACAGTGTCCTCAATTAGCCGTTTCGTACTAATTTCTTCTTCTTCTTTGTTTTCAAAGGATACAGGTAATGGACGTCTGATAATCTTCCAAACAAACTCGACATGATATGTGCCCTGTATTTCTAACCCGATCCCTGAAAATACAACATCAAAACAGTCAGATGTTAATCTTTAAGGGTAAGCTAACACTGTGTTCTTAGTGGTTAAATAAGGTAAAATAGAGGATGCATGAAAAAACAATAATTACAATCAATTCCACAATTACTTTCGGTGCAGCTAAAAATAAAATTCAACTCCTTTGACAAGCGATAAATTTCAGTTCTTCGAGAACATCGCAGCACAATATAAAGAAGCACAATATTGAACGGTTTTAGTTAAATTTCAAGAAATATTTAAGCACGTACGCCGTGCGTGCGTTTGTTTAGACTGCACAAGACCAGAGGACTTACATTCTAACTTCACAAGACTTCTCGTGGTTGCAAAAAGGACAGTTGAATTGTCTATCCAGGGGATCTGCCCTTCTTTTAGGTGCTGGCTTTCTTTTAGATCTTCTTCTTCCCATTTTAAACACGTGCGAAGCTTCACTAGCTGCAACGAATTTTAGTTCCTGTGTTGCAACAACCCACGCTGTAGCTTTGTAACCGCGTGTCGAGTTACAGGCGTGGCTACGAAGACACCACTACCACAGGTAGACCACCCTCCAATATCCTGTTCTGGCGGAGCCCTAAACTAGCCTGCGAACGCTTAGACTGCAAAACAGTCGGTTTTTCTCTCAAAATCAGTAAAGAAATCGGTAAAGCGTGGCGTAAGAGTCTTACCGTCTCTCCCCAGTCTTGCTCTGTGTTTTCAGCTTCGTTCCAGACCTTTTGTTTGGCTGCTCGCGCGTACTTGAATACGCAAAAATACGGACTGTTTTGCAGTCCAGCGAACGCTTCTCTCCACGCTTCTCTCCACGCTTCCACCCGAAAATTAACTTTTCGGGTGGAGAGAAGCGTCGCAGGCTACCTCCCAAAACTGCAAAGGGAAGCTGTTCTAGCCAACATTGTTTTTCCACAGATTGATCAATTTCGCAATTGCTTGGTTCTTTTCCTGACTTCACCTACAGGCGAGACAATGAGAAAGCTTCACTGAAAAGTAAAAAAATATCTGTTTCAGCCCTAAAAAAGTGCCAATTCAGCCCTGCAGGCCAAAGTCTGATTCAGCCTCTCCTGGAGCCATTTGAGCACAATTTAAATCCCATCAAAAGCCTATTGCAGCCCTCGCTGGGATTCATTTTAGCCCGAGGGTGCAGATCAGCCCTGCGTAGTTGGACTGTATTGGCCCTTGTCAAGGGAAGCAAATTAAGCCCGAAAAATAGGACTATATTTCACTCACCGAAACGGCCCCACTTTTAGGGCTTAAACAGATATTTCTGATTTACTGTGTGTGAAAATACAGGAAAGTTTTATGTTATATTTGGAAGTGATCTTTGAATAACTACTGTGTTGATAGTACGTGGAATTGTTCCGTGTGACGGATCACCATTCTTTCTTGAGGTCCCTCGAAATTTCTAAACTGGCATTTGGTTAATAGACCTTTTCACCGATACGGCGGCCATATTGAATTTATTAGATTTAAGGAGTATTATGGGATGCCCAGGGGGCACTCGCTCGATCAGTATTTAGGCGCGCTTTTCGAGCAAAAACAGAACTTCACTGTATATTTATCGGGAAAAGGCAATCATTATTACATCCAAACACGGCACAACGATTTTTTTCCCATTAATTACACTCTTTTTCTAGGAAAACTTAAAGAAAAATTGGCCCGAAAAGGGCGCCTAAATACTGCGCGAGTATATCGGATCGTGCTCATCCCCCCCCCCTGGGCATCCCATAATACTCCTTAAATCTGAGTCAGGAGATTCAATATGGCCGACGTATCGGTAAAAAGGTCTATTTACCAACTATAATCCATTGTATATTACGATGGCTCGTGATCAGGGATTATTTTTGAGAGTGACTGCTTACAGTTTGAAGAATTTCTCAACGGTACACCATGGTGATCAGTTTATCTGCGAAAGAATTTAGTGGGTTGTTACTTTTACGAATATGGACCACAGTTGGTAGGGGTAGCATTGATGAAAAGGGACGATTTTTATCAGACATGAACTGACTTAAAAGTGAGAACCAGCTTACAAGACTCAAACAATCACTCTGCGGCTAGAGAAATGATTGTTATTGTTTCACTTATTTTCACCGGCTAACTCTGAAATCCTGACGCAAGTGGATGACGTAATATATCAAGCATGAGAGGCAGTGTTTCATCACCAGATGAAACACTGAGAAGAGAGATGAAAATATGACGAGCAGCGGAGTATTCTTGACGAACTTCGAGGTGTTTCATCCGGTGATGAAACACTGTGTCGAATGCTTGATATTACTTCTCAAGCAAAATGATTTTAGAAGGAGAAATTAAGGATACAAAAATGAGCAGTTTTTCATCTGATTTCCAAACATTCATTAGACGTTTCAAAATTTCCTTTGTATTTTCTTTATGAATTATTAATGAGTTTGAGAAATCTCATTTTAACCAGGAAGAAATTTAAAAGACGGACAACGGTTCAGATCACTCTTGACATTCGAAAATGTTTGCGATCGACTATTTGGGAACACGTAAATTTTGAGTGACCAATATAAAGCAGGGTATCGAAGCCTTCTCTCCCTACTCTTGAAACCTAGCCAAATCTTAACGTTCCTAAGATGTTCTCTCGCAATTGTATGTTGAACGTTTTCATATAAAAATCTCTCACCACCAGAAAATGCACAGCACATGTGTAGAGCGTTTCACTCACAAAACCAGCAAAGAAAGCGTTTACATAAGAAAAGAGTTCAACTTCCACGGGACTGGTTTGGGACACCAACATGGCGGACTTGACGTCATGTGAAAAGGCTTTATGGTAAATGTTCACTGAGCCAACATTTTAATACTGCACTTTGATGCATTCCTTATGGTAATTTCTCCTTACTGATCATGTTGAAAGTACGATACGTGCTGGAAAATGATGTTTATACTGTCAAGCAGTCTGAGATGAAAGCTGTATCTGAAACAGATATTTGCGATAGTTTGGAGTCAAAAAATCTCTTATTAACTTCCGTCGATCGTTGGTGTTAAATTTTTCGCCTCTTGACCGGCGTTTCGTTGGCAACTAATAACTGTCACCCATCAAAAATATAACAAAAACTAACCAGTTGTAAGAGCCATAATGTACAACACGCTGGCTTACCCCGACGGGAATATTTTTGCTCAGTATAGGTTTCATTTAATACGCATATTCTGATTTTTACTCACCAAACTCGAAAGTAGAAGCCACTGTAACGCAGAACAATAGGGTCAGGTGAAAACAGATCGAAAACTTCGGATGATGGCATCACTTTTTAGTTATAGAATACCACCTACAAACTCAAAACGAGTAACGAAACCACCTGTTAGAAACCCGATCTACCACTACAAGCTGAAAGTATATTGCTCAGATCGATATGCTTTCAAATGCAGTTGGGGAAGTTGCTGATGAGAACGTCGGAAAGAAAGAAAAACATATTCCGCAAGGTAAGTCAGTGATGAAAAAGGTTTTTATCAACATGTTCAAAATAAGGATAGGATTCACTTGATGTATGAAATGTCGCGAAAAAATGTACCTACGAAGCTAGGTTTGAGATCATCTTTAACGTTAACTACCATTATCGAGGGATTTATTTCCTTAATTAAAAGAAGTAAGTGGAGAACATTGAAATCAATGCCAAGGATATTTTCAGCCTACTAAATGGAATTGCGATTTCTAAATGGGCTTAACTGATAGGAAACGTGATGGTTATATATTATTGTTTAAAAGAAAACGTTATATTATTTTTATCGTTAGCTTGAAATCAGGCTTTTCTTTACCTGTGCAACAGGGAAGGCATTCTAACCATTATGGCCTTTAACTAATTGAAGCCCGTTTTAAACGTCTTCCTAATTCCGTCTTAAGCTGTCGACTGTTGCACGTCTCTATAGTACGACTTCAGACGTCGAATTTTATTCAGTCAAATAAAATAGCTGTTGCTAAAACTAAACTAAAAACACAGACTAACCAACTTTTAAAATGTATTTTAACGTATTTATAATTATGAAATTGACTTCAGCACAGCCGTAGAACGACGTTTAAAACCAATTCGTGCTACTGCTGTGATAAGGTATTTGAAACGTGCCTGGGCGAGAAAATCACGTGATCCAAGTATGCATGGAATCAGGGAAACTGCGGTTCTTTCAACTCTACTGTTCGATAGGGAATCTTAGAATATAGTCAATGAACACAACGGTAAAATGCCCAACCAACTGCTTTGTTATATGTACGGTGAAACCTCGTTAAAACGGAGACCAAAGTCTGTCAAGTGTCCGCATTACAGAGGTTTGCGTATTATGATGGAAAGAATTATATGAAAATTTGTCAAAATTACCATCTTCAGGACCAGTGAAGTCAGTTGCCGGCTTTTATGACCATTTTTGAAGCCACAGATGTATAATACAACCCCCAAATCTAATAAAAATTGGTTTGAGGACCTTTATTGCATTTGTTTTCATTTTGTATTACATTTGCGAGCCTTATTGCATTTGTGGTCAATTACTACATTTGAGACAGCGACACCATTCTTCTCTAGTAGCTATACTAGCAAGTTCCTAGCATCTGGAGGACTTTAAAGCCTCGGTCAATTGCTTGACCTAACGCCAAAATTACGCTTTTCATCATTCCAAATTTGAATTCAGTTAAAACCTCGAGATATTCTAGCCTGCAAATACTACTGTCTCTCCTCGTTCCACTCCGCTGGGACGTTTCGCAAGGGAGTTTCTCTCGAGAAACGTGCCAGTGGCGGAAAGCATTGAGAGACTCGCTTTATTCGTTAGATAAGTGCATCCATCAAACGAGGACGGTTAAATATGATTATTTTCAACCAAAAAAGCTAGTGTTTTCATGTATTCGCCAAGAGGATAAAAATTCGCTAACTAACTTCCTCAATTTAAAATTTTTAATCACCTGACGTGTCGAGTGACCAAAATTATCAAGGCACAAGAAAACGTACTCACACATTATCCACTCGCTAGTAGTTAACTCTGAAAATACTGATAAAAGTGGATGACATCTCATTTTAAACTAGGAAGAAATTTAAGATGGACAACGGTTCAGGTGACTCTTGTCACTCGAAAATGTTTGCGATCGGCTATTTGGGAACACGCAAATTGACTGACTAATAGACCAGCGCATTGAAGCTGTGACAGAGCCAAATCTTAAAACGTTGTTAAGATGAGCTTTAGCTGTACGTTAAATATTTTCATATAAGACGCTGTATACTCCACCGGAAAATGCAAAATGCATAGCACATGTATCAGTCAGGCACTGATGTTCAGTGAGCCAAACATTTTGTTGCATATGTTACAAATCAAAATCATTTTCAGGTTAAATTTTTTAAACCAGGTTAACCAGATAACAACAACAACAACAAATTTCAAATACAAATACTTTAAGCACTATATATAGCTCATTTCAGCTCAATCTCT